AACCGCCTTCGCAACCGCTTTGCGAAAGCGGTTCAAGTGCTAGTGTGAATGCGGCATAAGACCGCTTTGATCGTGAAGCAATCGGCAGCGTCTGCCTTTGACAGCAGACATTTAAGTTGCGGTGTCGGTTTTCTCTTTTTCCTAATCCTTGCAGGGCAACTGGGAAGGCATGCCTACCACCAGTATCCTGCATCCCCTGCCCGTTCCTCGCAGAAACTGTCCTGGCGACGAGGGTCTTCCCCAGCGGCACAACTGAAGGACAAAGCTAGTCAGAGCAATGCACGCGATAGCAGCGACGAAAAACGAAGGGACATCACACCAAAACCAGTCAAGTGTTGCTATTTTTGTTCTTACTTGGAGAATGACGTGAAGGCTTATATATGCAGGACTGCAGAGAGCAGCCCGCACAAAGATTCTAGTCATTACATAGTAAGTTTCAATAGTTAACGTAGAACATGTTTCCAGGGCTGCAAATAAACCGTTCCTGTCCCCGGTATGTACGTATTTCGCCATGCAGGTAATCCAGAGTCTGCGATTTCCTCGCATCCGTCAACCGGCTCCGTTAAAGAGCAACGGCACTTTGTTTTTAGTCCTTTTTTATTGTTTTATATTCAACCTGCTTAAAGATTTTTGTTCGTCTCTTTTATCTACGGCGCTCGCAAAACCTCTTAAGTTTTCAACATTGTTCACTGGATTTCAAAGCCCTCATCAAGTACACATGTAAACTACTTTTTTTTTTTTGTTTAGTAACATTGCATTGCAGATAACACATCGTGTGCGAGATGCTACCACTGTCCTTGCGTAAAGAATTAATGTAAGCAAACTCTAAAAAAGAGTAGCTATATTTGTAGAAACATATTAGAACTAAAGTTAAAAAAGGGGGGCTTGAAAGCTGAAAAGTAAAATTGCGAGATTATTCTTGTAGTATTTTTATAAGTGGTTCCCCGACTGCCCAGAGAAGATGGAGGGAAAGAGTTTAAGAAACACTGAAGTTAATCTTCACTTATTTATTTCTTCGTTCATTTCAAACTTGAGACAATGCAAGATTGCCTCGGGGTTGAAGCAAAAGTAGAGGTGGCCAGACTAGGCCCCTATACGGGTGAAGCACGTACCGATTGTACCCCACGGACACTACTGACCAATTCATAATACAAACACACCCAGCGAACCGTACACAGCTTCTGCTCCCTCGGGGACATCTGATTTCTGGGCATCATAACTAGGGTCCCACGTTTTCTGTGTGTACCGATAAACACCGAAAATTAACCGCCAAGGCGGTTTTTTTTTTTTTTTTTTTTTAATTTAGGAAAATCGATAAGCTTCGAATTAGAACTGTCCTTGCATAAAAAAAAAAAAAAACGCAAGCTTGACGGAAAAACTATTTACACCGTTCTTTTTTTTTCTTTTTTTTCTTGACGGTTTGGAACTTAGCGGCACGTACTGTTCTTGTGGTTGTTTCTTTCTACCGAAACGACATTCCTTGCCCCGCCTCTTTGACTTATATTTAGCAGCATTACTGGAGAAGATATAATTTATAAATTCTAACATTTTCTACAGTAATTAGTCGCTTTACAACAGAAATGAACACCGATTGTTCTACAACATTGAAACTAGACACCGAAGAACACCGATTGAAAGGGGGGGGGGGGGGGGGGGGGCAATAAGTACCCATAAGTAACCCCCGAATTTTAGGCAAAATAAATACCGAAAACGCGGAACCCTAATCGTATTTTGCTGGCGGTTTATGGTGCTACAGGTAGTTTTTTGACGAACCTGCGGTTACAATAACTTTTTCAGACACATGAATGTTTTACGAAAGGAATTAATTCCTTTCGTTGGCCCCCCAATCTTATGTTAATAAACATTTTTTTTTTATTTTTTTTTCGGATAAAGGGGTAAATTTTGTTACTTCGCACTACTGATTCTGCACCGCGTTTGCAGCGCAGTTCGAGTGCCACCATTATAACGCAACCATTCAACATGATTTGAGTCGGAAGCTAGCACGGAGTTGCGGCAGAGAAGCCGAACGCGCGCATGGCGTGTTTTTCTATCGTAGGCGCAGAAGGCCACGTGATCTCTTCTCGCGGATACCGGGAAAAAAAAATGTAATTTTAGGTAACTTTTAAAACTCCCTTTAGTGCCCGGTTCCAAGAAATGTAAGACTGAAAGTGAATGTCGCGTAGACAATGAGTCGAAGGTTTGCTTTCCACAAACCGAAGCTGGCAAAAGGTGGACCAAAACTCCAACAGGGCTACAACGCCCGCAAGAAAGGGAGCTCTTGTGACGTCTGTCTGGATGTCTGGTCACGTGTTCAAACTTGCGTATTGTCTCGTTCGCGGCATGTGCTAGTCCTCTTGTCTCCTTTGTGCCGAGATATTCACTTGAACAACTTCTCGTCTACAGCCCTACATTCGTGTAAAGGTGTAATAACTTCCCTCCACTTTTTGTTTACACTGTTGAAATATATGCACACGAAACACTGAAAATATTGCATGATTTAGTGGACGACAGTTTAGTTTATAAAGACCTCAACTCAGCAAATGTTATAAAATTCATTTATAAAATAATACGAATAAGAATCGACAGGCATAGGCTGTTTAATTAAGGTGGGGCAAAACGAGACAAAAAAAATCATTTCAATGGTAATATTTATTTTTGCTTCAATATTTTAAAAACACAGCATGGGGATATTCTTAGGTGTGTTGACTCTACTATAATCAGTAAATATCACTTAATTGGAGCAAGCGAAACATGAAACAAAACTACAACATCTGAGAGTCACACAAGATCCCATTTTGCCCCACCCTGTGGGGCAAAATGAGACAGCGTAGAGGAGCACATAGAGACGCACCTAGAAAACCTGATATGCGTTCAGTTTTTGCAATACAAACACTTGAAACGCAGTGTGAGCTCCAACGCACTCTTTATAAGCCCACTTTCTGCATTTCATGAACTCGATCCGCATTGAATGCGGGGCTGCTTTTCTCCAAACTTCTTTGCATACCAGGCACTGCCAGTGTCTCGTGGTGTGCATCGCACGGTCTGCAGAACGTTCGAACACTGCGCGCATCTTCGGGGGTCACTAATAATCTTTCTTCTCAATTTTTTTTTTTCTTTTTTTTTTGGGGGGGGGGGGGGGGGGGGGCAGGGGAACGCCGGTTTTTAGTTGCTCTCGCCAGCATCAGCTTTGCTTTGTGGGGAGACGACGCTAGAACAGTTGCTCTCCGACCTGCTCGTTCTGTTTCTGTCCTACGTTAGGTACAGAAGAAATGTTCCTGAAACTTGAAACGTCACGAAGAACGAGCCTTCTGTAACCCAGCCGTCTTTTGTAGAGCCGCCGCTCTTCACATACACCGAACCGTTCGGCTCGCCCTTGAAGCGCATCCTTTGGTACTCCACCAAAAAGTGTGGCAGCAGTGCGAAGGGAGTGACGCTGTTGCTTGACACTTTCGCGCTATGAAGCCCTTGTATTTTTATCTTCTTAATGTTCGAACCATCCCAGACATCGGGAGAAAAATAATGACTAGGGAGCAAGCAGGAGACTCGTGCGTTAGTGACATGCGCGCAATGCCAGGTCGTCGCGTTCTGCTCCGCGCGTATCCCGTTACGTAAATAATCATTTCTTTACAATACGCAACCAACACAACCACAGATTGCTCCAATTTGGTCCGCATATAACTAATAAAGCATACTAAAAAAATTAAAGCTTTCCTTGGAATAATAGTCGGTGCCAACCGGGGTGCACGTCTCGAAGCGAAACCTCGCGCTGAATTTTGTGCCTTTTCGGCGGGGAGTAAACACGTTGACCTCAACTACGCATTTATTTTCTCCACAAAGCTCTAGCCGATTGCTTTCAAATCTTACAAACGCAAAGCCCACAGGTCACGATACATCTACGTGAAGTTTGATTGTAATCGGGTTGCGCGACTAGGAGATGGACGGCGCTAAACACAAACTGTTGCATTTTGCTCCGCGTCTCCTTTTACCCCACCTTACCCTGTATGAGCAGCACTCCATTTGCTTAGGTAGTCGTCGTATTTGTGACAGGGGCGGATCCAAAAATGGGGGGGGGGGGGGGGGGCGACAGGGGCGGCCCCCCCCCCCTCTCAAACAAAGTCGACCCCCCCTCTGCCCCCTTCTCGGAGGGCAATTTATCATGGGTGGACACCCCGGTGCTCACGAAGGAATGGGAGAATAGCATCCTTACAAATTTTCTGCCCCCCCCCCCCCCCCCAAAACGGAGTTCTGGATCCGCCCCTGATTTGCGATCATGACCCACCTTGTAAATTTCTGAGATGGACCATTTGTTTGTACCGTTTTGTGAATCCACACAAGTTTACTATGTGCCCCATCTCATCGGTACAAGCACAACATGTGTCAAAGTAAGAACACCTGTGAGGAAAAACTATATTTCCTCGCAAAAGTTAACGAGGAATATGAGGTCTGTACGCCTTCCTACCCTCATATTGTGTACCCCGAGGAAAAGCAACTGAAAAGTGAAAGACAACGACCTACAGAATTGTCTTCTGCCGGGAAGAAAACCGGTTCTTAGTTTCCTTCTCTCCATTCCCTCTCGCCCGCTTCTCTTGTCCTCTCCCCACAGGAGAGGGTCTCTGAGCTACTGCCCGCAGAAAGGAGGATCGAGTCTCCCTTTCACACATACACACACCATGTCTCAGGTTAAGTTAGGTTTCTGAAAGTGTCTGCTCATCTATACAATTTGTTCGATATAAAAATGTATAAAAGTGGATTGCTCAAGAATGCTATAAATTATATGCCACATCTTCAATAAATGGCTTGTGCACCATCCTGTAGAGCAAAAATAATTCTTCGTAACTAAAACACGGCACGGTATGAAATGGTTTAACCTCACTCCTAAGCCCCGTACTAGCCGTGCTGCATTTTGATGGTGTGTAGATAATTCAAAGAAACTTAATGTTTATACCCCCAATGTCCCAGAAGCATGCAGAGTCTCTCGAATAAGGAAATGCTTACAAAGAAAAGGAATATACAACTTTATTTTAAGTTCACAGCTGCCACTCATCTTTTACATCCTTTTCCAGAAAAAAAGGCTTAAAAGCAACACATGCAAAAATGACAAGCCTGTCTGTCTATGCAAACATAAATTGGTCCAAACTGCAGATCTGGATGTACATCCCGCCCCAAAGTAAATGCAGTCTTCTGATGGGGGATCTTACACTGTTGGATTATGTGATCATGTGTGTATAAAATAAAGTTCTCTTTATCTAAAATGAGGTACTGTGTATATTGTATATTTTTGGTTACATTGGTGTTATCTCGTTTTAGCTTTAGATTCTTAGGCAACCTAGTCATCCCTGTTGCGACAGCAGAAAGCCCACCAGTTGAGAAGTGATTGCTTTGGTCGCTTGTTGAGGCCTTCAGCTGTGGAGAACCGCAACAACCCCCGGTGAGTTGCGCATCAACACTCAAATGGTCATGGTAGCAAAAACTGTTCCCACATAAACTGCCAGAGCTCTGAACAGGTGACAAAGTTGGCTCCATCAAGACATCATAGCAGGGTTTACAATGAAAGTGTAATGAAGGTGAATGATGCATGGTAGTAAAAATATTGAAGCCTTTGCTTCTGAGAATGTATACTTAATAGAAGAAAAGCTCCCCTTTTCAATGCAGAATTACCTATTGCAGATGGAGCGGACCTAGCTCACACACATACCAAGAGGATACCGGTCACTGTTACCTTCCCCACCAGCATCGCTAAAGCAGGAAAACTATTGCCCCCCCCCCCCTCCCCATTACAGAAACATTTCAGACATTTCTAGTAAACTATTTTAGGAAAGGGGAGGGAAATTCCCACCACCCAAACACATCTAACACCCCTTCTCTTCACTATAGTAAACTGCTTTTATTTTATAGAAAACGTTAGATATCTAGAGCAAATTTTCCGTAAAAAATAAACAGTAATGGGATTAAGGGCTGCTCCTCCAGCAAGTAATTGGCAAAGGACATTGTAGTGCATAAACACATGCTCCATTATCTCTTAATTCGAGATGTATTTCAGGGAATGGGGCCTAAACTTTGTGTCCCATCACTGGTTTTGAGGAAACTTTTTCGGAAACCAACAAGTTCACCAGCAAAATATAAAGGACTGTTTCAGTTCATATTGTCCACAACGATACATCATCAAACCACATGCCCATGCTACATTACGGCTTAATGGAACGGGGAACCTGGTTCTGGTTCAAGAACAAATAAACTTGTCAAGTTTTGCACAGTTTACTCATTTCCATAAATTTTGAGATGAAGAACCAATGTGGGGTTCCGCCACAAAAATTACTCACCATGAAAACCAAAAGCGACACCTTGTTTATGTGGGAAGCTTCCCTCTTACTTTCTTGGCAATTTCTCTATAAGCTTCCGCCTGAAACGAGCACGTAGCCACTTTATCACCGAGTCGGCATAGTGTGACATGGGCATTGTGCAAAGATTTCCCTTACTTGAGGTGAGCTTGTGTTGGACACTACAATAGGTTGCCCATTGTCAGAAGTCTCTCTGATTTCAATGTCCAAGGGAATGTCACCTGAAAAATAAAAGTTTTCATATTGACACCCTTGCATAGCCTTTCATGAGAACATTCCAAACTTTGGTTTTCTTTAAAAAAACAATATTTTAATGTCTCTCACAGTTAGCCCTAGCACTTCGTAATTTAAGCCCTTTCCAACAGTTATGGTATGTGCTCGAGTAATAAGTATAGTGAGCATGCTGTTTGTCAACAAGGCTTGCGTGTCTTGTTTTCTCCAGGGCACTTTAACAGCAAATCATTGAATCAACAGAATGTGCACCATAAACAATGGTACAGAGATAACATCCTCACAAGAAAATGTTATCTGCAATATGACACTTAGCATGACGTTTCACAAGCACCAAGATTCAGCAGAACACAATTTCACAAAGAATCATTTTCTTGACCTCGTTATAAACTAAGTTTCTTCCGTAGAATACTGCAACTGGCTGTATGTGCATTTTCTGCAGGAGACAGGCACAAGGGACTCGTTCATAGATATTGCAGTGATCACTCAATAATATAAGTGCCATTGAGCTCAAACTTGTATTGACACTGACAATCACCTGGTCACCAGCAATGCACCTTTAGTCTCAGATTATAATACCAGTTACACCACAGGAGTGTCACACTGCTAATCCAGCATCAAACTATTTGCATTTAATGTGGTGTCCTTCCATGAAATTCATCAAACCTCTTGCATTGATTGGCACATACCCAAAATGTCCAGTGCCATTTCCCGAGCCAGTTCGGTTGCGCCGTCCTTGCCGAACATGTGACTCTGGTGGCCACAGTTGGAGCAAGTCAGCTTGCTCATGTTCTGCACCAGCCCTAGGACTGGGACCTGAACCTTCTGGAACATCTCCGCTCCCTTGCGAGCGTCTGTCAACGCGATTGGCTGCGGTGTCGTAACCACGACCACCCCTGTCGTCCAAATACGAGAAAGAGACAAGAATGCTGTCATTTTGGAAGATTCACCATGTACCAGCAATTAAATACAAGAGAACAATATAAACCTTGTACTATTTGGCTTTCTTCATTCAATGACAAAATGATTGCTTTTCCTGGTATACGAGATTCCCATGCAATAAAATACAGCAGAGTCATAGTAACAAACCTAGTAACCACAAACCTACAGTCAGTGACAAGTCGCTTGCTCTGCTGAGGTGGAAAGGGGGAGGAGCTTCCCCTGATCTTATCTTGTCAATGACTGTATGGGTACAAACTGAGGGTGAAGAGGAGACGAGAGCATGCGGGGACATTGGAACACCGAGCCTTGGTTGGAATGATTAGTGGACGGACACAAAGCTAGCTGCCCTTGTCTATATATTTGCTGTTAAAATGTGTTCGAACAGTGAGCAGAGACAAAGGCAACTAGCTTTGCGTTTACCCACTAATCATTCCAACTGAAACTTGGCACCCTGGCATTGCAGCATGCATTGATCTCCTCTTCTCCCTCGGTTTCTAGTCATATAGCAAGTTCAACCTAGTAACCACAAGAAGCAGCCTAGTAACTTCCTCCATTCAATGACAAAGGGTTGTTTTTCCAAAATAAAACAAATAACACATAACAGAGTTACGAAGAGGGAAACAGCGCCAAAAGTATGCAGGACAAAGCACGAGGAACACACAGACCGAGCGCTGTTGTTCGGTCTGTATGTGTTCCTCGTTCGTTGTCTTCAGTACTCATGGCGCTGTTTCACTCTTCATAACTATGCATAACCAACTCGCCCAATTTTCAACGGGACATAACAGAGACTTGCTTCATTCAACGACAAACACAGATTGTTTTTGTTGGCATACTCAAACACTGTACACTAAAATGCAATAAAAACAATAAAATCTTAAACTTGCTTTCTTCAATGACAAACTTTGACATTCTCAAACACTGTACAATAAAATACAATAAAAATAATAAAACCTTCTTAGAAACTTGCTTTCTTCAATGAACAACTTTAGACGTTTTCCTGGATTAATAAAATATGCAATAAAATTGGCAGCACATTTCTAGATACATGCCTCGTTCAATGACAAAGAACTTAGGCAGTTCTCTCTGGCATGAAAGAACCACCCACCTGAGACCGGGATGTTTTGCGAGATGGACAGCTGCGTGTCCCCTGTGCCGGGCGGCATGTCCACAACCAGGTAGTCGAGGGGACCCCACGCCACCTGCAAGGTAGCACGCACCACTTTTCATGCGACAGCACAAACGCAGACCATACAAGTCTAAAAATTTGAATTTTACGCCGTGTGGACTATAAAAGGATGTGATTTCTGAAAACAGCTCCATCATGACGAGATACGACGAATTTCGTGAACAGATCATGACGAGATACGACGAATTTCGTGAACAGATGATTTCTTTAAGATACAATCTACTTCGTACGCTAATAAAGCAGGCACCTTTCAAGGTGATGCTGTGAAAAATCGTATTACGTGCGGAATATGCACAAGGCGTAGACTACGCACAGGTTGTGGACTAACTAAGGAAAAACTTTTTTTTTCAGTCGAAATTTGCCTTCGTGGTTTATGCGCCGAAAGCAGACTATAGTCTGGAAAATAGGGCACTATAATTCTTCGCTCTGCCACATTTGGAGAAAACATTGCTGCAGAGACGTGGACACGCACCTGCCTGAGCAGTTTCTGGATGGCGGACATGACCATGAGCCCCCTCCAAACGACGGGCGACTTGTCGTCCACAAGGAACCCCATGGACATGCTGTTTGAGGTTGAGAGGTGAGAGATGTGAGGTCGCTGGAGTTTGCAATCAAGCATCGTCGTCGCACCCACCATTTTATACCGTAGTTCACCAGGGGTTTCATCAGGTTTTCTGAAAATGAAAGGTCGGTTCGGCGTCGTTATTAGCCTTGTACGGTCACTGCATTGTGGACGTGAGTAACAAATTTAAACTCGACAAACTGCCTTAGGTTACTTTTTAGAACCACACAATGTGCCCAAGTGTAAACATCTCACCAAACAAAAAACAAAAAAAATTGACATTTGTGTTTGTACAACATAAGGTCGGTCTGCCTTTGAGGTGCAGCGACGCTTGTGTAGGCTGTAGATGAGAAATTTAGCCAGTGCAGTACTACTGCCAGCCTGGGGTCTTTGATGTGCACCATGCAGTAGTGATACATGACCACAAGCTGGTACGATGCTCATCCAAATCGAAGCAGGCAGGGGTGGGGATTGAACCCAGAATCCCTGGGTTCTGCAGGCCAAGCTTTCGCTCCACATGCTTTGAGCTGTGGTGCGCCAACACGCTCGGCCACCGCTATTGCACCCGAGTGAGGACGTCTCACCATTTGCCAAAATGCCGTGTTGGCACACGGGCCTGAGTAAGTAACTGTTTCAGACGTCCCCATCGTGAAAAAAAAAAACCCGGCGGCCTTTGCGAACCTTATTTCTGTGACAGCGATCAAAATATCAAATGGTGGTTGTTCTATATGGCAATAGACAAGTGACGTTTCCTCCTAGTCCTAAATAGCTTATTTGAGGAACAGCCCGAAATAACCTTTTTTAAGGCAGGCCAGGGATGAAAGTTCAGCGAAATGTCTTTGTGGCCCTCTGGCATTACTGGTAGGTCTTAGCACTTATACCCAAACAAATAGAAGTTCCAATCAGTAGCCTCATACATATTAAAAGCACACTGAAAGCTAGAAGAACAGCTCAACACTCGGAATTTCAACAGTCTTGAAGAGTCTAGAACCACCTATAACTACCGAGAATGATAAACCATTTGCTATTCAAGAAACAGAAAACATTATAAAAAACATTCCTGATAGAATAACTCCAGGTGCAGGTAACACTTCATCTAGTTTAATAAAGAATGTGTTCAACAAGTTTCCAACTTTTATACTTAGCATCTTTAACAGTTTTCTAAAAATCCAGTGATTTTTTTAGCTACCCCAACTATATTTTCTGAGCCACTGGCCTTCACCCTTTCTGGTACGCTATTTACTATCATGAAATTAAGAACAGTTACTGTGAAATCGGCAAATTAATTTGATGCCCAAAACCAACATTCAAATATACCCGCGCTTTTCAGCACTGCAGCGTCAGTGGCAGGCAGGCTTGCAGTTTGAACAAGCAGTCTAAAAGCAGAATATGCCAATCTTCAGTTTCATGCTGCTGTGCAGTTGCAGGAGCAAGCTTCCAAGGCATTCATTCGACACCATGAAACTGCTTGTAATAAGTTGGATACAAACTCTACAGCCCAGAGTGAACCCCTGCCTTCTACTGGCATCACTTTTTCATTGTTGCCAGTAAAGGCTTTCAGTTTGAAAAAACCGATGAGGACTAAAACAATAAATTCAATAACCCTGAAAAAAAAATTGTTTCGGCTTAATATTTGGGTTACCAGTTCAGCTATGTTTAGTGGTGTGTTCAATTAATTTTGAGGCAAATTGGGAACCATGAAGAAAACACCAGAGTACCTCTTTAACCGCTCATATTTTTCAAAAGAATGGAAGGAGTGAAAAGTCATCCTAATCCCCCAAAAAAGATAAACCGGGTAACGACCCATCAGGATACCCACCTGTATGTATCAGTCCTATATTTAGAAAAAATCTTAGAAAACCTAATAAACAACCAAATATATATTTTTTGTAAATAAAAAAAAAACTAAGCACAAAGACAAGTTCAAGCCAAGTGAAGGAAAACAAAAGCAAGACAAGGTGGGGGAAAATTTCCATTAAATTTAACAATGAGCGCTGACCAGGCCTGTTTTTCTGGCCGAGGTCTCACTAGATATATATTCCTCTACTAATTGCCATTTAAAAAAAAAAAGTATTATTTCTTAGTTGGTACATTCACGTTAATCTTTTATTTTAATTTGGCTTTAAGTTTGCAATGCTAATGCACAAGTACACAGGCATAACTTTATTTCTAGATCTTTTTCCCAAACACCCAACCCAAAATCTGTGTGATGCAATCAAAACCCTGCACTCCACAAATTTCCTCTTTGTCTTTCCCGTCAACCAGACATACGACGAAACTAGAAAACAATGAACCAGACGACCCGACAAAGGCAGAACAACATTGAGAGCGCAGCAATCTGACAAAGAAAACACGGAACGAGCCCCAAAATTGAAATACTAGTCGGACTCGTGAACGGCCCGGTTTCATAGTGCGGAAACACTGGCACGCAAGATTAGAGAGCAAAGGGTAACTAACGTTGCTTCAATACAGATAAGTGTGTACAATAATAATCACTATGTACTATCCATTTTCGGTACATTCTTGGGTCCTAAATATTAAATGAAGAATCAACAATAAATAAATACAGCGTTTCGGGAGTGTTAATCAATGACGTCAACGAGTCACGTACGGTTCGTAAGCTCGGGTTCACCGCTCAGGTTCATCATTCGTGGTATGGACGGACCGTACACGTCTGCGTCCAAGATCCCCACGCTGGGATGCTGGGTAGTCAGAAAAAGTATCGAAGCTTGCAAACTGTTATACTGATGGGACATCGCGAAACACTGAGCAAACTGATAGATTGATTTATTAATTAAATTTTATTAGAGTAAAACCAGCTTAGGCTAAGATGTGTCTGTCGTGGTAGCTGAGAAAAAGACAGATGCCCCCACTACAAAATATTATTTTTAGATCTTTCTAGTTTTTGCATTGCATAAATGGTGCCTACGATTCTGCACATAGCACTATACGCTGTGTGGTGGCAATGAGTTGCGCAAACTCTGCAGCTTACAAAAAAAAAAAAAAATTTAACTCTCGAATTTGCAGCAAAATTAGACAATATTTATATCTGTTGTTTGAAGAGTGGAAGATAAAACTGACATAATGCTCATTAATTTTCTTGCCCCTCCTTTTTTTTTTTTTTTGTTCTCTCTAGAAGCCCTCCCCTAAGACACATAAAAACAATCTTAATGAAATATCAATTCGACAGCTTGAACGACCTGTTTTACCTCAGTAATAACAAATGGTGTGGCTAGGGTTCCGTCCAGACGGAATGATGGTCACCACAAGATTTCCGTTCAGACGGAGCGTTAGCAAACCCTGTAGAGTTTTGTCAAGGCAGAACGATAGTCACCAACAGAGTTGTCCAGACGAAACCATAACCGCCGCTAAAGTTCCGTCCAGACAGAAGACAAACCCACCAATAACCTCTGTCCAAACTCGCCACTAAAGCTCCATCCAGCATATACAAGGGTTGATCTGTATGCTCCACCCTGACCATTTTCAGGGTATAAACTGGCAATGTTCCTATGTTATTTTTTAACATAGTCTTCTTGAAGTCAAATGTACATGTTTCAGCAATCCTAGTTCATTTAGACTGCGCCCTGGAAGAAAAGTTTGTGTAACCTCGGCAAACCACGTATCTCCGGCCTCTATTATCTCCTTACCCATTAAAAAAATGTCCTCCCCTGTAGTTACTGGGAGCTAGATCTAGTGAATATGGTGGATATACCAGCAATTCCAAAGCTTTCTTTAGAAATGGCAGCTATTGCAACGCAAGAGATGAGGCTAGGTACACTGCCATAATAAAGGAGCACTGACTCAACTTGCCACGTTTCTTCTTGGCTGCAGCGCATAATTTTGTAATTGAACCCACGTAGAAAGAACCTGTTATTGTGGCTCCACCTAGTAAACCTACCTTTAATCAACACCATCGAGAGCTTGTTATTACTACTCTAGCTTAAAGGAAAAGGAATTCACTCCCTCTCAGGCCCTCAGGATGGAACCTACAGGACGTTGAGAGCTTGCTGTCGTTACGTCAAAACTCTACTGGGCCTGTTATCCTCCCATCTGGATGGAACTCTACTGCACATGCTATCATGTCGTCTGGACGGAACTCTAGACACTCCAAATAACAAAACCTTGGCAACAATAAACCTACACCTAAATAATCCTTAAAACTGCCAATAAACACACCTTATCACTTTGAGACAAGGCCAGGGCAAGGTTGACTGTAAGAAAGAGAAAGAGAAAAAAAAAAGTGGTATGTTAAATAAAATGCAAGTCGATGTGCACAGTCGGAAGCAAAAGTTTGCGGGGCACGGGTGCGCTAGCCGAAATGACTGGCTGTGCCTTCTGATGGCACGTTGCCACTCTCAAGACTTACGCTTTGCGCAATCAAAGCGTGAATCTTTCGTGTTCGCACACTTTTTTTTTTTTTTATTTGACACGCACGAGATAACACAGCCGGTTGCAAAGTGCCGCGAAAGGCTATCTAGAGCATGCAAGCTTCATCACCCTTCATGGTGGCTTGCAGGGATGTGCAGTATTTCAAATACAAGTATTTGAAATATGTATTTCAAATACTTTGAGTATTTTTTATTTGTATTTAATTACAAATTGGGTAATGTATTTGACATGTGTATTTAAATACTAAAACGTGGGTATTTCGAATACAATTGTAATTAAATACAATTTTGTGGGCGAAAATACATCCCTCAAATTTATTGTCACTGTCCAGAGCAGCAACAAAACTATGTTCTGCACCGAATGCAGTCTCTCTCAATCAAGCACAAGCATTTAGCGACTTTGTGATTACGGTGCTAGTCCAGGGTAAGAATAGTGACGGAATCGACGTTCTCAGGCAGAATGGCTAAATAACTGCCTCTGACAACTTGTGATGCTTTCCAGCCTGATTTCCATCCATATTTTTGCCTGGAACATTCTAAATGGGCGGGTCGTCCAGATTTTCGTAACTGGTGCGAGTTGCAACAATAAAAAAATTCTCTAGCTAGCGCTGCGCCTCTTGGTCGTCTCGGTTTTTCGTTGGTCTATACCAAAATGTGATTGACAAAAAAAGCTGCTTGAAGCTCTGTACTTCTTTCACCTATTACGTCCAAGCTAATTACATTTTTTCGTGATTATATTTATAGTATGTTGCAGGTGCCCTGAAGTCGCTGACACAAATTTTGAGGAATGTATTTAGAAAAAGTATTTGGAGGAGACCAAATACATTTGGTTGTATTTGTATCTTGTACTTAAATGCTTTTTTCGAAATGTAATTAGATTTGTAATTAAATACATTTTTGACGAAGTATTTTGTATTTGTATTTCGATACATATTTGCGTGTATTTTCCCCATCCCTGGTGGCTTGGGCAGACGCGCGGCATGACGATTTACAAAGCGGCGCCTTACGCCAGTCCCGATTATCTCGGGTGCGTCGGACGGAACCGAGTGAAAAAGACGGGACCAACCGGGCCAACGGAGAGAACCAACAGGACTGCGAATACAAAAGGAAGCGCATTCTCGACGCGCGAGTTTTGAGAGCGGCTGCCCGACGTCAGAAGGCGCAGCCAGTCATTTCGACTGGCGCTCCCGTGCCCCGCAAACTTTTGCTGCCAACTGCACGAGATAAAATACATCATCCTACCGGCTGTGGTGGATTTACCAACACCGCCTTTCCCTGAAGCCACAAGTACAACATGCTTGACTCCCGCTATGGGAAACTTCTTGGGGAGTCCCTTCGATGCACGATCTTCGGCTCGACCACGAGTTTCCGTTTCCTCGAAACCTTCGTCCTTGATCCCCTGAAAGGACATCAATTCATGCTCGCGAAAACAGAAACGGCAGGACGACAGCGGAAGCAACGAGACAGCAGACGTTGTACGCTGCTATAAAAAGAAATTTAACTTATTAGGAGCAAAGTGAAGATGTGTTACCAAAGGGTTATCGTGTGAACTTGAAGATTTGTACGCTAAAACTTGATGATATCTAAAAGTCTCCGGAAAAGACCGCAGCACTTTCATAAAACGAAACTGCACGGCAGCCATTTTGTAAACTTACTCATTGTTACTTGACACCATACTGATTTCGGATTGTGCTAGTGGTGTTCTGCGAACAATGTTTCGTGCATAGATGCAACCTCCTTGATTTATTTTAACAACTTAAAAATATGTGCTAAAAATTATTCACCTCATTGTTATCAAGCAATTTTCTCGTACGGTGGCCTTCGAAACGAATGAAGCCAACTAAACAATTTTTGGGAGAGAAAAACAACGCCAAGCGTGCCAAGCGCGCCAAGCGGCTAAATAGTATTGGTGTTGTTTTGTTTTTGTAGGCTATAGATATACTATTCTGACACCTATTTTAAAACTTTCAACGCAATTTTTTTACAAAATGCTGCAAGCGGAATTAGGCAGAAATCGCCGCAACGACACCGAAACCAAAGCATGTTCTTGTTTCGGTTTAGAGCAGGGGCCCTCCAAACGGGTGGCCCCTCCAAACCCTGGCCCATTCGGCGCGCGGAAGCCTTCTTACCTGCCCGCGGCTGGCCGCGGTCATTGCAGTCATGTTGGTCCGTTTCCAGCGGGCCCGCCGCTACCGGAGCAAAAATAGGGGCGTATAAAGAAACTGCGCTGCGAGCCCACCAAACGCTTCGAATCTGTTCCCTCACAGAGTTGGGTGTCATATTAATTATAGCGAGTTCGTTTCACGGCACTCGTGCCCACGCGTGCCCACTCGCAGCGAGGAACGGGTTCGTTTCGGCCGGCACTCCACGAGTGGTTGCACTCTCCGAGTTCGTTTCAGCGCTGACACCCCACGCGTGCATGCACTCGCTGCACCGAGAAAATCGGGAGTGCGCCAAAATGCAATCCCGTCATGCCTCGCTCCGGCGGGGCCGGCAAGGAGCGGGAGCAGACGACGAGGGTTCGTCTGCTACGATGTGTCGCGGAACCGAACGGAAAACAAAGTAGATTTTCTGATAAAAAACGCGTCCCGCGGGCAACGAAATCAAACGCGAGCTTGAATTGTGAGCGTTTGCTATTTCCCGAAGGAAGCAATTGACAACCCGTGATTTATTTGCAGGTTTTAAATCGCTTTGTTGCCGTACAAACGCTGAAACATACCAGTGTGTAAAGGAATGCTCAGAGCAAACGTAACAGCGGCCCCCGAGATATCTATCACCATCCGTGTGCGGGTGAAAAATTTAACATTTGTCGACAAAACTCCCCCAGCAGAAACCTCTGACTGCCCAATAAGCATCAGAGAAAGCTAAAGATGGAGACTTTACCCGAGGATTGGGCAACATCATCATGTTTAACATTTACCTACGTCAGCTAACTTGCCCCGTCGTATTTTGTTCGAGAATGCTCTCGTTCTCGACGCCCTCACCAAGGCTAATATCTGATCCACCTATATTGACGATCCAAATCGAAAGTCCCAGTTTTGCTGGATATTCCAACAGGCTAGTTTTAAGCCGCACCCTTTCAGTGGTTCACGCATAACACCATGCTCAAACGGATCATGCTTGTGCTCGGGCAGCATCATCAGTTTTCTTCAGTGTAAACAGTTGTAAGAATTGAAAGATCGCAACCAGCTTCTTTGTAGACAGCTGGTTGCGGAAATTTACGCCGCCTGTAACTATCTCTACGGCAGCCGAGCTGTTTGAAGTCATCGCAACTATAAACTACAGGTTGCAGCGACCAACATTTGTAGATTAACGTTGGTAGCGACTGCATTCTCGCATTCCCACGCATCACTCCGATCAGAAAGGCGCTAGTTTCTCCGATCAGAAAGGCGCTAGTTTCGGTTTGAAGTCGGTACCTTTTCTACAACATAGATGGCGGCAGCATCAATCTTCTGCACTCGGTGCATTTGGCGAGTTCGTTTGAGTCCAGTTTTCCGTGCAACACTCTGAGAGTGCGGTGCATTCTGGGAGAGAACTCGAACGGTGCCAGTGCGTGTGAAACGAACTCGCTATTACAAATTGTCATCACTGGCTTCTCCATTTTTAGTCACCTGCTTGATGTCTGTGTAATCGCGTTAAAATAATTTTGCCTTCTCCTCTGTCATAAGTGCCGCGTCATGGCCGGCGAGTTATTTGAGCCCATAATTATTGTATGGCATATTTAGCTTAATATATATATTAAATTATATTACTCACAAATCTTGTTATTCGCATGCAGGCATACTTCTTTTTTTTTTTTTAAGTTTTCCACTAATTTTTTTTTTCGTATTTAAACACGTTTTAGACTTGTTTATTGGGTTATCGTTTTTGTTTTTTTCTTTACTTGATTATTTTTTGTGTTTTGAAGAGGACCAGAATACCTACATTTTCGTTTTTCTATGAGGTGCTGCCGTGGTTCCTACTACCACCTTTAAGGCCGGTTCACACATGCAGCGAAGCGCTGATGTAGCGCTGCTCACGTGTCGTCAGCTACTTATTGTCTGCCTTGAGCAACAGTTTTGACGGTGCGATACAAAGCTGGTGAACGCTCCCGTCAACACGCGCTTAGCGCGAGGTCAGCGCTGTGCTTGTAGCGCTCCGCTGCATGTGTGAACAGGCCTTAACTCACTATAGTCGGTTGCAAGCTAAGAAAAAACCGGAAATGCCTCTCAGAGGAAAATGTAATCCTACGCCGAGAAACGCCAGCCAATGGTTTTCATGACGTCACGATTCTGTGGACCAATCGCGATCCTTTTGAAAAAAAAAAAAAAAGCTCAACATGGCTGCTGGCCTTAGCAACGCGATGCTATACACGTTTGTAAGTCCGGCTTCAGGGCGCTGCCATCTTGTCCGTCTGGGGTGCGCTTGGACCAGTCGTAATCCGATTACTAAGCCTTGCTAAGGCGTCGTAATCGGATTATGGCCGCTCCCGAGAGCGCACCCCACTGAGGAAGATGGCGGCGCCCTGAGACCGGACTTGCAAACGTGTATAGTTTCTCGTGACAATTATTTTGCTTTTTTGCACCGTGTTTTACGTGCCCGAGGTTACGCCACGAAATCTTGATGGTATCGGCTTGCGTTTGCAGCAGTTTTTGCGCGACAACGTGAGAATCCAGCGACGCTATCGCCAACGAAAATTTCGAAGCGGGCGCGAGGCTTAGCACTGCTGAGAGGTATGTTAGACGGTATGTTAGACAGTATCTTGGACAGAAAATGAATTGGGAAGACGGTACATTGGACATGAATGGACCTTTTCCGAGAAGCGTTCTGCGCACGCGCGAGCGCCCGATGCCAAGCGGTGGAAGTCGGCACGAAAAAATCGAGGAAATTCAAAATGAGGCTGTAAATCGACGAGTAGAACACGTAATTGCAGCATATTTATAATTGTGTTACACAAAAAAAGAAAGTGGACGGAAAGAAAAACACGACGTTTGGGTGGACGCTACGGATTTCCTTCTTAAAAGTCGCGCTAGGCCTACCTCGTTGCATTGGGCACGCGACGCTGCTCAGAGAGCGAAGCAACTGGTAACGTAGCTCCCATTATTGATTGGTAGCGCAGGTCACTTCCTCGATTTTTTAGTTCGCGCAGCCACCGCCTGGTGCCGTCGGTATATGGAAAAGGTCCATTTCTTTCTTTCTTTACTAAACAGCTATTTCGTTGACAAAAACGTATTCTAACTTATTTAAATATCCTGAATGAATTAAATAAATATTGTAGTAGTTTAAGACAGGTTTCCTGGAGGAAGAAAAAGCAACGCTGCTAGCGAACTACTTTCTCGACGGCGGAGGCACTTCAGATGGGCGCAATGCGCTTGTGGGTGGAGCTAAAAGATTGTTCTTAGGTTGCATCCGACTATAGACGCTTTACAGCAGCTGTGCATGGGCGCCGCCATAACTGACCTTCAGTTTTTGTTCCCCCTTATTCCGTTCGCTTCACTTCATCATTACCACAGCAGGACAGGTTATTGTCATTTTAGATGCTACTGTGTTCTTGTGCCCAACATAGGCCCTTGTGAAGACCCGTCAACGCCCGCTTCAGTGGCTCGGCATCTCGGTAAGACAAGAGAAGGGCGGCTATGGCGGCTGAATCTGGCGCGTATGTAAAGCGTCTATAGTTTGGCTACGCCACCGCTGCCGCAATGCATCGAGGGAACTTGTCTTTTTACACGTGCGACAACCACGCTGGAGCTCTGCCCGTGCAGAGCCATTGCCTCCTCTATACAAAGCCTGGCAGTTCGACGACGGAGCCATAGAGTGCCCGGTCGCAGATCTGGAACGCGAGGACCTGGTAACACAGAGCATCAAAATGGCTCTGGGGGAACCTGGACGTCAGTGGACAGCTTTTGCAGCGGCGAGGACCCGAAACCCACTTGTTCGCTCGAGAGAAGTGTGTTTCGTCGTCTCTCCGCAGCGGGGCGCCAGTCACGTGGCTATCCGCCTGCTTCTCGAGGCCGACCCGCTGCTCCCTCTCATGATTAAGCTGACGCTCGACGACGCTGGAGAGCTGATTGAACCTCAGCTCAATGGCGCCTTCGAGCAGCAGGCGTCGGGCAGTCAGGTGACAGGAGATAAGTCGCAGGACAAAGGCGCGCAGGCACCAGGGGGATCTAGGGTACTGGTAGTGGGGAGCTCTAACGTAGCACGGGTTAGGAGGGGTGTACATAACAGGGTGAAGGGAGACCAGAGGGTAACCGTAGAGGTCCAGCCAGGGAAGTGTATGGTGGATGCTATGACCGCAGCACGTGAGGGGGTGTGGGATAACCGGGAGGGAAGGAACCTAGTAATAGTTCATGCGGGGCTTAATGATGTGCTGAAGGGTAGGAGCCAGAACCTCGGAAAGCAGCTAGACGTGGGAATACGTAAGCTGAGGGACGTGTCTGAGAATGTGCATGTGGTTGTGTGCACCATTCCAGAAGTTCGGGGGCAGTCCGGGTTAACGGAGAGGAGGGTTGTCGAAGCCAACGGAGTAATTAAGGGTATGAGTCGACAGCTTCGGTACGACGTAATGGAAGTAAACAGAGAGGTGTACGAGGCTGGCTCCCGCCCTTTTGCAGATGGCATTCACTACAGTGAGGCCACGGGTTACAGGGTGGGGGATAGGATGGGCCGCACGGTGACTGCTTTTTTGGGGGGACCGAGGGCCCTGGGGGCACTGAAGTAATTGAAAACCCAACGAAGTCAGGAGAGGCACCCAGGGTTAAAAAGAGGAGAAAACGTAAGAACAGGTATAAAAAAACAGCACAATCAGACATTGGATATATTAACATGCAGGGTGGTAGAAATAGGTTAAAATGGGAAGAGGTAGAGGAGCAACTAAGAAAGGAGGATTTAATGGTGTATGGGTTTGTGGAAACACATCTCAGAGACATGGAGCAGCCACCTTGCAACCCTGACTATGTGTGGGAAGAATGCAACAGAATGGAGGGAACGAGGAAGGGAGGTGGAATTGGAGCATTTATTAAGAAGAATATAAACTTTCAAAGGATCAGAAAGGAGTGCGCCGAACATTTGTGGCTGAAAGGAAAAGTCGCTGGGGAATCAACAGTCCTTGGAGTGGTTTACTTATGGACAGGGACAGGTGCTAAAGAGGAAAACAGAAAAATGATTGATTGCATATCAAGAGACATTAGTGAACTAGGGGAAGGCTCCGAAATAATTATTATGGGAGACATGAATGCCCATATTGAGGGTCTGGATGGGTATACGGACTCAACTGGAAGCATATTACTAGAACTGGTGGAAAAACATGACTTAGTTTTATGTAATACCAGTCAGAAGTGTGACGGGCACATAACTTGGGAAACTGGCAATCTGCATTCAACTATAGATTACATACTCATGTCACACAAAATATATGGTAAGTTACAAGTAATGAAAATAGATGAAGAAGGTTCCAAAAGTCTTGGTAGTGATCACAAACGTATTAAGCTGAATTTTGCCAGAGAAATAAATGCTGAAACTAGACAACATAATTCAAAGCAAACTTTCTGCAGCGACAAAGAGTTGGAAATAGTTGTTGAAAGAATAGAGGCAGCAGTTTCAGGGCAACGGCATACAGATTGGACCTATGAGAGCCTAACTAGGCTTTTTGCTCTAGAACTAGACAAAGTGAAGAGTAAACGAAAGGGGAAGCATGGACATAGACCAAAAAGCTGGTGGGACAAAGAAGTGAAGCAAGCGATACAAAAACGTCAGGAAGCCTCTAGAGAACACAGGTTCTCCAAGCGTAGTGGGGAGTCCGAAACGGAAGTAAAAAGAAAATGGGACAATTTTATAACATGTCGCCGAGAGGCATCCAGTTTGATCAATGCGAAAATTCAGAGAAAGGGTGAGGAATGGATGAGTAATGTAAGTAAGAAAGATAGAAACGCTGCCAAGAAGTTTTGGGAGCACTTGAACTCACTCGGTGAAACAACGCAAGCAAGACAGAGGTTCATACTCTCGCATCAGGGAGATCAATTAGAGGGAGATGATGCGATACAATATATAGGAGCAGTGATGGAGGAGAAATTTCGGGAACGGTTACATGTGGAAGATAGGAGAACCGAAGGAAGTAGCAGTCCAGTTTGTGACATCGCGGATTTTGGACAAAGAGAATGGGAAAAGGCGGAACGAAGAGTCCCTAGTGGCACGTCGACAGGCACAGATGGTATCCCTATCAAGCTGGTGAAGAATTTGGGTCCTAAATCTAAGGCAAAACTAAGGGAGGTAGTGAGTACCATGATAACAAAAGGAAATATTCCAGATGAATGGAGGCTTAGTAGGATGAGTATGATATATAAGGGAAAGAGAGATAAGTCTGATATTAGGAATTATCGTCCTATAACCGTGACACCGGTTATTTACAGGTTGGTAATGCAGATTATAAAGAACATACTGGAGGAATGGGTAGATTGCGAGGGCATACTGGGCGAATTACAGAACGGGTTTCGAAAACAAAGAAGGTTGGAGGACAATTTATTTTCTCTAACACAGTGTATAGAAATAGCGCAAAAAGAAAACAGACAGCTCTGGCTGGCATTTCTGGATATCAAGGGTGCCTATGACAATGTGAACCAAAGAAACCTGTGGGACATAATGGAGAACTTAAACCTAGATGAAGGACTAACAGCACTATTAAGGAACATTTACAAAGATAACAAGGTGATTATAACATGGGAAGGAAAGGCGACAGGGAAAATAGAGATAAGACGAGGCCTTAGGCAGGGGTGCCCGTTATCGCCTTTGCTGTTTATGTTGTATCTGAGAGGATTGGAGGATAGACTAGAGAAGAGTGGGCTTGGGTTCAACCTTTCTTACAGTAAGCTAGGCCAAAAAATTCAGCAATCCTTACCGGGATTGATGTATGCGGATGATATTGTACTAATGGCTAACAACAGGACAGAGTTGCAGGAATTAATGAGCATCTGTGGTAGGGAAGGTGAGGAATTAGGTTTAGAATTCAGTAGCGAAAAATCGGCAGTCATGATTTTTAACGAGGATGAAGTTGTGAGGCTGAAGATACAGAATATTACAGTTGAGAGAGCTAATAAATACAAGTATCTAGGAGTATGGATATGTGATGGTGCAGAATATCTCAGAGACCATGAAAAGTATATAATAGGTAAGGGCAACAGAAATGCAGCTGTAATGAAAAATAGAGCACTTTGGAATTACAACAGGTATGAGGTGGTGAGAGAGATTTGGAAAGGGGTCATGGTGCCTGGCTTGACTTTTGGAAACGCAGTGCTATGCATGAAATCCGAAGTGCATGCGAGACTAGAAATAAAACAGCGCGGAGTAGGTAGACTGGCTTTGGGGGCACATTGCAAAACGCCAAACCAGGGAGTACAAGGAGACATGGGATGGGCATCATTTGAGAGCAGGGAAGCGGTGAGCAAGGTAGAATTTGAGGATAGGTTGAGGCAAATGGACGGGGAGCAATGGGCACGAAAGGTTTTCAGCTATTTATACATGAGGAGTGTAGACACAAAGTGGAGACAGCGCACTAGGAAATTAAGAGGAAAGTTTTTGGGCTATAGCGAAGATACGGAAGAGCAAGTCTCAGTTAAGAAGAAAGTTAAGGCCACAGAAAGAGATTGGTGGCTAGAGGGAATGCAGACAAAGACGGCTCTGGAAAGCTATAGATTAAACAAAAGAGTTATTGCCAAAGAAAGCATTTATGACAATTCTAGGGGAAGCTCATTGCTGTTTGAGGCAAGAACGGGTGTTCTGCGAACCAGAACATACAGAGTGAAGTACCAGGAAATTGATACAGTGTGCACTGCTTGTGGAGAGGAGGACGAGACGGCTGAGCACTTGATGCTCTACTGTAAAGGGCTTCACCCTATGCCTACCGAAGACAACATAGATTTAATAAAGTCATTGGGTTTTAGAGACAGCGAAGGGAGAGTGGATTTCAAGACTGTAGAGATTACCAAGCAAAGATTAAGTGAATGGTGGCAGAAATCGAGAGAAAACTAGGTATTTTCTTATCCACTGATGGCAAGGGGGTTTCATAGCCTCACTTTCTTTGCACTGCGGAGTGAATATAGATTTCACATTTAAATATTCTAAGCTTAAATGGTAAAACAAAATGGCTAGGTGGCGTAAGCTACCGCCCGATCCAAAGGGCTCAGCCGTATTCATCCATCCATCCATCCATCCTATCATCCGTTGTCTGCCGCATCCCCTTTTCCATTTCTGCGACCGCTTCTCGTGGCGATCTGTCATACTTTGTCAGTTTATAGGAGTCTATGGCAGAGGATGGAGACGGCAAGAGTTGGCTCGGGCAGTGCGGCTTACCTACTGTGAACTAGTTATGACGGCCTCACGCATGCGCCAGACCCAGACGCTTGGTGAGATCGGTCTCTTGTAATTAGGGGTGTCACGATCGTTTTTGATGTCGATTTTAATGTCTACCTCAAAGTTTTATTGTTTTGCCGTACCTTCGACCTTTCACTAAAGTTCCAAGTTCGACTTATGAATAGTGTTGTCCGGCTGCTAGACGAATATTTCGAATTTTGGTAAACAAATAATTGAGAAAGTAGTTTATTTTATATTTTATAAAATGAATGTTCAGACCATATAAAAGCAAAAATATACGCTTTTAGTGCTTTCGTTAGTAATGTGAACCAGCGATCCCGATACACTCAACAAATATTGCACTTTTCTTCCGCCAGGTGGAGTCAACTGTTTTTGTTTTGTTTTTTCATTTTCACACATGCGCACAAAAGTCGAACTTCATTCAAACCTTTGTCGAACATCACGATAAAAGTTTGGAAAAGTCGAACTTCGTCGAACTCAAACCTGGGCAGGATCGCGACATCCCTAATTGTAATGTAGACTGCTAAACGATAAAGCACGCCTGAAGTTATGACTTCCAATATTTTTATTTACCGTGTAAAAAAATTTGCACACACAAAAAAAAAAAAAAAAAAAATTAAGGCATTGAAGGACTAGACAAGGGTATTGCGTGAGGAAATTAGATTTCAGGAGTATTCTGCATAAATAAGGGCTAGCAAGATAATGTGCAAGAATGTATCCACGAAACCTGCGTGCCACCTCAAAACCCAGATATATCATACTTCTAATTACATACCTAGATATTTTACTACTAAATTGTTTTATGCCAACAAGGTTTACGGCCATAGTGACACAATTGATTTAATCTCTTGGAATGCGAAGTGCTCATGTGCTCATGCCTCAAATTTTATGGCTTCAAAAGCCTACATATCAAGAGCATGGTACAAAAATCATACCTAAAATTTCCAAGAATCAATGCACCTAATCGTAGCACGAGCACACAAAAAATAGACTGACCAGGGATGATAAATGCTTATGCCACACTACAGACGCACACAAACACACACACAAATACATCCACACAAATGCATAGTCAACAACACTTCTAGCTTGAACAAATGAGTTTGCTGCCACAAACCCCACACAGGTATGCAAGTGGAGACATCCAATGTCAACACTAATGCAAGCAAAATAAAAGAAGTTACTGATAACAAATGTAGATATTAGTATGTGGTTTCGCTATATACATATGTACAGGTACAGCCTGAAGGAATTCAATTCGTTTCAGTGCTGTCAAAAAAGATGCTGCCACCACCGACAGATGCCTCTAGAATGCAGAAGCTACCTGTCACTTGAAAACAAGACAGAAATAATGCTTCCAATAACAAAACACCGATGCTGGACGTTGCACATCGAATTGAATGGCAAGACATTGGTGTCATCTGTTACCCAAGTTGCACAGCAACTGTCAAATGTCGACTCCCCAATCTTGCAAAGAAGTCTAATGCCGAAATGAAACCGTAAACCTACAGCGCAAACTTTTCCAGTTTAAAAAAAAAAAAGATGAACGTTTCGTCCGAGATCACAAAACAAATCGAAAGAACACAATGCACCGATGCAATTCGACATCTTGTCTCGTCATGGCGCACCTCGCTCGGTTGCCATAGGTTTCCGGAAATTCGGCCGAATCGTTCCTTCGGTCACCACTTCACAAGCAACGCATCCCCAAAGGATTTCTGCACACACATTCCAAATGGTGAACACCAACGCGACGATGACATCAAAACAAAATAACGGCCAAAGAAAAAATGACAAAAAAAAAAGCGTTAAAACGACTTCCCGGAAGAGAAAATATCATAGCACCATTTCAACGTGAAAAAAATAAAAAAAAGTGTTTAGTGTTGAAACACGTACCGTCAAAAAATGAGTGTTGAGAATAATAAGTTAGGCAAAAGTGGCACCCCCCCCCCCCCTTCTCGTGCCCAAAACAAACAAAAAGGAAGCCAACGACACCATTTCTACGGCCGTTGGAGATGGCGCGGTTGGCCCCGCTGGTGACGAAGTTCCCGCGACGGAATCTTGATGAAATGGTTCGGCTCAGTGGGTTTGGTACTATTGCTTCCGCCAGGCACTGGCATGGGAGGGGCTACCCCGGCTTGTGTAAGGTTCCTCGGGGCCTGCTGCCCCGCCCTCAGGTGCGGCGGAATGGCTGACTCCTTGACGTATGTTATCTTGGTGTTGATGACTTCGCATTCTATCTGCATCATGGGGACGTGCTCTTTGGACTGCGCCATTGATTCTGCATATGAAACGACACGCACGACAGCAGGCTAGAGTCAGTTTCAGTTTGCGGCAATGAGAAGAGAGGCAGTGCCAATGTTTGTGCCCTTGTTTAACCCTTCTTATGCGGCGTGAAATTCGAGTTAGCTCTCACTTCTACCGTCGTGCCACCACCGTTTGCAAATAGAGTAAAAGCCTGGACGTCCGTGAGCCTTCGTAATGTTAGCAAGTTGCACAAATGGCCAGAACTCAGGAAATTCAAAGGGTCGCAAAACTCTTGCCTCCCAAAGTTTTTAGAATCTCAAATGTACGAGGCATTTCTTTCTAGGCTGTACAGATTTGTTTTAAAAACGTTGTGAGAGCTACACTAATGCAGTCCGTGCATGCGAGTTATACGGTGAGGAAGGAATCACCGTGGCATGACTTAGGCACACTGTTCCCGGTAAAAACAAATCTCGCCCCGCATAAAGATTCGTAAAACAGATTTGATTAAGATGATCACTTCACCAGACACAGAAACATAAGTAAACTACTCAAAGACTTGAGCAATCCGCTTTTGAAAAACCTTAAGACTGGAGGAAACAAAAAAAGGGGACACCACACACAGAGTTCGAGGCGCTGTGTCTGGTGTCCCCTCTTCCGTTTTCTTCAGTCTTGAGGTTTTTCGAAGATCAATTGTTCTGCCAGGTAAGTTTTTAACCGCAGCTGTAGAAACCTGCCTTGCAGAGCCGAAAACAAACTGTCTTGAATCACATCAGGTCAAGTCAACAGTATCATGACTACAAATGCCGCAAACCTCCCGAAGTTCAATTTCGAAAATTTTGAACCTCACTAAGGTTCCAATTCGAAAAGTTTGGGCCTTTAAAACACCGCTGAGGTTCGAATTCAAATAATTAAAAAATATTGAGGTTTCTGAAAGTTTGAGTTCGAAGATTTTTGAATTTCTTGATAAAATCAAGTTAAAAAATAGAAAGTTTCCAATTTTGTTTTTTTATAGGGCCTTTTGGCTTTAGTTAACTTCTCATCATGAATCCTCCACGGAGGAGCGGAGACTCTTCGTGTACGCACGCAATTTCCAAAAAATAGCGTACGCTAAAATAGCACACGCTATTTTTCGGTCCCTGCAAAGTCCCAAAAATTGGTCGGCAACTGTACCTGTGTTACTCGTTATTTGTCATAACTTATGAAACATGCATTGAACTGGCTGAACGGTTCATCGAAAAGCCCTGAGGCAGTCAGGGGAATGTACTTCCTGCTTCTTCGAAAACTGAAAACTAGTAGCAATCTGATCAATTGTTGCCTAAATGCAATGCATGCGTGAGACAACGCATACACACAAAAGCAGCCAGGCTTCCTGAAAATGTTTTGTCGCTCTGGGCGTTCATTTTTGTAGGGATGACCCGTGGGATGGAGAAAACACTAGGCACAGGAACAGCAGCCGACACAATTCAAGGTTGAGGAAAATGCGACCAGACTGGGGTCCCCTGATCCCCGAAAGTACAGCAGCTGATCAGGTTACGACCGGTTGTCATCGGGCTAACCCTATGTCCGCTGTCTGGAATATTTCTTCATCAATGAATGGCGATATTGGCCGCTCTAAAATGCTGCCGGTTCCTAATTTAATGAAAAAAGCGCCGATCCAGCATTTGCTGTAGTGCAACGGCGCGTTTTGCCCGAGCAGCCGCTCACTCGAGGGAATCGGGGCTATGAGGAACTCCCCAGCGAAGCGACTCGTTTCAATTTCAAACGAGCAGATAGAGGATCTGCTGGCCCACAGGTTGTCTCGGGCAAACCTATGGAATTGTGCATGAGAGAGGCTCTCTACGGAAGCTGAAAGAAAAAGGTATGAGGCCGAGGTCACCTCAAAGTGATCATTCAGCAGCTTTAAAAACTAGTCGTTGGGGCACGCTCGGCTTAGTGAAACTTTATTGAAAATTTCACTCCACTTCACACGTTGATATCTTGTATTTATATTCGTTGCCTCGAAGCTATAGGGGTGAACTTGGTTCAAACTTTGTCAAACTTTTGTTCTGTAGTTCGTCAAACTTTCGACCTTGAAATTTTCAAAAGTTAAAAAATCGTTCAAATTTCTTAGAATGAAAAATTAGAGAAAGTTTGAATATTGTTGATTTGCATAACATGAAAGGTAGAAAACAATCAGATTTTTTAATGCCAAAAATTCAAAAATTTGCAAATCCCCAATTTTTTTTTTTTTTTTACATTTTTTGATTTTTTGAATTCCTTGGTTTAATTTTCGAACCTCAGGTGCAAGTTTGCGGCATCTCTAATCGTGACAACATCAAGAAACAAGATGCTACGATTTTACGACTTTTGTATAAGCTTCAGAAAGTACCACTTGCCATTGAATGTCACCGCTGGCATTACTAGTGAGATCCGGGGCATCCTTGTCCGGTTTTCCGCATTTGCCGACAGCAAGAGGTAGTCCTGAAGAGAAATGATCAATACATGTATCGATACACACAATACATATTGGGGAGGAGATCAGAGCGTGGCGCCCCAAGCAGCTAATTTTAGAACTACACGAATAAGGACAACTCGGAGCTCGGCTGACCTAACCGAACGCCGCATCATAGTTCGGCTGGAGTTTGTGTTCTATGGTCGTCCGACAGGAAGGGGGGGCTCTTTTGTTACTACTCCAGCCCGCATGAACAATGAAGCATGCACGGTGCATATGCCCGGCCCAGCACAAAAGCCGAAGTGGGACAAGCCCCCTTGCTTTAACGGCTGCTTTAAGGGGAGATTCGGCACTAACCATAAACGTCACATTGTTTATTGTTACTATTTTTACGTTACACCCTGCCCTGCACTCTACTGAAGATGACGACGTAACCATGATGACGTGGACATGCCCAGAAGGCCAGTGGGCATGTCCACAAGCCTTGTGTTGGTAAACACCAAGGTGTGGGGACAACCAACAGGTCAGTGCACCCCCATACCGCATTTGCACGAATATAACGCAAGTTTTTTTCTCGGAATTGCGCGGTCCAAAACGCACCTCGCGTTGTATTCGCAATTGAGTTCAGCCACGAGGTGCGCAAGTCTGGAGAAAGCCAGAGGAGAGAGCCACCCCACCGGCTCAATGCAAAAGACCCGGTGGGAAAAGAAGGAGTGTGGGAGGAAATTTATTAGCTATTGGGCCACGTGAAGAGGGGAAGAGGAAACGTAGAAAGCATTTTTGTCGCTTTTGTGTTTGTACAACGCCCGCAGAAACGCAGAGCACGGACATGTAGGCACTGGCCAAGCCAAGCCAAGCCAGGCCAAGTCAACATAAGCCGAAAAAAGACCACCAGGTTTTGCAATCGTGCAACACCAAGATGTTTGTTTATGCGGTGGGACCAGAACAAGAAGTGCGATCCTGTAAGCGGTTCCGCAGTCTCTTTTCTGCCTGGGCATTTTTTAATTCCTGCTCCAGATTGGTTTGATGTTTGTGCGTTGGTGCTTCTGAATCCTGCCTTGCTTTGCTTGTGGGCTGCCGAGGAGCTCACGCCAAAGAAAAAGGAACTACCAGACAAGCCACACTGTGCTGCTGCTTATGTGCGTAGTCGCCAAGTGGACTGTAAACGGAAGGACCTGAGCAGTGAGGATGAGTGCAGTCAAAACATAAACTGATATTTCTTCTATTTTCATTGCCTTTTCACTTCTGCTATGCCCCCAAGTGTGGGAAATAAACGCGGCCTCGACTCGCGTTCTAATAGTAATATTATTTTTTTTCTTTTTGAGATCATCAAAACCTGCCCTCGCATTATATTCGTGTTCGCGTTATATTCATGCAAATACGGTTTGATCTCCTCGCCGGTAGCATTTCCATTATTTATATAGCCAAGTTTGGCAAAAAAATGTGGCACTATAAAACCTTACACCTCCAATCATTGCAAATATTCAATTGGAAGAACAGACGGCACTTGCATAAAAACCTTTTTGAATACCTTTCTTTTTTCACTTCTGCACTGGAATGTTTGCAACAGGAATTTGCTGGTGCTCATCCAAGCATAGCAAACTGAATGCTGCTACCAAGGCTAGGTGTAACGCAACAAAATCAACGAACACCATAAAAATAGGCTCTGTTATGCCCTCACAAAGTTATATAGAAACAGAATAAAAAAAGACAGCACGAAAATCCATTGAATAGTCCCCGAAACAGCGCTGGGACGAGCAGCTATGGCAGTGAAAAAATCTATTCTGAGTAAACAGCACTTAAAAATTGCACACAAATTTTCGATTTTAGAACGACCCTGCGGAGTAGTCCAAAGTGTTCTTGCACACTTTTTTCATGTTACGCCTATCCGACTTCTCTTGATGTCGCTTGCTGGCCTTGTGCAGATGTGGGGCATCTTTTTCGGCTGCTCACTGGAGGGCTAGATGGGCTGGCTGGAGTCCAACCGAAATTTTTGCCGTCGCCCTGTACAGCCGATGTTGAACCTCAATACCGCTTCATGCAGTGCAGATTTGACAGCGATCAGCAATGCATGCTGTTTCTTAGGCATTGAAGAACAGAGAAACGAGTGGAAAGACTTGGATGCATTATAAAAGACAAGAGTGCAAAAGACACAGACAAATAGAAGGACAGGACAGGACATGCGCTGTTCTTCTTCTTGTCCATGTCTTTAGTGCTCTTGTCCTTTGTAATGCATTACCAACTAGTCCAGTGGTTAATTTTGACTCAGATGCATTCTGAGTCCTTGCTCCCAACCAGCGTTGAAGCAGAGGAACGTGCGACAGGCGTTCGTAGACGGGCAGCATAGAGTGACATAGCCTGGTAGTTAGTGCTTGTGCTGGGACTCTGGCTCACCTTTTGCCTAGGCAACTCAATGACAGCACAACGATTAAGCTTTCTCCAGGCAAAGTTCATGGTGAGGCTCCTGGTAAGTAGATGTGACATGATGGTAGGTGGCCATAACCGCACACTGCATTGCTGCCACGTTCTTGGTGTTGTTTCGGAGGGCCCAGCCTTAGTAGTCGGTGAGATTGTCAATGAGGGCCTTCGTCAACCTGCCCTTACCGCTCAACGGCTTGCCATTCTTCTGGACGAGGTTGCACAGTGCCGTTCCCAGCCACTTCTGAACATGGCACAAGCACTCTTCTTTCACGATGGGGACTAGCCAGTAGACGTTCTCTTTGCTAAGGGCAGGGAAGGTCCTGCTGTCCTCGTCGGAGACAAGTGCCGTGTACCGCAGGTGGCGCTTGGAGACAGAGCGCTTGAAGAGGGTCAGGGCTGCCTCGACCTCCATCCTCTTCCGGATTTGGCATCCGTGTCTTTCTGGCAGACACGATGCATGCGCCAGCTGTCATACCCTTAATCCAGGCTTGGGTTCAGTCTGGCACCCAAGGCACAGGTTGAACAAAACCTGGCATCCCAGATGAGGCCCGTGTGGTATTCTATGACTGACCCGACTCTGATGAGAGATGTGTGCCCTATCTTGTGCCATGTGCCGTCGTACACCACAGTGATATCCTTGGAGAACCCCGGGTCCATCTTCTGACAGGCTGCCTTCACCGCGACAGCCGACTCGACATAAAAATTGTCCATGCACAGGTCCCGTGGCTCTTTGAAGGTCTTTTTCAGGTGCTCCTGGAAAGTCTTGTGGTGGAGAACTCTGTGGGAGACGTTCATAGCTGCCCAAAAGTCATTGAAAGCTGTCTGCCCCTTTCCTATCTGCTTGATCACCATGATGAACCAGATGTTGACTTTGAAGGCCCTCGAGTTTTGTTGGCGTGGCGAAATCCAGGAATATGCATGAATGCCGCAATGGGGGCATAGGGCCTCAAGTTTTGCTGCCAGTCTGAGTTTGGTGCCTTCTTGGATATTCAGTCCAGTTCCCGCACAATGCTTGCACACTCTGTAGCAGAGCAGGTTGCTCAAAACATCAATCTGAACAAGGCAGAACTTCGCACCTTCGCTTAAAGAAGGGGCAGGTGTGGGATTGGGCAGCACGGCTTCAACTTCCTCTGGGTTGCTGGCATAGCTCCAAGTTTGGCTTGAACAGTATCACGATGCCTAGAATCTGCTTCGATCTCCTCGCGTATCAGGAAATGCGTCCGCATATGGGTGCTGGATGACGCATTCACACTCGCTGCGGCAGGCAGAAGTCTAGCACTGGAACCCACAATTTCGGGAGGAACCACAGCAGTCAATGTGCCTGGAACTCCATGTGTGAGCGGTGCAATGCATTTTTCCTCGGCAAGAGCCAATGGCACAGGAAATCCATCACTGGAAGCGTTGACACAATCATTATTAATGGCACGCTGCACAGAAACTTGTAGCTTCGCCATCCGCAGTAACTCCATGAGTCCCTTCCACGCACCACACACAAGCATTGTCTTGTATTTCAAACCTCGCAATGTGTGCGACCACGAAACAGACGGGCACGCTACACAAAACTACTCAAAGAAAGTTCAGAAAACAATCTAAAGACGGCGAAAAATGAAGCGGAGCTGACAAAGCGGGCGCGAGCAAGCAGACCAGTGCCGAGAGCAGACGACGCGAGCGGCAACATCAGGAGGAACGGAGAGGAGGAGAGCGCTCCGCGAGTGAAGAAATCGCATCCCCAACCAATAGAAATCGAGCACTATGTCCAATCACATTCTTGGAATTGCGACATGGAAGAACGGCGACCATGCCGTAACCAATCGGCCAATGCCATTTTGGGAGCAGGCAAATAAAAAAGAAAGAATTCACCTTCAAACCAAGACCAAGATGGCGGCCGCCAACCAAATGCGTCAGGAATAGCGAGCGTGCGAAGTTGGGGTTGATTTTGAAGTTTAACCGTCACTTGGATGCCACGCAGGCATCGTAAATATTTTTTAATATTTCCTCGTTGTATTAGGAGCTGATAATTATAGATAAGGTAGTTTATAGATATACAACCCAAATATATGGTTTTCTAAAAATGAATTTTTTCGCGATTTTTCGGTTTTCAAAGCTTGCGTCCCTCTTAAATACAAGAATATAAGGTAAAGGATATTACCCAGAAGCAGGGTGGACTTACCCCCGAAAAAGACACATAGTAAAACATGTCGTCCTTGCGCTGAATGGCTTCATATAGGTCTTGGTAACTTCTACGGAGGGCTTGGTAGAGCTGCAAATAGTTCTGGCCGCCGCCGGCTTCCCTGCAAACCAATCACGTCGCCAATTGCAACGGGACCATGGCACTTCACACCCAGCACTATTCCAGGCTCTATTTCAACTCCCCTAGATTCCTCTATGTCTGACTAGCCACAATTCCATCCGAGTACCTCTGTGCCTTCCTTGGTCGATCCCCGTCCTAAAAACGACAGGTCGAGAACGAAAAAAGTGTTGCCCCGTTCTGCACTTCGCACTATGCAATGCATCATGGACGCAAGATTGGTGGAGTTCCCATCAGCTTTGAATAAGCCCAGAGGCTAATCGCAGGCCGATTTGTCTGCATCAGATGGAGGTAGGAAGCCTCTGGAGGTGACCTGAGGCCACCAAAGGTGAAGCCAGAAGTGTGGAGTGACACACCTCCAATGATGACAGAAATCAAGAGACAGTATTGGACGAAAAGGAGGGCTGACTTGGTGCCAACAGCTGCTTTGAGGCCCTGAGGGTGACCAAAACAGCTGTTGGTGCCAAGTCTGCTCTCCTTTTCGTCTAATAGTCACTTGGTTTTGGTCAACGTTGGGGGCATGTCCCTCCACACTTCCGACTTCACCTCTGGTGGCGTCATGTCGCCTCCAGAAGCATCATATCTCCATGCATGCACGCCTCGTACGGCACTTGGTGACTCGCCAAAAACGTTCACTGGACAAGGTGGGTGCGAAAACCTACCACCCGTCTTCGTAAATGTGGCGATACTGCGATCCAATCCACGTCTGCAGACGTTGGGGCTTCTGGGGTGCCGGCTTCCGTGGAGGCGCCGCCTTCTTACGCTGTTCCCTGCGTCTCAGGTTCATGCTCTCGAGCTGGTGTACCCAGCCGCGCAACTCGCTCTCCAGTCTGAAGGAACGAGGGGTAAAAAGAACTGTAGCCTAGAGCAACATGATCTGCACTTTTGAAAACCGATGTGTCAAAAAGCATGAGGCTAGACACTTGTGGGGAAGACGGAACAACTTTAGCCCGCTTGCTCCACAACATCGCAGCGATGCCACGAGCGTGTCTAAGTACAGATACTTTTCGCCAGTGCCCCATCATTTACTAGAGGCCCTTTGTAAATTGTGACGATCAGCTCTCGTATGCTCTAGGAAAGCAGGCGAGTGGGTTGTTTTTCTTACATGAGCAGTGCTGGCTACAAGTGCGGGAATATGCTACAAATGACAATGCCTCTAGGCAGATCACACTATAAACAGAGGAGAAATATAGTCAAATGCTTAGTGAAATGTATCGTACATGTAAAGATGTATGTGAAACAAAGTCGACATTTCCCTAAGAGACTCAGTTTCTTTGTGAGCACTTTTGCCTTGAAAATCAAGAATCAGAGGCAACCATTTGTTCGAAAAAGACCACTAAAAAGGGGTAGAACCCGTCACCCAAGGAGGTTTTTCAGGTTGTGGAACCCATCTGTGGTGACGAGTTCCAACTATGCCCTCTTGGGTATGCTTGACATCTTTGGTAGAGTGGTGGCACTAGTGAACCGCTTTAAGTCTCCATCCACCTCATTCAGTCCATCTCAAAACCCATCACCAGAGGGTGCGTTTCAGTCAGAAGAGAGTTTCTGCCCCATTCTCTATGTTGCCTGCATTATATTTTTTAAATGCCCGGGGGTCCAGTCGCCTCCCCACTGCCCCCCCGTTCCAACACCTCTGGTGGAACCAGTCTTTTGGTGACGGGTTCCAACCCCCTGCGCTCTCAGACGTGCTCGACATCTTCGGTAAAGTGGCAACGCTAGTGAACCACTTCAAGTCACAGTCTATCACAGTCCTTCGATTTTGAGGAATACGCTTTTATACGCTGATACAAGTGAGAATTGACCTGAGGGACTCTGTTTGGTTCACGTAGGAGGGGCACTTGAGGGACCCGTTCCTCGGCGGTCTCTGGACGTCCAGAGCTCCCAGGAACTCGGCCGAGGAAGGGGCAGACCCGGCAATGTCCCCGCCGACCGATCCCAGGTCTGCCACAAAAGCGTCGTCTGCAAGCTCCTGTTGTTGAGACCAGAGCAGGTGGCGCCCCCAGGTGGCTCTCTGGGCGGGAAGTGCCACGCCCGCACCCAGGTCACTGCTGGAACTACGGAACAGGCCACTGGAAAGAGAAAGAAGCCCAGTGTGCAAGGAGTTACAGGGATGTGTTTCGTTTGTAAAACGAGGCATTTGAGCCAATGGAATCAGAACTTCCTGAAAAAGCTCCTTTTTCAAATTTCCGAACCGAAGACTACCAAAGGTAAATACCGAGGTGAAACATATATGTACAGGGGTGATACTGATTTCCAGGCTCACTACGGAACAAGCTCGAAAAATCAATATCTGCACGCAGAAACTGCAACTTTTCTCCAGGAATGTATTTTAGTCATACATATCATTTTATTACAGAATGACCATCCAATTTCACCACCTATGTGGTGCCAACTCCCCCTAAACACATTTCACCACAGTGTAAAGGTTTGACCACAGACACCAAGCAGCGAGAAAGAAATGAAAGCAGCAAGTGACTGCGTGCCATGCAACGTGCATTCCCTCACCTAAACGGCGCAACGTTGACCGTGAGCATGAACATCACCGCCAAGAGAGCAGTTGTCTTCTTTATGCTTGGTGTCGTCTGCTTCCGGTGGACCGCAATCTGTTCCAAGAAAGTTGTTTGGAAAAAAAAAAGGCTGAATGAAACATTTAAGCGTACAAGCCCATATGCTCTGTTTGGGGAAAAGGAGGATAAGCACCTCCCACAAAACCTTGACTCTCTCCATTTTAGCAGGGCAAAGGCTGGAGGGGAGGCAAGTCCAGCATTCGCTCAGCTAAAGGGGAAAGAATGGAGGGCTTTGCAGAGAACAGCTTGTCCTGCTTTTCTTAGCCTGCAACAGAATAAAACTCCTAAACCTGCTGTTCTACTGCAGCGGCAAAATACTAAGTCTGCCTCAAGATACACGCAACTATACACGTTTTTACCTCACGAATCATAGTAAAAAAGTCTGGCTCCCACTGGAGCATCACCAATTTCTACTTTTATGTAGAGAAAATAAGATATCTGTAGCTGCATTTTAGAATAGATATATGTTACCTTATCAAGACATAGACATTTCACATGCCAAAAGCATTTGGCGTTTGGCTAACCATGACATTTGGCTAACATTTGCATTTGGTTATGACAAACCAAAGCATGTCATAAAGTACTGTCGAACCCAAGGTTTGATTGGTTCGGTGAATCTTTGAACTTTTTCCAAAATCCTGGGAAGTTCCAACTTCTAGAAAAACTTCGGAAAAATATTTTTGTGAAATAGATAGTTTTAAATTTTAGAGAGTAATTTCCAATGCTACACAAAAACAAGAGCAAACATATATGCTTTTAAGATGCCGCAAGCCTCGGTAAGTTTGCGACATCTCTACTTGTAACACACTAGTATTTCACAATAAAATATGGCCCTGAAACAGTAGATACACTAAAAATGAAATGTGCGGAAAGCTTTCGTAGGCACCTAACAAAAAAGGAAACATCAAAAGAAGGTTTACCTCTGCTTCGAGTTGAGAAACTCGCTGACGGAGGTGGATGTTTTCCTCGCTCAACCTGCTGTTCTCGTTGGTCAGGTCTCGCACCTCGAGCTCCAATTTCTGGAGATACTGCAAAGGAGCGGCGTCCAATGACGATGTGGCCGCTGAACGAGCCAGTTTCTGCAGCTTCAGACGCCGCAGAGCGGGAGGGGTCTCGTAAAGACTGTCCAGCACTGCCTACCTCTTTCCTCTTCTTGCGCGACAGGCAGGCAGATTCCCTGTTCTTTATCATCCTCTGCTGCCGCTTCAATGCCTTGTTCTGAGAAATGCAAAGACAGGCACCACTGCTTAACACATTACTAGCCTTCAGCAAACGACATGTGTGTGGCAACTACCGCAAAAATTGGCTATAAATAAATAGAGACGGTGGCTAGATTAACTCTCTTCCGACCGCACCCATAGAGCGTCGATCCCCCACGGTCGATGGGCATGAAGGCCTATTTCAAAACTTCTGCGGAGCTCTCACGATCACTGCATCATCTCGTAAGTTCTTTGAAGAGTTTGGGTTTCTGTGTTTCTCTTCCTTTTTCTGCATAGCAGCGATTTTTAAGCCGAGAGGGAAACCGACAGCACGTCATTGTTTGTGAATGCCACGGGGCATGTGCTCGCAAGCACGGCAATTCTTGCAGATCCTCCGTCGATTTTTCAGACGCGGATTGCAGCATTGGGTATGATAATGAAGTTGATCATTATATTTCAGTTCTATTGACCTGTGCTTCACCACGTTGAGAAGCTGCTTAGCCCAATGGTATGTCGGTCATGAAGGTTGAAAAATTTTTTGTGGAGGTTTTTGTGGTAAAATTACAAAAGATATATATTCCATTTTTTTTCTTACTTTCTTTCTTTCCAGTTATAGCCATATATTTACATGGTTTGGTACCCAATCTTTGGAAAAAAAGACTTGTGTATGATGAATTAAACATTGCATTAGGATTCAAGTCTCTGCTTTGACGTCTGCATCATTCAAAAGTCAATTTAGTTAGCTTTATTTTTATGTATGACATTATATTGTAAGCTAATAGTTTCTGAAAGCAAAATACATTAACCCTCACAAAACAGGCGTTTTTCCCATGATCAAGAAAGATTTAAGGCAGGCAAAAAAAAAAGACCAAGCCCTTATACATCTTGGATCTGTCTTTATCCATCTCATAGTTTCCTATTTTCGTACAATATGGTTCATCTGCACCGGCCTCTCTTATGCACCTTCACTTCAGCCTGTATGAAAAAAAGAATTTTAAGTTTGCAGCTGAGTGGACTCTGAAAAAATGCACAGGTAAAATCAATGAGTGACACATATGACCGAGAAGCATCTTAGCACACAGTACAACGTTCAAGTGATCAAACGTGTAAAATTGTAATAGTGCGTTTTTTAGACAGCAGAAAGCTAGTCAGCATCAATGGGCATCTCATGTCTTCGCTGTAGATAACAAATTTAGCTAGTGAAGCACCACTGCTATGCTGGGGTCAGCAGCGATACATGGACACACGGCTGTACAATACTCATTTAAATCTAAATGGGCAGAGGTGGGGATGGGCAGATGTGTGGGTCTTTCTCACACAAAAAAAAAGCAGATCCCTACTTCAGTCGATACAACACGGAGTCCTTCGGGAAATCCCACCAAATCAAAATGGGACCAACCGGCCGAGGCGGCAAACTTACATCGTTGGATGGATTGAGCATGGCCGCAGCGTTTGCGAAGAGAAAGCTTGGCTTGGACATGGCCATCGGCTCAGTCTTGATGACCGGCATGGTCGGGCAGGGGCCCTTGGTGACACCGGGAATGAGAGCGCCCACAGGTGCGGCGGCCATCTTAAGGGGAGCCTTGAGCACCGGCTGGCGTGACTGGGGTGACACCGTCTTGGGTGCCACGGGCGTCGTCGCTGCCGCATTCGTCTTAATGGTCAGCACCCCCTGGGACGTCAGGCGTGCAAACTCTTCTGCTGTCAGCATCAGCGTCTGCGGCGTGGGCGCCGTGGCCGGAACTGCAGGTTCGGGAGAATTGAGGATTTATGCACGCAGATATGGCAGGAAATCAATCCGCCTTTTGAAATGGAGGCTAATGTATCCACTGCGAAGGGTGAACATAGACGACAGGTAACCTGGGGTCTTTAAAAGGCACCGTGCGATAGTGATACCCTGCCGTAAAAGTAAACGTGGAATGTTGCGTAGGAACGCCACATAAAATTAAACCGTCGTTTCACCGCACGCAACAAACATTCTGTTGGCTCAAGATAAGAGGTGGCTGCTATCTTAGTGTTCCTCGTATTGTCTTTCTTCTTATCATTAGCTCTGCTTAGTTTGGCACTAATTGCCGTGGCCAATTTGTTTGCATGACAACCTTATTTGGAAACTGCTTTTTTCATTCTCGAAATTTGCAACGGGCGGTTTGCTCCCTAGTCATCGGAAGCATCTCGCTAAAGCTTACTTTCTAAGAGTTGAGATTCACCAGGTAGGCAAACCCTCAAACAACTCTCTTCAGAGGCAAAACAAAACACCCCCGTTGACAGCCTTTCCAACAGTTTGTGTCGCCCAGTGACAACACATATACCAGCTTACCAACAAGCGTTGCCACGGAAGTCTGACCGGACTAATAAAAAGCTGCCCCAGTTGCGTCTGTGCAAAGAGTTGGCTCTATGTTTGCCGAGCGAGACCCAGGCGTCAGTGTTTGATCCACTGTACTAATCAGAACTGTCTGTTGCTTATCAAGCTACCCTACCGAGCTTCAGCTCAATACAGGTGTACAGTAATATGGGAAACCCCTCTTTAATAGAAACCGATTTATGAAATATGGATGTATAGAAGCAAAGTTAATGCACGCTTATAACGCTAGCACAAACATTTGGGGTACTAATTTAGTAAAGATATTCCCTGCAAAAACTGAGTTTCCTTTAAGAGGTCTATCTACAGCAGTACCATCCCTTTTCATTATGCGGACAACTTAGCACTGGCAGACGACACAAGTGACAATGAAAGCGACGAAAATTTGCAAACTGATGTTTTATTCCTCGCCCAACGAGAGGAGAGATGCGCCACCTCAAAGCACTTCCTCCGAAATATCATTGTTGCGTTTGCGTTTTGCCACTTGAGACACACCCTCTAGTCTTGCAAGAGGAGCACTTGCCTGTCTCGACCACGGTGGCATGGCCGGGATTGCCGACGCCGCTGCGGTGCACAGGCCCCAGCGGCGACATCGAGGGCGCCGGTGCGAAGGGGGCCGTTCCTCCTTCCCTCGTGGGCGACGAAGCGGTGATGGTGAGGGTGAAGCTGGGGCTAAAGGGGTCCTGGGGGTGAGGCGGGGTGCTCGACCCGCTCTGGGTGGGGGGTGTGTCCGGGGGCGTCTCCGGGACCACAACGCCGCCGGTGGGACTGCACTGCCCCATGTTGATCTGGAACCCGAGAGACAGAGGACGAAGTTGAACAATCTATTACCCTTCGTCACAACGCAAATAAGGTTTCATGCTTGAGAGGTTTACTTTCCTTCAAATTCGGAAGCGTTTTTTTCAGGCTGTTGCGAGCTGCTGCAAGCCGAAGTAATTGGTAGCAGAAATTGCCCCCTATCAGCGATCTTGTTTTTCTGCATGTGTGATATCTCAGACTAAAACAATTATGCAGATTGATTGCACCGTGACCTTTGCATTTACTCTGCGAGTATAAGCTTGCACGTCTTCTTGCCTTCAACTGCACTCCGACTTGTGGTAAAATGAAGTGTGCAAGTGTATTGTTGGGCCTTTGGTGAACTCGAGAAGAGCTAGACAGAGAGATTGCAAAAGGAAAGTGCTCATATGTATGCTCCGTTTCCTATGCAGTGCACAATGCCGAAGCCACTGGTGCAAGCGCATGGCCTTGCCTAGTATTTCATTTACATATGAGAAAAGCATTGAACCAGCGTCCTGAGACTGCCATGAAGCTAGGAACTTGGCCGGTAAAAACTCACGCTGTTGAGATAGGAGTCTGGGTCTGGGTAGTTGCAGGACGACTGGCTGTAGGAATCGGGAGAACACGGCTCCATCTTGATGTCGGCGGGGGAGAAGGTGAACTCATCGAGGCAGAAGTTGTCGTCAGGTGCCAAGGCATGGCTCAACTCCGGCGTGGAAGACTGCTGCTTGAAAAATAAAGATCAAACTAGAACACTTACAGACCTTCTATATTTTAGAGCGGATGTTTCTCTCGGTCTACACGAACCACGAGTCACAAGGGCTCTTTTCCCCTTTTCGAAATGTTTGGAAGATACTTGAGAGCTGGTGCCACGGAGGGCAGAAACCTTTTCATTACAGCTGGCAATGCTGACGGTCACTCGACGTAATGTCCCGTCGATATCTGCGTCCAGCCACTGGAACACAATACAACTGTCAAGTCATTCAGTGATATTGCCCATATTATTTGTTTATTTTAAAGTTCATATGTGCTTCAATTTCAAGCTAGTGACTCACATTCCTTTTTAGTTTCCATTACAGCCAAATACAAGACAGCACTATCGTCAGAGAATGACACATGTTACCATATGTGGGTTAGTTTCTTACATCAGGGCAACTCACCTGCAAAAGGCTGTTGTAGATGTCGCTCTCGTTTAGGTCCTTGAAAACTGCGAAGTTAAAAAGAAAAGTCGAGGGTGAGCACATTGGTTGCAATTAGGCATTAGAGAGGTTTGGCAGAGCGTTACTGCTGACTATTGAGGGCACGACAGTGCTCCGGGAACATACTTGGAAGCACGCTTTGAAATCACAGTGCAAGCTCCGGGTAGCAATATGGATGTAGGTGGTACACTGCTAAAGTTCCACATTACTAAAAGGGTAATGCAAGGCCTACACTTGCAGTAATGTTTAATTGTGAAACTTGTTCAGGCTCCCTAGAGATGAGTTTCCTTCACAAATTGCGTGTACCCACGAAGCTTTTCTAGTTGGCTCTTGTCGGTGCATACCGCTGAACATCTTTTTTTCATCTAGCTGCCAATTATGTTTCAAATGCTATGGTTGCACTTTAAACAGAATATATCAACACTATATCTCAAGTTACAAAAAGCGCTTGAGGAAGTATGTACTTTCAAATGGCAGTGGCTGGAACTCATGCACTAACTGAGTTACTCGCTCAAATACTGGGGCTGTAGCAGAGGGCAGTGTGAAGTCCTATAACAACACACAAGACCTTGACAGGTTTGTCACTTCAAATGTTAGCCTCTTTCGAGCTAAAAAGAAATGGACAAGTCGCAATGCAAGGCGACCCTGTTTTCAAAATGTCACGAGTTAGAAGATGCATGACATTCTGCTTAGCAGAACCCATGTCAACTGCAAATTCAATGTCAAGTGCGTATAGTGGCCCTCAACGATAGAAAATATTAGGACTTGCAACAGCATGGATGCTGATCTGCACAGCAGAATGAAGAAAGGAGAGAGGAACCCACTCCTTGTTTCTTGCCAGTATTTATATTTTAAAAAGTCACTAAAACCCCCCAAAAATGTTCTTCTTTTTTTTTTTTTTTTTTGCCAAGTGATATTGCCCATGTTATGGTGTCAATCAATAATTTGCTGCAGAGTCACGTATATTTTTAATAAAGACAAAAAGCTCAACTGCTCGAAACCGAAACACAAGCACGGAAGATAGTGGTGAGAAGTCACGTAACTACACCCGACTGCAGTTTTTTTTTTCCCCGCTTTTTTAACGCGTAAAGCAGACGACGACAAAGTTGTGTGCACAGATGGTCGTGCGATTGTTTCACACTCATATCCCTTTCCCTCGATGTTCGGTGCTTGAAGATCAATTGGCCGGTACCATGAACGACAGTTTCAAAGTAGCGGCCTCACATCCATTGCAACGTTGGTCCGTCGTGCGCCACCATCACGTCGTCTAGCTTGCGGTACGGCACCATATTGAGAATGACGTGTACATGTGCTACCTGTAACCTGTGCAACACATAGCATTTGCAGCTTTTTGCAGGCCACAAAAATGAGGTTCATTCTTTATTTATTTTTAATATTGAATGTGTGCCTTGGACAACCCCCCCGACTTCAAATATTGGTACACATAGTGTGAACACAACGTGACCATAAAAAAGAGTGAGAACAACTGAAGCCGGCCAATTCTCGACTGGCTGTTTTCGGACGGAAAGAAAATGAATTTGGAGCCACAAATTGTGTTCTGGGTAATTGGGCTCTTATAGGTCATGTTCAAATAAAAACCTCTGTGAGCATAAATACCCTGTCAGTGTCCCTTTAAAGGGCCCATGAAACGATTTTTGGGTTGAGATAAATCATTTTAGATTGGGATTTTACTAATAGCACATCGTTCAGCGGACCAAAAGAAAAAAAGGTAGAAAGTCAAAAGCCTGACTTTCAGTGCGAAAATTTGAAAACAGAGCGGACTATTTCGTACCTCCTCCCCTTCGCAACCTCTCTGCCTATTCACTGTGATACATCCGCGGTCCCAAAAGCGCGTCATCGGGTCCAAACTGACGTCACACGCAACCGGACCTCACTTATTCCCTTCACTTCTAAGCTGACATTGTGGTGGAACCTACGCGCTTGCCGGACCAATCAGCCGCCTCCCTTTCATCACCTGACTTCATTCTCTGCAGCCACATTTGCTACGCTCACGTGGCAAGTGTGGCTGGCCCAGCGAGCACGTAGCTTCAACAGCACTGTTAGCTTCGGAATGAACGGGGTGGGGAAAGCAACTTGTGTCTAAATTTTGAGCGACGGGCTAATCTTCTAGAGGGAGAATGGATGTGTCCGGATTATACAAACGAGAGTGCGAGCAAGAGGGGACTCCCCCTTTTCGTCGTCTTTAACTGTTTGGTGGAATGCGCGATTTATGAGTTGAGGAGGAAAGCGAAACAGGAAAAAGTTGGAAAAGCGTTTCATGACCCCTTTAAGGGCGATGCTACATGCCAAAGAAATTTCCAATATAAAAAAATGCATAGCGAAATGTAGGGCAATTGTGCTGCACATGAAACGTGTGGCGACTACACTTTCGGTGCTCTTCATTGGTTAGTTCAGCAACTGGCTAGTGCGTGGCATGCACACTCAATAGCGATTCCTGGAATAAGGATACTGGCACTAACCCGGGTTTTAAAAATGTGTGACGGGGTTTAAACTGCTATCTTCCAGACGCAGAGTGTTTGCCCTGCATGGCTTTCCCGCCTAATAGCACCTGAAATCTTTCCAGCATGTCGTGAAATGCTGGAAAGAGACTGCGTAATAATCGGAATGGTCTGGGTTCAATTCCCGCCTGGAGCAAAAGCTATTTTACCGCAATGGCCTCTTTAAATAAAAAATAAAGAAAAAAACATTAAATTAAAATTTTTTTTTATCTTGACACTACCAGTCTTCCTTTGGCAAACAATTGAATGCTACAAAATAAAGTCTTGAGACTTATAATGTGCTATTCAATCCTAGTCTATGCAATAAAATAGTCACCTGTGGCAACCAAACAGCCCCTGCACCGAGAAAAGATACTTTTGCAATTCAACTTTAATGCCTATTACCAGCACTCAGATGAAAGATGGGCCAGAGGAGTTTGGAGTGCTGTATGCTATTGTTCGACCTCGGCAATCAATCTAAGTTTCTAGATGCGTGAGAAGGCACACACGTACACGGCTGCAGTTCTATACCTTCAAAAGATGGGAAACAATGCAACACATGTTTCACAGCTTTTGAAAGCATATGTTCAAGACACAACTGCTCCACGTAAACCACGAGTTCTATGTTTACTGCTACCTCTGCGATGCTGCTGGTATACATTGTCAAGGCATTTCGTAACACTACAAAAGGTTGTTTATGCAGTGACCCCTTGCACACAGACACCTATTGCTATCTTTTGAAGCAATTCCAATGCTTCCAAGAAATTACAGATATTCAAATTAAAAATTTGGTGCCACATCAGAAAAAGGTCTACACTCACTCATTTTACATAACATAGTATTCTAGATTAGTAGGGTAGAACCCCCTGCTCTGTAATGCCAAAGAGGGGCTGTAGGTACCGAAGAAATAAATAAAATAAGTAAACAAATAAAATAATATGTTAATGAGTGTCAGAGATTGCAGAATGTCTGTTGGAAGGTTGTGCGAGCTTGCAGGTGCAAGCTCTAGGAATGTTCTGAAGTCACCCATCAAGAAATGGGAAAGTAGTATTTTCACGTGGCAAGAAATCAATCCATTTTGTTGTTCTCCGATTTAGTTGTCCGTAATGACACAATATAAAAAGCGGCAGGCAGCCGATTTTTAAACCACTTTCTCATGGTTTGTCTGGTCATAACAGCTATACCCGTTTTAACCTAAAGAACAAAGAAAGTTTCGCGCATTGTTCATACGCGGCGCGAAGTAGTTCTTACGAGGTTTGGTTGTCGGAGGAAAAAGCGATGCCTTTGGCGTTTCAGACCAGTGCGGCTTTATAAGATAGCATAAATCAAATCTCAAATTCACCTACATATATCTTAATTCTCCACAGAAAGGGGGAAATTGGAAATGCTCTGTGAGGTGCTGGACTTCATTTACTACGGTTCTTGAGGTGAAAACGGGTATAGGGAACATCACTCAAGCTGCAGAAAAACCACTGTTCCAAGCTTTAATTTTTTGTTAATTGTGTTTCTCCAATTAATTTGAAATAAAGTATAAGAAAACATAATTAATTGCTGGAAAAGTGTAATATAAATTCCTAAATTATTGCCAGACATTACCATCAAACAGCCGGAGTGAGCACAACAAGCCTCAAGCCGTAATAATCGAGCAAAAAAACTAAAAAAGCTGGTAGAAAAAAAAAAGGCAAATGTATGCGCAGTGGAGTACTAACATTTAAAAAAAAAAGTATTGCTCTGCTGTGTAGATGATAATATACTTTTTTTTTTAAAGATTGCGGGGAGGATATGAGATCTAAGCAAGGTTTCTTTGGATCTGCTTGTTATGTGCGCGCCCGCCGCGTTCACTATGACCACAAGCCGCATGTTGTTGACCTCGATTGCGAGCGCTGGTCGGTCAGTAATGCCGCCTTCGCCAGAAAACGAGTTTCAGCCAAGCGCGGACTGGGTGTCCCTGGTCAAAGATGAATCACTGGATGGTGATCTCTGCCAAGAGAAATTAAAACGAGAAACTAAAGAGGGAAAGGCTATTTTCGGCACACTGGTTCTCCTTAGTACTAACGCCGTAAGCTCACGCGTTTAGTTACCAAGCGGTTCTGTCAAAGCCAAGCGTAGTTGGGACGGTGTTTCGAAAACATAGCGCGCGCCCCTGTGCGTTCTATTCGGAACGCTTCCGGCGTGTGTGGGTGTTTCCAAAAACTTACGTTTGCATTTTTGTCTTTTTTTAGCAGAGACAGTGCAAATGACGATTAACATAGTCTAAAGACGATTGATCAACCCACAAGATAAGAAATTAAAAAAAAGGAAAAAGAAACTAACGGAAGCAATGCACGCGCGTAACAAGTTCGTCGAACGGCACACTGCACACGAGCTCAGGAACAAAGTTAAAACAGAATTAAAAAGCGACAGCTGTTTGCGAACAAACAAATAAATAAGACGGAGAAAACGGAAAGTGGCAGCTCAGATGTCCAACCAACGGAGTTTGCCTACGTGCAACACCAAGCGTGAATTCCGATCTGTATTGTTTTATTTCTATGTCATCATTACGTTCCTGCGCCCATATTCAAGGTAACAACACAAAAACTCCTAACAAACAAAACAAGAAATAAAAGAAGGTAGAAGCACAGCACTGCTGTACGGCACCAGAAAAATGGCTGGAAACCAGCACAGAAGCGCAATACGACGATACGACGGGAGAAACCGAGGAAAAGTATTTCGTTATCGTCCACAACACTATCTCGGGCAGAGAAGCCGGTCAAAAAAATTCGAAGCGCGTACTTTCTCCATGTCGCGTATCTTAGCAACGTGGTTGTTTCTAACGTTGCCGGCACGGCGAAGATATCGGCGAGGTGGAAGTTGACCAGCTACGACGAACTAGGATTTCAATGCTATTTCTGCCCGCGACCGATATTTGCTCGAACGTCCTGCAGACAGTGCGGGAGTGAATCAAAGATTGTTCGTGGAATGGGTGTGACTATGACTTACTGTAGTTGTAATCTTCCTGGGAGAACATGTTGTCCTCCCGGAAACTTTGGTCGGCTTCTTGCATGATCTCCATCGTGAGCCAGGGAAACTTGGGAGGCTACGAAGGACGCTGCATTCAATTTGTGGGCGCAAACATGATCGGAATATCACAAGGCATGGCTGACGAACACCGACGAGCATAAACAGTCCCACACGGGTGCATCATGGACGCCGCTAGCCGCTGGTTCCCGAACCGCGTAGGTGGCGCCTGTGTCGTAGTGCTATTTTGCTATCATCATCATCGTTTCATCTAATTACGGAAATAGCGCTTACGCGGTGGTCACTCAATAAATACTACTATTTTTTTGCGTTATTGCGGTAAATGTTCTTAAATTGTAATAAAATGTTTATATTAGCATTATTAATTTTTTATAACAATGTTATTTAGTTTTATTTTTCTATTGTCTTCTAGAACCTACCTTAAAGTTTTAACATGCTAGCAGACGACAGAGAAAACGAAACAAGTGATTCCGGAGCTGCAGGAGCGATGCCGCAGTCTATATATATATATATATATATAAAACAAAAAAACAGTAGGAAATTTTTACACATTCTTCGGTAGCAAGAGACGCCACGTCCGCACCACGTATTTTATTGCATTTTAGCACATTTGTTTTCTTTTGTTTATTTATATTGCTGATCATATCCACATATGCAAATACGCAGCAACGACAAATTTCGCGTGAACCTTCTAGTATATAATCAAAATGACAGCTCATTTAATATAAATATGAACCTTTAATGTGTTTTTAAGAAAACGTAGTGTATCTCAGGTGTAACCGCTTGGCTAGTTCTGATTAACATTTTTGACAATGAGCATTGGTCGTTCTGTGTATTTTTTTTTAATTCTCTTAATAACCGAATGCCGTATTTGCCAGTGGCAGATGTCGATCTAAACTATACCATTGACGATTTTTCAGCACTTTTAATTACTCCTTACAAAACTCAAAACTGTTTTATTCGCTTCAAAAACTTCTCCCACGAGTTCGAAAACTCGACCCAAATGCCAAATCATGCCACGTATTTATAAAGGCAGACCGCTAACAAACGAAAAATAGTTTACACGCTTTAGTTGCATCGAGACTTAAGCGCTATGTACTTGCACGATGCCTAGGAACATAAAACCACTTCAAAAATTGGTCGCAGACAGTTTCTACACTTCCGTCGTGTCCACACTGGAAGGTGCTCCAAACGTCCAGGTTATCTGCGTCACTCTCACCCCACGAATCCGCGACGAGCACTCGCAACAGGCACCCACAGTAGCGGAGGAGCTTGCTGCACGCGTCCGATGTAAACTCTTGCGGTACCTGTAAGCAACAGCGAGAGTTCCTGCTGTCACGAACACGACAAAACCGGACACCAAGGTCACTGTGGTCCACGGACGCGGTGCATCATCAGCGGGTATGTGGTCACTTGACGACTTGCCAATGATGAAGGCGTGCATATTGGTCGCACTCTCGTTGGCATGGCTTGCAGCACGCAACACTCCTTGGCTGCGCTTCGCTCGCTCGTGCTTGAGAGGGATGATGGAGTATAGGACCTGGAGGTACCACTCTGTACCAGAAGCGGCCTGGAAGGAGAAAGGTTCAAAGGGAGTTTTAATAGACAACTCCGATAACGACGATCCATGTGTAGGGGCACCGGCAGATTATTGGGTAATATTATCGAATACATCGAGACGATTTACCAAACCTTTCTAATAATGCAAGCATTAAGATAACGGTACATAAGAAAAAAATTAACAGGGTCTTTATGTTACCCTTAAAGGGATACTACAACGAAATTTCGGCGCTCATTTGTTGGTCTATATGTGTTCAAAGGAGCAGTATCACATCGAACATTCCAATATCTTGTTAAAAAAGTCACGAAAAGGAATTTTAAAACGAATTAAACGACTAGCAAAGAGCACCTGGTGGATGTCGCTAACGCCTCGCTTGTAATGCCGGTCTAGGAACCTTGACAGCTAGTGACGGAGGTTGTCTCGCCTCCGGCAACGACGAGAGAAGAGGGAAACGAGGAACTCCCCTCTTCCCGAGAATGCCTTTTGTGTGTCGCAGAAGTCGCTATTGTCCCCCTACAAGAGAAGATTAACCCGTCACTCAAAATTCGTACAAAAGCAGCCGCTTCGGTGGCTGGAACGACTAGGCCATCCTCTCGACGTCAGCCTCGCCGTAGCTTTGCTCGTCTTTAGACGACCTACGTCACGATTGCGTCGGATGTCACGTGGTCTCCGCTGGGCCTTCTCCGAGCGCTTGCCAGAGTGGGCCGTTTACAACAAAAAATACAGCCGCCAGGCTTAAAATAGAAACGTGCGATAGTCATTTACGGATATTGTGGATCATATTCAACCTATTTTTGAACACGACGGGAATATTTCAAATATTGTTGAAGTATCCCTTTAAGACGACTTGAAGGCGAAAGCCCAAGCGTCGGACTCGGTGATAGCAAACTTTCGAAGACAGCAAGCTCTCTGACGACGCAATTTTGGCGCCGTTAACATTGCCGTTAATCTCACGGCATGTCGCGCGCCCGCTCTTCACCGCTGCCCGAGCGAGAGCGAGAATATCCTCTTCTCCCACTGGATTTGCGCCGCGCGCGCGCGCGCGCCTCCGTCGATTTCGGCACAAGTAACGCCATCTCGCGGTCCAGTGGCAAACCATGGGTTTTGGTACCTTTTGTGTCACCGACGTGTTTTCGCTCAAGGACTGAACGATGAGACATACAAGGGTTTCGCCTTAATGAATTAACTTCCAAATGGAGCGCACCAAAAGCCATCTAGGCTACTGGTGGCCACTGAAAAAACTTAGCCTAGCTGGTCCGGCGTTCGATGGCGGGACCTGTCTAAGACTAGCGGAGCTTTCTACCGACTACACAATTTTGCGCATTGTTCATACGCCGCGCCAAGTAGTTCTTACAAGATTTGGTTGTCAAAGGAAGGAGCGACGCTTTTGGCGTTTGAAATCTGTACGTCTTGATAATATTACATATATCTTAAGTCTCAACATAAAGGGGGGAATGAGTAATGCTCCGTGAGAAGCCGGGAATTTTTTTTTACTACAATTCTTGAGATGAAAACCAACGGATGTTAACAGTTTCCACCATTATATCATTCAGGAATGATCATTATATCAACTGATAATGGTATCAACATTGCTACAGATTGGGCAATGTTAATATCATCTCCCACCTCGTATAGTGGGTCAACGACCATGGAAAACCCGTCCACTCCTGGGAAGCTTTTGAGGCGCTTTGTGGCTGCGTCCTCGTCGGCCAGTTTAGCCTGGAAGGAGACGCCACCGACGGAGCCCTGCACCTCGTCGTGGTTGTGGCGATCCTAAAGCAAGAAACGGGAGTTCAGCGAGCGACGTTGGAAGGCGTGCGCACGAGAAACTCGGTGGCACAGGTGTCCCCTCGAGATCGTCGGTGAAATGGTAACAAGCAGCAGTGATTTTTATTCTATAAAAACAAAACCGTCCAAAATGTAGTGCAGGGCTAAACAAACAGGCATGGCTGGAAGCGACCATGCATCACCCGAGGAACTCCCTGGGGTCCTTGAAACCAATGTTAGAATCCGTTGTTTGTTTATTTGTTTTGTTTTATTTTTGATTGATTGATTGATTGATTGATTGAAACAACACTACCCCTTCCGCCCCTTAAAATATTTTTATGCTTCATTTCGGGGTTAACATCCGAAGTAGAGGCATGTTTTGGAAGCATAAAATCATGTTTCTGCCCCTATTTTGTTTTTCTTTGTGCAACTTTATTTGCTTTCCTTTTTCATGCCCCAATCTCAGGTTAATATTACTATAGTATATGTTTCAGATGTTCCAGCTCAAAATGAGTTTCGCAATGCAAATATTGTACCATACATCTTTTTTTTTTTTTGGGGGGGGGGGGGGGGGGGGGGGGGGACAGGGGGGAGATGAAGAAAGGGTCATAGCAGAGCTTGCCAACAGCAGGAATCTGTGTTCAAGGTCGTGGCTGGGCTGGACGCAGCCGAAGCTTGGTCCCCTTCCCAGCTCGGTGCCGGCGGGGTCGAAGCTCGGCGTGAATCCCCGCCTGCCCGCGCACAGGTACACCTGGTCGATCCGAAGACCCGAGCTCAGGGACTCCAGCGGATTCCACAGCACGCGGCCGAAGAGAGTTTCGCCTGCGCGGCAATGGGTTAATCGCGATCAGCTTCGGACTCTCGGGCAACAGCCCCTCGGCCTCTACTTGCCGATTCCGGTTGGATTTGGGATTCGGCCCAAACCCAGCCGGGTTTCGGATTCCGCAAAACCCAAAGCCGGCTGGGTTTGGGCCAAATGAGGAGTTAATACTATCGATTGGTCCAAATACAGGTTCAGTTAGCACGTTTTCCGCAGATACAGGCATGGATACGAAGTAACACAACAGCATTGGGGTGCAGATCATTTTATGCAATATCTTCAGCCATGACACCCTCACATTTTTTATCAATCCAATTTGATTGTTTTGTTGTTGTTTTTTTTTTGTTTTTTTATTTCGTTGCATTTCAGGTTAGGCAATTATCAGTTCGCTCTTTGGTGATCCATACCGAACAAAAGGAGGCACAGAAGTATGATGATAAAATGCAACATTCACAATAGCGTTCGAATCGCAACCGGGAAGAGGATTCATCAGGTTTCATCATCAAATACGCGTGAATTTGCCTTGAACCTTTGAGCAACCGCTTTCGCAACCGTTTTGCGGATGCGGTTTAAGAGCCAGTGCGTGTGCGGCATGAGTGTTCATCTGCTTTATTTTGTTCTTCCCCACTTCTTTTTCTCTCGCTTTTTTGTCGTAGTCCACAGGAAGACGCGAGAGTATCGGTAGCGTAGCCAAATAAAAAAAAGGTTTCAGCCCCCCCACCCCCCCTTCGTCGTGGATATCCCAACTACCCACCGAAAAAATTCCTGGCTAAGTTTTCACGTAACCGTCTCCATCGCTTCAATCACTGACGTATTTCCTACATTTTTCAAGCATCCCTGTTTCTATCTTCTATCTTGACTTTTTTTTTATTTATACTGAAATAAGTTTGACGCCTGCGAGTCAACGGAAGTATATGGGAAGAGGGGACAGGTGAACTCGCGTGTACCCTTGAAGAAAACGTGTCGCTCGTCGGCGTCTCCCACGGCGTAACTCAGGTCCCTCGGATCGGCCAGGAAATGGTCCCGGTCGCTTAACAGTTGGAACTCCGTGTCCAAACTGTACACCGTGGGGACAGGCGGGCTCGTCTGGGCCATCGAAATGGACACCTGGAACCTGGAACCATTACCGGGGAACGAGATCTGTGCCTCGGGCGCCAAATTCAAAAGTGGAGCAAGTTCTGCAGTTCACCTATCCATATCATAATCCTATCGTACTTGTTTTCTTACATCATCCCGGCGTCCCAACTTCAATAGCTGCCCAAATTTCCGTTGACTGTCACACTAGAGAGCGACCTGCAGTGCAGCAGAACAGGCGTCTGCCACAGTATGGCCTCCGCACACCACAGCTGCTGGGACGCCGCCAGGATCCAGTGTTGGGAAGTAATTTGAGTACTACTTTAAGTAGGTTTAGGAAATTTGTACTTTACTTGAAGTACATATTCTGAGTCTGTGCTTGTACTTTACTTAAAGTACATTCTCATGGTATGTATTTGTACTTCGCTTAAAGCTTTTTGTGGTACTTTCCGAGGAAAGTACAACTCTTTACGTCAGAGTACATTCGTCTAATTTTGTCTTATTAATTGCGTATCACAAAATTTGGATTTGTCAACATATAAGTGCTCTATAAATTGATTGTAATAAATAGTTTGCCAGCAAGAGTAAAAACTACTATATCCAATATTCGCCGCCATTTCCGAAAATAGCTGATGCACCCCTATTTCAGCAAAATCAATGCACCAGATAAAAAGAAAAAAGAAAAGAAAAAAACTTTTTATAGGGAGTGAAAGGGCCCCATGATAGATTGTGCTAAAAAGTAATTGCACTTTACTTAGAAAGTGTATTGTCTTTATAGTACATTACTTCACGTACACTGCACCAGGCGTACTTACTACTTTAATAATAATAATATTATTATTATTATTGTTTATTTAATCTGCCCAAAAACAACCACGCGGGTCTTCAAACTGGGGCACACGAGATAAAAAAAAAAAAGAACTTTAAGTACAGAACCTCTCATTCACTTTGTGCTTTACTTCAAGTACTCTTTAGATATACTTTACCCAACACTGCCAGGATCACGACTTGCGACTTGCGATTATTATAATAATAACAATATACTAATTTATTTGATTCGTGCCCCAGAACGACCAATAGGTTATACTGTGGTGGCACATAAAATATAATACAAAAGAAAAATCCATAAAGATTTCTGCCACTGTTACAAAATACGGTGTGGGTCAATAGCCGAAAAGGTATAAATCAAGCTCTCGTTTAAAAACAAAAAAAAAAATCTGAAAAAACATCAACATGAGGCGACAATTCATTACCACAAATTTGCATCCGCACCAATGGTGACAACCGCGATTGCACAGAGGGATAGAATGCACTCGTTCCTCTAATAGCAGGAGCTGGCGCATGAATCCCAGCGACGTCGCCAATTCACTATCTATAAAGCCATGATTTACTTTACGTAAAAATAAAGCATCACGAGAAGTCCGTCTTTTAACAAGTTGCGCCAGGAAAGTTCTCCAAGAATGTACTCATAGTCGTAATAACATCGGCCAAAATACCTATCATAAACAATTCGAACAAATCGCTTTTGAACCCTTTCAATTCGCAGTGCGTAAGCTGCGGTCAGCGAATTCCATTCAGCACTGCAAAACTCAAGTCTAACTCGCACCAAGGAGCAAAATAAGCGGACGACGCGTGATATCATTCCCATCACTCGAAAAGCTGAAGCAACAATCTGGCTAGCATGACTTGAAAAGGAAAGATTGCTACTAAAATAAACACCAAGGTCACGTACTTGTTTAACACGTCCAATAGCACAATTGCCAAATATGAACGGATAAGAAATGTTTTTGCGTTTTCTACACACAGTGAGTACACTGGCTTTAACGGGGTTAACAAGTAAAAAATTATCAGAACACCATTCAGAAATTTGTAATATGTCACCCTGTAAAAGAGCACAGTCATCTTGTGATAGCATATTCATAAAAAAGTTTGATGTCATCCGAATATAAAAGCATCTGCGGATTCTTTACGCACAAGGTGATGCCATTGATAAATATAAGAAAAAGAAGTGGCCCTAGGTTTGATCCTTGGGGGACACCGGAAGAGGGTGCAAAAACTTCTGATAGACTGCTCAATACACGGACACTAATTTGAGGATAAATCAAATCAAACCAAAGTTCATTTAACATCACCAAGTACAAAGTACTAAACAAATTAAACCAAGTTAAAAGTGGCGTTGTTATCGACCAACACACTGTTTACAAACAAGCCCGCGTTTGCCCACCGGGGTGAGGGTACTGCGCGCGCGCAGAAACCACATTCGTCCGAGGCAAAGGATCTGCGCATGCGCAGTGCCTACAGCAGCGCCACCACATTGGAGTGACGTCAGAGAGTCGAGTTTGTCTTATGACGTCATCAGGCGGAAATGGAGGGACCACTTTTTTGGACGCGGTTAACACACCAATTGGAGACGCGTTCCAGGCACCATAGATATGACCAACGTAACATTGCCGTCCACAAAAGGAAGGAACACGCCTCAGACGGTGTCTGCAGATGGATGGATGGATGGGTTTTAATGGTTATACCCTTTACAACGGGCGGTAACTTGCGCCACCTAGCCTAAGTCTAAAAACATAAAAAAAAGCATATGATCCTCCCGTTTCTCTAAGACCAATTTTCTCCCCCTAACTATCACCAGGAAGATTCTCTTTCCTATGATGTATTAGCTGTGGGACCGCGGCTTTAATTTCCTTCTGTTTATGGCGATGCCTATTCTTCGTAGTGCCCGATGCCATCGGCAGTCGCTCAGGGAAAATAGAAAGAAATTGCATGTGACAGAATGCCCACGGCCCTGGCCAGCCAAACACCGTAATAATTGAACGACATTAGGGAACGACGACGTCAAAATCATTTACACCGAGTAAGATAATCACACTGCGCTGGAGCTAGAAGAATGACGTCTCGTATACGCTCAAAGACACGGTGATTTTCTAGATCAGCGGGTGGTACAGCCCGACTTCCTACAAGTAGTGAATGGCAGTAAATGCATCATTTGCTGATCTCTTTTCATAGATAATAGATTGCCCGGAAAGGGGGGGGGGGGGGGGGAGAAGAAAAACGCATACAAGGGAAGCCGAAGTTAGCAGGGAGAATTTGAGGAGTCAGCCTGAGAAGCCAACAGCCTAGCACTGAATTTAGTGAAACGTCGGCCGTCGCTTTGAAAGGTTCCAGAAGGATCCTTTTCCGGTACCGGCCCCTCGCTAGATACAGAGGAAAGTCCGAGCGCAGTTGAAATTTAAACATTATGCCCTCACCTTATTGGGTCCAGGGGATTGCAGACGTCTTCAGGAGGATATGCGTAGTCCTGGTCAGCGGAGGCAAGACACGGCACAAGCTCCAGGGTGTGGGCGCCTTGGTAGTCCTTGTGGAATGTAGTACCACGGCAGTAACTTTTTCTATCGGTACCTTTGTAGTGCCAAGCATCTCGTAATCCTCCGGTAAACACCTTAATGGGATGCTTAACCGAATTTTAAAGCTCACAAAACAAGGCTGGAGCGATAGGCGGGACGCTGCAAAACCCGAAAACATCACTCATACAGCGATATCTCTAGCGGTTGGCCGTATATCTTTGGAAAAGTAGTGCGTGATTGAACACGGACGACGAAGCCGACGAGACATGTCACGTCACCATTCTCATTCCATCTCCCCTTCTCTTCGTCCGCTCAAGCAGGTGAACCGAAGCGAGGAGGAGAGAAGCGAGGCCGCTTCCCCTCATTCTCAACTGTTCCAGGAGGATCGTGACGTCGTAGTCTTCGCTTGATCGCGCCCTTCTTTTCCAAAAATACGGCCCTCCGCCTGAGGTATCGATGAACGAGCGATGTTTTGGAGTTCGCAGCGTTCAACGATTCTGAGGCCTTATTTTGGGAAATGCAAATTTCAGTTCAGCATCCCTTTAACAAATAAATACCCGTGAGTCTAGCTCGCACAGAGCTCTAAAAGGCCCTGTTTCCAAATCGTACTTTCGTGGAAAAATAGTGCGGAAGCTCATGTCAGATACAACATAAGAAAGACGAGGGGGGAAAAGGGCGCGCACGAGAAAAGCCGTTGTGGGAAGGAGGTCACTCCTCTCCCACTTCAACTTTTTTTCTTATAGCCCCCCCCCCCCCCCCCGCCCCCTCCCCCCGCACTGTCTTTCTTGCATCTGGCTGCCATTTCGCTGCGTGCTTTGAAGCGTGCTCGCGGAGCAATTTTAAGCCTGCTAAAATGGTTTGCTAATTACGATTCACAAGAGGTCAGAGTCCTGAAACTGAGGCTTGCGATATGTGACACTGACCATGACGTTTTCTATGCTCACGAGCATAGGCGAGAAGGTTTTAATTTCCCGGCCAGGGGAGGGGGGGGGGGGGGAGGGGAGGGGGAGGGGGGGGCTGGGACCCACCAAGCTTGTGTTACCCCCACCGCCCTACCCTGTGCACCTCACTCTGAGGTCCCCGAAACGAGGGTACTTGCTTCCCCGAGGAGCTCCCTTAGGGGCACCCAATTAAGCCCTCCCCCTTCCAATTCCCGTAGTCGGCGCCTATGCCTCACGAGTCATGCTATAATATCACATCGCGGGCTTCGCAGACCGCAGTGATTGACTCTCAGTGTTCTGCAGGAAAGTAAATGTACGGGTATCTTTGGGGGCATAGCCGGTTTAAGCAATATTCCTACCGAAAAAAAAAAATCAGTATAACTTTTTCACATTATGGATTATGCAACTGGGAATGCAACTGGAATTGTTTCTGGAAACCTGAAATCCAGTTGGCAGGCAAAACAATAATTTCCGAAAACCTGAAATCCAGACAGAATTCATGTAGATTTTCAGTTCCATAATCCAGATAGCGAAAAGTTGTACTGGCCTTTTCAGTAGGAATGCACTCTAAAGTAAGCTAAATGCATTACATGTATCACGAATTTTCGATTAGCATATGTCCGGAACAGTCCAGGGTATAACTCTGGGACACTGTTCCCTTTAATGAGTTATTTCAGAGGGTCAGTTTTAATCCAAGCGTACACTGTAAACTAAAAAAAAAAGGCTGCATGTTTAGCCCCGTTCACATTGGCGGTTGAACCGCGTTCGCAAAGCGGTTGCGAATCAGAGCTGACCAAATAACTTTCATTCTGTAATTAAATTACATTACTACCTAAATTACATAATACTTCTGAAATGTAATTAAATTTCGTTACTTATTACCGTGGCGTAAACGTAAATAATTTAAATTCCAAAATTACGAAAGGGAACTGTTGACATTACTTTCAAATTACTTTTTGAATGCGCAGTTTGTTTGTAGTATACGGGAGAACAACCCGCTCTAACCCTAGTGCTGCCTAGCTCTACTAAAGCTTCACAAATTTGTGCACAGAAAGGGGCAATGTCAAAACTCATGCCAGGAACCGCCTCAAGAAAGGAGCTTCATAACAAGGATTAGCTCTCTGTAGACTTTCCTCTTGTATGAATTGCTGTTCTGTTTATCTTTCTTTTTCTCCACTGTAGAGTATTACTGTGTGTGCGTGTGTGCGTGCGCGTGCGTGCGTGCGTGTGTGTGTGCGTGTGTGTTTGTGTGTGTGAACGCTCGCGCTCTAGCTACTGTACGCTTCAAACTACTTAAAATTTTTGTCGTCTTCAAGAAATGTACGTCCATAACCACAAGTTACCAAATGTTTTTTTTTTCTTCGTCCCCTACAATCTTTCTAAAGCTGTATTATCTTTTTGGAAAACAGATGTTTCCCTTCGTTTCAGGTTCACAAGATATTCCTAAAGCCAAGAAAGTAACCAAGGAATTTATTTAAAATTACTACCCTTAGAGTAATGGTTAAAGGGAAACTGAAGCGGTTCTCTATTTGAGAAAAAACATTTCAATGGCCTTCATTCTACCTTCAGGATCAGGAATATCAAGATTATTTTTCAATTTGGTGCACGGAGGCTTCAGAAATTAATTTTTAAAGTACCGCCGAAGCCCCTCCTTCCCGGGGCGTGACGTCACACTAGGAGCGTTCGGAATATCTGCTCTCGCGCATCTTCAGCGCCTGTCAAAGCTATGCACGCTCACTCTTGCTATTTTTAGAAAGGTCAGAAAGAGACGTCACGACTGGTGTCAGTGCGGGGAAATATACCTGGCAAGCTTGCCGTTGCACGCGCTGAACACACGAGCGACACGCGCTTGGCGGCCCGAAGATCCTAGTATGACGTCACGACTGGTCGAATGTTTTTTCGCTTTTTCTCGCTTTTAGTTGCATCTTCAGGGAAAACAAAAGTGATATTCAGATTCACGGGATAAAAATACGCCAGAATTCACCTCTAACTCGTTTTTTTCAAGAAGTGTTTCAGCTTCCCTTTAAATTATTAAATTACCTACACGAGAAAGTAATTTATCACATTACTCATTACTGGAAAAAGTAATTAAATAACTGTAATTACATTACACTAGTTTCATTACTGCCACCTCTATTGCGAACGCTGTAATCTGGCGTTTTGAACGCCAGTGTGAATGCACCTTCGGTTCGTAGAAAGTATAGATGCTTTGCTCTCGCGCCAGATTACAGCCGCCATTGCTGGCCTTCTCTCATCTTAACCAGATGCCGAGCCTTTGAAGCGGGCGTTGACGAGCTTCCACAAAGACCAATACTGGGAAGAAGCACGCAATGTGATCTAAAATGGCAATAACCTGCCCTGCTGTGGTCATGATGAAGTGCAGTAAACGCAATAAGGGGGAAACAAAAATTAAAGGTCGGTTCTGCGGCGCCCTTGCACAGCTGCTGCAATGCATGCCAGAAGCTACGAGAGCGAGCTCCGGGCTTTCAGCGTCCCTGTCAAGCACGCGCGCTCGTGCAGTGCAAGCGCCGTCCAGGGCCACATAGTGCCTGGAATGGGTGGTGCGCTTTTAGTTCTGGTTGTTCTGGTGGTGTCTGGAGTAGGGCTTTGTATGGAAACAGATTACGTTACGCCTTTGTCTCTTTGTGTTTCTGCGCGCGCTTCCCTCGGCACCACCCGCATACAAAGCCTTTGCCTTGAATGTTTCGGGTCACCAAGAGAGGGGAAGAGCGCTTGGCCCTTTCAACCACCTTGCGTCCGGACGCAGCGGACGCTACGAGATATCCCAGCCAATCCCGCTCTGTGGATGTAGTCCGTGATACGCTTTCCTCGCGTCGCTTTGCCCCCTCTTCAAGGTCACATGACCCGCACACGGCCTTGGATTGGCTCCGATGGTTCGTAGCATCCGCTGCGCCCGGACGTAAGGTGAAACGGAGTATATACCACCTGTTTCTGCTCCTCTCTCTTGCCTTTTCCACCCTTCTCCGCTCTGCGCACTTTCTCACGCCACCTGCCTTGCTCCTCTCATTCCTGCGTGCTGGGTCACGAGCTCAGATAGCAGCGCTTTCGGCTTCCACGCCGGCGACCGGAATACGATCCCTAGCACCGGTTGCAGTTATTTTTTATATGATTGTTAGCGGTTACGGACGGACCGATCTACACAGGTTGGCCACCCTAAAAAACCACCGCATAAAAAAAATACGCGTAAAAGATTCTTTTTTTTTTTTTTAAGTGTATAAAAGAAGGCGTAACGCGTTTTTTCATCGGTGAAGTCGGACGCGCCGCGACTCCGCACGGATCGTGAGCTCCGTTGCAGATTCAGGCCATTGATTCAAAGCGACCAGGGAAATTCGCCATTAGTGACGACGATGAGGCTAAGCAAAGCTAAATTGAGAATAATACGTGCCGGTCGGAATTCCGAACAGCCGCACTTTCATGACAAAAATGAACTGGCTTTGTCTCGCAGAAGTTATGTTGCTCTCCCCGTAGTTTTTGTTCCGCGCGATTGAAGGAAACGCGCGTTGTAAAATGCGCACGCCTGTTACACGAGTGATCGCTGTGGGAATGTCACCTTGAAGCTGTGGGTCGAAGAGGCCTTCCACAGCTGTGCGGGAGAGTGGAAAGTCTGTTCGCTCCAGACCAGGCTGATGAAGTAGCTGACAACAAAGGTCGGCCCCAGGAACTGGCTGTGCGCCCCTCGAAGGGCAGGGTGTTTGAGTACAAATGACCCTGCAAACAGTTGAAACGGGAGAATGTTTGCAGTTTTTTTTTTTTTTATTACTTTTTCGATTGTTTGCATCCAACAAAGCGACGAGTGTATTCATTAGTTATCAAAGCTCTACAAATACTGGGTTTAATCTCAAAAGCCAAGAAAACGTGATCGATGAGGGGGGCACCCCCTCCCCCTTCTTTTCACACGCAAAAGCAAATACAAAATGTCCTGCACTAAGTGCACAAACCTATGGCCAATGGCATAATGGCGCACACCCCGAAACGCCCCCCCCCCCCCCCCCCCCCCCGATTGGCAATCCTGAATACAATCCTGACCGCACCAATGATTACAAGTTCTACTGCTATGCGTTGAGTTGTATTGTAAAATTGCGACCGATCATACGCTCCGAGTCTATGCGACCTCCGCATTGCTATCTGCTGATCACATTCGGCAAGTCGCAACGAGATCTGCTCACTAGGTGCCCCGCGGAAAAATTTTCAAAAACTTCGTTTATGAAAAAAAAAAAGGGGGGGGGGTGTTCCTTATTTGGAGATTTAGTAGACCGTACATAGGCCACGATGGAGTATCGAGCATCGGAGTTGTCGTAATTAAAACTTTCTACTGTCAGCCAAATGCGGAAGCATATTACTCTGCTGGGTGTTTCCACGTCAAATTGTGCAATAATAGTCCGGCTAATATTTTTTTTAATATTTATCCTAGAGATATAAAATTTGAAGCTCGAGGCGTGGAGATTGCCAAGATTTCTCTATGGTACTTTGCACGGACGTCAATTTCACACCGAAGCATACATGTAGTAATAATTTGTTTTTACTATTTTTATAAAAGTGTAGGATATGTACACAGAATATTAAAAATTATGCTAAAATATTTCTATGCAAAGAAATTTACGAAACACGTCACTTAAACCCATTTTACAGACACATTCACAAATGATATGCCAACTAACTACTTCACATAAACGACGGAAAGTATATCAAAATTATTATCTCTAAATGCATTTTGTGAATATTCAAGAAAGCTCAGATTAGCCATTATTTTATTTCCGTCATATACTTATACAGAAACGCAGGTCATGTTTCTAAATGCGACAGAATTGCACATCAACATCTAAAATACTCTACTTTTTATTTTATTGAAACTTTCCTTAACCATTTATAGCGAATTTGACTGACTTGTGATGGCAAAGCAGTAAAATATGACCACCTAAAAAAAAAAACGACAACAAACCTTCACCTAAATTGAGCCACGAAGTCGGCTGCTGCTTTATCGTGGAATGTAGAAAGCCATGTTGTCCCTATCTTAGTTCGTTTTATATATGCGTTTTCTTACGTTGTCTTCGAACCCCCGCTCCCCTCTCTCTCCTTTTCAACGGGCCATTAGCCCACGAAAGACTGCCGGCGAACGCCAGGGAAGTAGCATCAGGAGAGTCCGTATCTTGGTGTTCAACACTGTCCAGCTTAACCCTTTCGGAGTATCCATGCGCACCCAACGGAATACCGATAGAACGTTGTAACCACAAGTGTTTTCTTGGTAGGTGTTTCCATGTCAGTTGATACAGTGATGGTGCGGATCATATTTTGTGTATATTTGTGTAAAATATATACTAAGGTGTTTTTTAGACAAGTTCGACCAACCATGTGGGTGACGATTTTTGAATTTTTACGAAACAAATATACTTTCAAGACTCAGTGCCCATCAGAACAAACCCAAAATCTGTTCTGCGAAAAAAAAAAATGTTCGTCTTTACGGAAGAAAATTAGAAGCACACTCAGTGCTTCTAATTTCGCTTTCCGCGAATTGTGCGAAGTTTGCATTTCGGGCAACTCTCCCCTCCCCTCCCCTCCCCTCCCCTCCCTCCCCCCCCCCCAAAAAAAAAAAAAAAAAGAAAAAAACTTTTATGGTTACGGGTTTAGAAATATTTACTCACAAACTACGTTAAGGAGGATTGACTAAAAATATTTATTATTAAGTATCGACGAGGGTTAATTTCCAGAGAAACATTGCAAAACACTGCATATTCCGTAAAAATACTTCTTTTTCTTCCGCATCTATAAATACCAGAACTTTTCAACTTTGCCAGCGTGTTCTCCTGTGTCTTGTTAATATCGGCGCTAAATATTGTTGTCGAGTGTAGCGGAACGTATTTCTGAGAAATGCTCAAATAAAGTTGTTCCCATCTCTCGCTCAAAAAAAAAACAAAAAAACTGGTATGGCTATTTGTGGAGTGCTTCTCAATTACTCCGGACCGCGCGCATTTTCTGCAACTCTTATGCAAAAACGCCAATTTGTTTCTTTCTGACCACCCTGGAGCATTTTCTTTATAACTTTAAGCACACAAAAATAGCTCTTAAAAAATCGAAAATTGCCTTTGGATTTAATTGAGTTTCAAAATACTCTTAATTATTTTTATTTTTTTTTAATTTTATTATTATTATTTTTTTCTGTGAGCTTTCGCACATAGCAAAAGCTACGTAGCTTTCGCACATAGCAAAAGCTACGTGCGAAGCTTTTGCTATTCGCAAAAGCTTCGCACGTAGAGCGTGCACGCTTTTAGTTTTTTTCCGCAAGAACAATTTTTTTTTTTTGCAAAAGATTTTGGTTTTGTATTGATAAACGTCTACAATTTCTTTTTTCGTAAAAATTAAAAATGGTCACCGGGCATGGTCGGCCGAACTTATATGCTTGAGAGAAGCACTCGGTTATACATTCAGGGTGTTCCACGAAAAGCGGGCCAAATAGTTCCTATAAAAAATACGCATCGTACAGAAAAAAGGTTGATGTAATATTGGTTCCTACCAAAGGGCAAATTTAGGAAAAAATAAGTGTTTGGTATAAGTAGGTTAATAATAACTTCTATTAATTAACTTTATAATTAGGTACAATTTCAATTACAAACATGGTGGGCATAATATATAACTATTAAATCCAGCCACAGTAGAAAGATATAAGGCATGTTTTACAGCATTCCGTAAAATAAAGTCAATTTAAGGTGTGTTTTTTTTTAAGTTTGGGGGGAGGGGGGGTGTGAAGGGGGCAGCGTAAGGAAATACAAATATAAAGCTATACGATAACTTTTTACTCCCTACGATAGAGCAGCACTACTGTACAGTCTTTCTCGGTTCTAGAAAACGAGGGTTCGGAGCCTACGTCGTGCGGCAAAATCCGTATAATGAGGACAAGCTAGCTCAATTTGAAAATGTCATATGTTACTTAATGTTTTGCCATCACAAGTTAGTTCAAGTCACTTTAAACGGTTAGGGAAAATTAAAAAAAAAGGAGTTTCTTTTTAAATACTAACGTGCACTTTTGCCAGATTTAGAAAAATTAGATGCGTTTCTGCATTATTAAGAGAACTACAAGAGTGTTAATTATATTTTTATATATTCCTATAATGCATTGAAAGATGATCCTTTGGATACAATTTGCGTCGTTGTATATGAAGTAATTCCTTGGCAAATAATTTGTGAATATGTCTCTAAAACGTGTTGACTTGACGTGTTTCGTAAATTTGATCGCATAGAAATCTTTTATTGTAATTTTAAATATTCTGAGTACATGCCGCACACACTTCTCATAAGATAAGCAGAGAAAATTATCACTATGTGCCTGCTTCCGTGTGAAATTGACGGCTTTGCAAAGTACCATAGCGAAACCTTGGCACTCTCCACGCCTCGAGCTTCGAAATTTTACATCTCCGGAAGAAAATTAGCTACGGTGTTCGCATATATACTGCGCAACTCCGCCGATTTGTTTATATAGTCTTCGATTTGGCAGGAAGTTGGCAGACCACATCAATAACCCGTTCTCAACTGATAGCCAAAATATTTGATAAAAATAAAACTCTACCCTGCAGTGCCGGCCGCGAGTGTTCCCTGAGGAGGCGACTCCCTACTGGCAACAATGGAAAATCCTTATTTCTCCCTACGCGCGTACGTCACCGGCGGGCTGGCGGACGGGCGACCCGGGCAGCCGCGAAGCGGCTTTCCGGGCGCCAGCGATCGAGATTATTTTTTCACAGCTTCAAGGATGAGTGTTCACTTGCAATGTGTAGCAATCTGTGCTCCGCTCAACAGTCCGAGAGCCAATCACCTCAACTTACGGAGGCAGCTCAGCGAATGACGATGTCCAAACATATGCTTAAACCAAAAAACGCAGTCTGAGTTGTGACATTAAGCAATGCAAGCGTGACGTTTTATGTCACAACTCAGGCTGCGTTTTTTGGTCTAAAGGTATGTTTTGGCATCGTCATACGCTGAGCTGCCTCCGTAAGTTGCGCTGATTGGCACTCCAAGCGTTGTGCGGGAAAGTAGACGCACGAGATTCTTTTAGAATGTAGATTGTAGGAACGGTGCCGGGAAAATCCTTTTTACCCATGTTTTTTTTTGCGGAAGAGAGAGAGAGAGAGAAAAAAAAAGCGCGATTTGGCAGCGATGGAGGTCAGCGCCACGTCAAAATGTTTCGCGCGAGCTGCGTGCCGAGAGGACTAGTGTTGCATGAAAAATTCTCGCTTATGCTCGGAATAGTTTGTAGAGTTACGGGCTTGAATAGGCGGCTGCATACTTTATAGCAGCGTTTTTCGAGTTGAGTACCCTTCTGCAGCTGGAACAGCTTCGAGAGCGGAAAGCACTGGCTCAAGCCAGCTGTGAGCGATATTATTAGCGCTCATCTTGAAGAGGAGCGCTAATAATACCAAGAAAATAGTGTACAATCTAGAACTTTGGGCGATGTCACAATTGTTTTTCACAATTGCTTCAGTGATATTTTTACGGCAAAGCTGTATTTGACTCACATGTCGGATTTCTGGAATTTCTTCGTGTCGTCGTTCTCACAGAAAAAATAAAAAAAAAATTCAGCGATTGAAGCGAAAAGTAGATATCACGCATTTTCATAAATAATATGTTTTGGACATCAAATCTAGCTAGCGCTACTGTCGGAGTTTTACTCACGCGGCCGATCTGTAGAAGACGAGAAGTGAAACGCCTAGAGAAAGTTCAAGTCTGAGTTTATACATGACTTTCGACACACTGTTATTCGTGTCCGGTATTACAGAGGTTTAGGGAGGATGGTATTGAGCTCCATTAATATACGATAGAGCCATCGCATGGTTTGACAAATTCTTGGCATGCAATTTTCTCTCACTGAAGAGGAGGTAGAAACGTCTTTATTTTATTCTATTGCAGAGAAATGTTATATAGGACTGAAGAGGTTTTAAAACTGTGAAAATATTAATGTCGTTAAGGAGAGGCGTGTAAATTTAGAGCTCATGGAGGTTGTGCAAAATCAAAACTTAATTTTAAATAAAAAACCTTATATGAAATTACGCCCCTCCCCATGCGCAGTCGTGAGTGTTCGAGCGTGTTGCGATCTACTCCAGCAATAAAAGAAATATGCTACAAATTTTTCCGTGAGTAACTTTTGTTAACTTATTTTGAACTAAAAAACAATTATAATGTATTTGTATCACGCACTATTTTAAGCAATTCTTTTTTTATATTTTAAGATAAATAGTGTATTTCTGTATTTATACGCCTTTTATTGCACGTTGATTTTTGGCTTGGTTGCTGCGGAATTCTTTTAATTTTCATTTTAGCGCGATCTTCACGAACAAAAACCTGCCGTCTGTCCTACACGAATGCAGTTCATTACGTTCGATACCTTTCAATGGTTACGAGAATCACAACCTACATGTGATAGGTCCCAGCCTAGGATGCGCGTGTTCATCGCTTTAGAAGGCGAGCAAAGTACGCACCACACGCACGAATACTGATAATGGCACCGACCAGAAGCGATATTCGGGAATGGTCTATAGATATTTTGCTAAATACTTAAGCCCCTAAAGAGCATATGTATGCTGCAAGTTTAGCACACGTGCTGGCGTCTGCAACATTAACTTTTCGAAGGAAATTTTAAACCAAATGGGACGTTCTTTCGGGTAAGACGAGTGTGTGGGGCGTTTGTGAACATTGTGAGCATTCTCCGTAGCGCTTGGGTAATTTGTCAAAAAATGTACTGCTTGACCCTTCGACCTTTCTCCGCCAGCGTGACTGCCAGCTTCTGATAGAAGGATAAAGGATTTGCTATAGCCCGTTGCAACTCAAGCAGGTAGGACGAGGGAACGGAAGGCCGGCGAGGAGGACGCAGACGGAACGCTGAAGAAGAGAAACGGTAACCTCCTCCTCTCTTTAACGTTCCGTCTGCTTCCTCCTCCCCGGCCTTCCTTTTCCTCGCCCTACCTTTTTGAGTTGCAACGGACTGCGATTTCACGAAACTAGCGATCAGCGGCTTGAGCGTACCGAGTTGGAAAAGCAGTTCTTCCAAAATCCCAATTCCTTTCCGTTTTATCGTGTTTTCTTGGTTTTTCTTTTTTTTTTTTTAATCTTTTTCATAGTTAACCACGTAGGCCAACCATATAATTTGTACAAATAGAGAATATTATCAACTTAGGTAGCACAGACACCCCTATTTTCTTGCCGTTAGACGGGAAAAAAGCGGGCGCGAGCGTACCCGATTGCCGACCGCGCGCCTCGCTGCCTGCCAGTGGGAAAGTTGAACCAACACCCAGAACATCGGCGGCGACGCCTTACCATGAAACCTGGCCCTAGAGATGAGGTAGACGCTGAGTCTGCCGTCTCGTTTGGGTAGCGGGAAAAACTGGGGGGGAAACTGGGGAGAACGATGTCTCAGTTTTGGCAGCAAATAAAATATAACTTTATTAATTGACTAGAGTGAATCTGGGGGAACGAAATAGCCTTTCGAAATTAGGAAGCAATCCGCATTTAGTTGATGCCTTTGGATTAGGTAGCTCAGAAAATCGGCGGAGTTCCCTAAGCTGAGACTGATCTTGCTAGCACAAGTCTGAACACGCAGGCACGCACAATCAAAGCATTGCGGAAGTCAGCGTGGCTTTAATATATATTTGTTTACATAACTATAAAAATATGACCGGGACCATCATTGCACGGTCTGACGTGGAAACACCCTTTATCGCGTGTAACGCGCAACTGTTTTGGGAGAAAGGCCGATGCGTTTACAACGTCTTTATACGTTCCCGTGAAGCAGGCGCAAGCGCTACACAGCGTGGGAAAGTTGAACCAACACCCAGAACCTCGGCGGCGACGCCTTACCATGAAACCTGGCCCTGGAGATGAGGTAGACGCTGAGTCTGCCGTCTCGTCCCAGGGACAGTCTCTTGACGGACACCGACCCTCTGGGCGCGCCCCGAGCCCGGAGTCCACCGGGCGTCCAGTGGGCCCCGGAGTAGGCGAACGTCAGCTCGAGCTGGGACCGACGCTCCACGCTCATCCAAGAACGGCCGTGGTCGGGACCCAGGGTCCCCGCAGCCGGAAACACCAGCGTCACGTACAGGGGCAGCTGAACCGTCAAGTATCGACGGTGGTTGCTCGACTCCTGTATACACACGCACGCCATTTGCAAGCAAGACGCGTTCTCACCCATTAGGTATGGGCACTGCGCGTGCGCAGAAACAATTAAGACTCGCGTGAGGCGACGCGTCTGCACATGTGCAGTGGTGTGACGTCAAAGAAGTGGGTCCTTTAGTTGTACCGCCTCTAGACCTTCGATGGTGGTAGGACCTCGTCAAGTAAAATTTGTTTAGACCCCACCCCCGACGAGAAGTTTGGGAATCGCCGCCTGGTGGAATTTTCTCACAACCCGGAGTGAGGATACTCTAACTTCCTCTGCTGGTGCAAACACGTGCAATACCAAGCTTTTCTATGAACTATGAAAATGAAAACACAACCGCGTGGGTAGCACGTTAGGAAAACAGTGTTTTCCATTGTGAGGAAAACAGAAGCGCCCCTCGCGAGCTGTTCACTGGCGGCCATAGCTGAGTGTGTTGCTTGCTGGCGCCGAGCTCCCACGGGGCTTTTGCAACGTGCATTCCACACCGTCAAGATTGCCGGTCTTGCAAGTCTATAAGTGTGACCGCGTTCTGAGAATGAGCAGTGCACTCAAGTATGGCATCCAGTGAATGCTCCCTATTATATAACGCTTCGGCGTCTCGCAAGCCTCGAGCCTACAGAAGCACCCAAGGTATGAGGGAAGTCAACGCGCGCGTGCTGGAGTGAGGTGGAGGAGGTTTGCACTGCCCCGAACAAAAATAAAATTGGTTTGCTCTTCATGTTTATACAGCCTCGATGGAGATGCGCCTCAACGGGTAATCGGTCTCTTAGCTGTAGATGAGAAATTTAGCCAGTGCGGTACAACCGCTAACCTGGGATTTTAAACGTGCATCACGCAGTAGTGATCACACGAACGCGTGCCGGTACGAAACTCATCCAGATCGAAACGGGCGGCGGGGATCGAACCCAGGAGGTTCCCAGCGCAAGATTTCGCTTCACGCTCCGAGCTGAGACGCGTTAGCCCACTCGGCCACTTCCTCCCCTGCCCCGAACAAAATCAGTACTATGGAATATATCTACCCCCCACCCCCGCTTCCCCATTCCATGGAAAGGGGAAGCGGGGAGGGGGGGGGGGGGGGCGGACCCTCCCCGCTTCCCCTTTCCATTTCCCCACGAGGCGGAGGAGTACGCTTCGAGCGCCGTTCCTGCACTTCACATTTTCACCGCCAGGTCGTGTCAGTTTTTGCTGCACATGGACTTGAAAAGACCCCTTCCTTCACATCTTTTCCGTTGGGCGGTGTCGCCTAATTTGGAGTTTCCAATACACCGACACACACACACACACACACGCACGCACACACACGAGTTTGTTACCTCGTAATCGTCGCGCAGGGAACCTCCGCAGACGTCGACGATGTCCCCGACGGACAAAATGGCAGTGAAGGTCCACAGGCACCTGCTGGTGTCCAGATGCTTGTAGAGAGTGACCGCTGTCCCTTCCCGCATCGCGGTGTTCCGCTCTCGGAGGTGTACGGTCGATGCCACCACCTGCTCGGACCCCTGGTCCGTCGCTGCGGTTCAGATGGCTTATTTTCGGCTGATAAACGCTTCCAAAGCGGGAAGGGTATGCACGGCGTGCACGTGAAGTCAAAGTATAACGTTGGTACTCATCCCTACTCGTTCATGCCACAAAAAAAAAAAAAAAAAAATCAGGTACGATATATTTGTCGGAGAAAGTACGAGAAGTACACCGACAAAGTCACCACCATGGAATGGCTGCTGGCGTGACGCCAGTGCAAACCACGCATGCGCATTTGCAGACGCGCCCTTACCGTCGTGGTTCAGAAAAGTAGCTTCGGTCAAGCTGGCGCTCTTGGGAGACAGAAAGTTGGAGCAGACATGCTGCTTCTGGGAAAGCACGTTCGTGAAGAGTTGCTCAGCACTCGGCACCGGACGCGTGGACACCAGAGGGAGCATGGAATCCTTGAGAGAGGAAATTGAGGACTCCGTTAAATAGTTTGGACACGACGCGATGAGTTGGAAGGTCACACTTTTTTTGCGCGCGCCTAAAACTGAGAAAGAGAAGTTTCTTCCTACCAGTTTTGACTGCACCTTCCCTTTCTTTTTACGAAATATATCTCAGCTTGTACCCGGCGTACCGTTATTATTCACTTTTTCGCAACATTAGTGACGCGGTATTTAGTTAGATTATTTTTAAACTCAACTTAAAAGGAAATAATTGATCATGAGCGGAGCATTTATATTCCCTGTCTGACTGTCCATAGCACGGGAGCACATTTAGTCGTTCAACTTCAAATCAATACACGAACCTTTTGACCACTCGTCAATGTAATATAAGAGTAGCTCTGAGAGCTGGGAAACTGAGTTTACTCTACCCTGTGTGGAATGTGCACGGTGATGTGCAGCTGATTCGGATGGGACCGGTGTGTGCCGTTCAGGTACTCCATGGAAACCGAGGAATCATGGCCTCTTCCGTCCCCGGCGCAAACCCCTGGAGAAGGAATAGTGGTATACATGGTACAGCAAGTGTGTGTTTCATCGATAGGTGCCGTCAACGAAAAAGCATAAAGAGAAGTTCAGTGTGAATCGTTTAGCCGAATTAAATTATACAAAATATAGGCGCTCGCATAATTGTTCTATATGGATAGGACGAGGGCTGAAAAAATAAATAAGAACAGCGTACTTACGAGCGTCAGACTTTTTGATGAGCGGATATAGGAACACGACTCTTTATGACATGCTGAATCTGTAGTAGCGAAGACCCCTTGCGTGCCACTATAATCTTATTTCTCAGATAGAGCGTCAAGTAAAAAAGTCCGAGGACACCTAAGCACTTCTTATGAGTTGTGAATGCGAAAGCATGAATGTCGTTCTTCCGCTCGCTTAGTTCGTCTGCGGCGTAGTGGTGTGGGCGGCCACGTTTCAGTACTGCCGAGGAATACCGGCCGATAAAGCCCCCCTACCCTGGGAAAAATGGCGCCATTCACTGTTGTGCAAATGCTCGAGACACGTGAGCGCGTCTCTTCTGGGAAGAACATGGCGTCTGAAATCTAGCTCACTGCTGGGCTGTGCCGCCATGATTTTCCCAAGGGCTGCACGTCGCACGTGCATCGACGCACCTTGCGCTACTTTGGAACACGAATGGGCTTTAGCGGCCGACAGGCTTTAGCGGCCGACGAAGGTGCGGCAGTGCGGCCAGGCCCGCACTGCCGCACCTCGCCGGGCCGCTGCGTGCACTGCGCCGCCATGGAGAGGGCATCTCTGGCGGCGGTTTTTGGAACCACGCCGCACGAGCCAATGGGAGTATAATCCATCAGGGATTTGGCTTCACTTCTGAATTTGGCTGTCGTTTAGCATGTCTTTTTGCGCGGATTCAAAGCTGGGATGCTTCAGACCGAGGCTTCACTTCGCTCCTTTGGGACAGGGGAACTTAGCTGCCGTTTGGCGCGGCTGATGACGTCGGCTCGCTCCATGGGACCCCTTCCCCCCCCCCCCCCCCCCCCCCAGTTCATGCTTTCTCATTAATTTTTGCATCCAAGTAAACGCTGCAGGTGACGACCCTCGTTCCGCATGCACCGCACGTTCACGCCAAGCTGGCAAGGCGTCTCCCCAGCTAGCGAAATGCCTCTCTACACCTTTCCAGCACTTATCGGCGACAAATGCCGAGTCACTTTGCTGTGAACGTATGCGTTGCTTCAGATCTTCGGCAAAGGGTAGTTACTCGCATGCCCAGAACGCGTTCCACAGCCCAGTTGACAAAGAAGCTAACGCAGAGAGGGCGAGTTTCTGATATGGTCTACAGGCTGTGGCAGGTTATGAAAAGCAGGAGACAAAGAAGCTGACGCAGAGAGGGCGAGTTTCTGGTATATATACGGTTTACAGGCAGTTGCAGGTTATGAAAAGCAGGACAAGAGCCCGTCCACGAAGCTCTCCGCTCGCCATGGTTGGTGGTGACCCCCTCTTCACTCGCCTCCGCTCCAGGGTTTTCTCTGGCTGTTAAATTGAAAAGAGTGGAGGGCCTTCTGGAAGGAGCCTGTCCTGCTATTCAAAACCTCCAAAGTATACGACAGTCTCTTGCGTATATACCTTCCGTGTCGCTGACGACCACGGGCTCGCTGACCAACCGGAACCCATTGCCAGCGGTGGGGGAGCGCCGGCTACGAACGTGCGCGATGCACCTCAGCACCGAGCCACGGGAGAAGTAGATGCTGTCCAATACCTGTTGAGACATGTGAAGGTCATGGGGGAAATCAAAGGCGTCTTATTGATTTGTGATTGCTCTGTAGTCATAAAAATTAAATTTGGACGTTATGGACTCACCATATGTGCCAAGACCCCCATAAATATCAGGCGCCATGTGAATAGACCAAACTCTCGTCCCCACCGTGCAACGAAATTCTGTCCGACTACGAGCACGTCAACCGGAATTTAAACCCCCCAACTGAAGGTCCATAGGCCACACGCACGCAAAGAAAGGAAGAAGAGGGTTACACTGTTCTTCTTTATTTTTTTTTAATAAAGACCTGCAATGGTAACAATTTAGAACGCAGCTCTTAGGCGCGCGTTTCGGGCTTAAACGGAGACGGAGTCGCCGTCGACGTAACCGCGTGGTGCATTATGGAACACGTCCCATAATGCACCGTGCTGAAACGTCACCGTGACGTTTCGGCACCGCTCCGAAACGTCGCGTTACGACGCGCGTTTCGAGCGTGAGAGGAGGAGATGGGGAGGAGGAGAGAGTACGGATGAGGAGGAGGGCCATACCCTCCCTTAAGAACCCTCCCCTCCTCCTCCTCAAGAGCTGCGCTCTAAATCGGCGTTACAAAAAGTTGTAAACGTCTTTCTTTTTCTTTCTTTCTTTTTTAGGTTTTTATCCGCTGACGCTTTGCAGCAGCTGTGCATGAACGCCGCCATAACCGACCTTCAATTTTTGTTTCCTCTTATTGCGTTTACTTCACTTCATCATTACCGCAGTTGGGCAGGTTATTGCCATTTTAGATTCTGCTGTGTCCCTCTCCCCAGAGTTGGCCTTTGTGAAGTAAGTAAGACGAAAGTCTTACTTACTCCACAGTTTGTGGGTAAGACGAAAGAAGGTCAGCAATGGTGGCTGTAATCTGGTGTGTGTTGCAAGCATCTATAGAAATAAATAAAACACCGAATCGGGGAAGGCAAAGCTTAAGCGCCACTTTATACCGAGAAATAGAAATCTTCACTGGGACTCACCCGTCTTCGAGCTGCTGTAAATGGCGTGGCTTGAGTCACAGTCTCGAACAAGGGCGGGTGCACGCCCCGGTCCGAAACTTGCCACCAATAGGACACGCCGAACACCGTATCGTCATCGTCATCCGGCGCCTTTCTACACAGGGTGTATCCGTGCTCCAAGTTGGGATGGCGACTCTCACAGGGCTGTGCGGGATTGGGAGATCCCACATGAGGATCGGAAGACGTTCCTTGTGGTTGAAAAAGTGGTGGCAATGAAGACGACGCTTCTTTTATTGGTGTTTTCAGTTTATATATTGCAATGTGTCCTTGGAGAGGGACACCGAAGATAAGATAAGATACGGAGTCATATGAACGCCTGGATGTTGAAGAGCGCGTGAAACAGCACCGAACTCAGGTGAACTTTTGGAAGTTGTAGGTTGACTCAAGCAACACCTCCTAAATAACAAAGCCGCAGTGCTAATAGAGATGTCGTCATCGGCGAAGACCAACGCTGGTCACAGATTGGACACGACGATTGCGTCAACGTTAGACTCAAACTTGGCTCAAAGCCGAGCGCTGACTCATTTCCGATATGTGTCCAGCGTTGGCCTTCACTGGTGTCCGAAAAATGTCAGCACTAAGGCCTTGTCTTCTAGACGGTGTTCGGTCAGGCCATCAGCCAACATCCGTAATTAGGGGATCGCCTAAGTTCGTCGCTGTAACATGGGGAGTTAGACGACACCTTTAGTCAATGGTGCCAGATGAGTTCATAAGGAACTCGAACAAGGTCCAATTACTTCCCGTCAATGGGAAGTACTCTAAATTACAAGTTAGGGGTGTTACGCGACACCTTAAAGGGTGTCGTCGTCCGGCATCATTTTACGCCCTCAAGGGGAGCGAACCAGTAGCCACTAACGCGCGTATACTTTCTTCTGGTGTACGTGGCGGAAGTATCCTATGGGGAACACTGGCGGATTTCTAATCCGAACAGATGACTTCCTGTCCTGCCAATTCATTAAACAGTCAACGTACGAACCTAGCGTATGCCGTTTTATTGATGTGATCCAATTAATAGGAACCCTTTTTGTACAAAGAACAAACAATTTGTCAAGAAAAATGTTTTCCAGTCTATATTTTGCGGGTTACGGCAAGATTCATACGCTCGTTCTCTTAAAAAAAAAAAAAGAAATATTAATAAACTGAGAAAAAAAAGAGTGTCGAAAACATCAACAGACACACGGAGAAAAAAAAAGGATTTAGAAACAGGGTTGGCTTGGGTTTCACGTTACGCGGTCCCTTGGCGCATGTATACTACGGTGTTTCAGTTTTACTAAGAATATTCGAGAAGAAAAAAAAGATCGGCCCGAAACACGACGCACTCACGAGCACGCAAAGGACAGGGTAGCCGGCTCTGATGACCTGCCCCTTGGTGGCTCCACCGTCGTCCTCGTAGTTGAACAAGGACACCACCTGGAACGAATTTGTTTTCCTTTTGTTTGAAAACGAGCCTTCGTCTCTGGGGTAGTAGGAACTGAAAACGCTAGTAGTTCAATGTGCCATTCAGCATCACGGTGCAATTGTGGTAAATCATGGCAATATATCATGGGAAGTATGTACAGTGCAATGGAAAAGATTCCAAGTGAACCAAATTATCGATACTTCGTTCTTTCTCATTTCAGATCTTTCAAAACGATGGTATACAGCATCTGGATCAGTAAATTGAGCGAGCGAATCAGACTATGCCCCATATCGACTCATCCATATCTGTGCAATTCTCACGCGTAAGTTTCTATCTCAGAAGTATCTGCATACTTGTAAACTGCTGTACCACTTCGGAACGCCAGTCACATGGTCTTTCTGTAATCAGTTCAACCAATGTAAAGTGGAGTCACTAACGTGTTCCAACCGATAATGCGATCTCAATGCCAAAAAGGGCAACTGGTCTTTGTCTCTCCACGAAGGCGTGAAACTCCTTATCCACCATGAATTTAATTGGCCAAACTGAATAAACGAAGAACGATTATTCACGATTCAAGTGAGCTCTGAGAGTGCTGATGTGCATGCTTAATCCAGTGATGGACGCTAATGCTTGCAAAGTTTGGCATAGTGAACACAACGCGAATCTAACAGTGGAATGTAATTTGCTCGCTGCAAGATTTAAAGTATATCTTCTTTCGTAACTATTAGATCAGTTCACCAGGTGGTTCAACGAAGTATACTTCAGAAAGGGTGTATGTGTGTGCATAACTATCCCTTCCGGAATCCACAAAGGCCATATATCTGAACGCAAACTGGGAGCCATAATTGCCTGAGCCCATTACTTCTGAGCCTGTCTCCACGCGAACTTTCACAACGCGTCCTCGACAGATGCATTCCATCAAGGTTATCGTTTTTGCGGACGATAAGTGAGAAAGGGAAAAAGAGAGAGAGAGGGAGAGAGAAAGTTCGTTCTGAGCATGCGCTGTGAACAACGCGCTTAAATATGGCGTCCAGCGCAATTTTAGCTCTGCCCGTTGTTGTTGCATGTTTATTGGTTGTGAGGTTGCTACTAAATATGGCGAGTAACCAAGGTTTATCTCAGCAGCGGCAGCGATCTCAAAGGAGACGTCAAAAATAGTAGCACGATCCCCACATATCCGCGGTAATGTAGGCGATCTGCGGGGCTACATTACCGCGGGTCGGTTCGATGAATTACCTCCGTCGGTGCCAGTGATCGTTACTTGTCTGAGCTCTCTCGAATATAGCTGTGTATAAGACACACATACCAGAGTAAAGGAACAGTCCTAAAACCCTGGCAGCACTACTGCTATTAAATATGAGTTTTTCTCTAGGTCTGTTAAAAGACTGGGGAGCTTTTCTCCGGACCCGCACGAAAGTGGGTGAACTTTCCTCCGGTTAGCTTTTCTTCGCAAATCCCAACTTCGCCCAATATGAATAGCTTACAATATGCGCAGCGTAATAGCTCGCCTGCCACAGCTACACATGTTGACTGCGGTACCCAATAATTAATGCAATAAGCTTTTTTTTTTTTGCTGCTATTTTTTGTTTTGATAAATCTGCGGGCCTATGCATCCCATCATCCTTTCTCGCGACCGAGCCCGCGTATCGGAAAGGACGAAAGGAATAAAAATGGCAAGAAGCAGTAAACAAAACCATCTGTCAAAATTGAAAAGAAAGGAAAACGTCGCGATGGGTTTGGAAAAAAGACGAACAAAGATCTGAATTGCCCACTCCCTCTGCGTACAACTGAAAAGGAAAAAAAAAGTGTAAAAAATACCTGTCTCTTGCGGTGGTCCGCGAGGAATTGTCGAGGAAAAGCGGCCCTCAAGGGAAGCTCTTCGGCTCTATTGTGAATGCACGCAGTCGTACGTACAGATGGTTTACGCCAGCGAGGGTGCACATCCTGTAGGCGCGTACGTGTGCGAGTTGATGCCGGGGAGAAGCGACTCTACGACGGCGGAGCCGCCGCGGTGACTAGAATGAACGCCGCGCCGCTAATGCTCTGGAAGAGCATTCGCTGCACACAGACCGAATCGTACAAAAATATATACAAACACACACACGTGCTTTCAGCATTTGGGTCTCCCCTATGGTCCCACTCACAACCCCCCCCCCCCCCCCCCCAAAAAAAAAAAAAAAAAACATTAAAAAATTGTTGCGAAAAAAAAAAGAAAAAAGTAACGGCCGGCTTGGCTCGCCTTGGCCCGCCTTGTAGAGCCAGGCGCGGGCCTTGCAAGGCCCGCGCCTGGCCCGGGCCCTTCATGAATGTAGCCATGAAGCCCGAGCCCGGCCCGTGTCCCGCGCGCTGGCCCGTACCCGTGCTGACCTCTACCTCCAGGACCAGCGGACTCTTTTACACTACACGAGCAAGTCGAAGCTGACGGTAGAGGCTGAGCGTTCGAACCCGTGGCCGTTCTCACGGCCATCGGGGTAGGGAGACCACAGGAATCCCCACAGGGCTCTCACCACGGGTAGTGGCGGCCCATCGATGCTCTGGTTCCTCGTGTCACTCGCATCGGTCTCGACAGCTGCGTCACGCAGGACTGCTTGGTGGAGCAGAGGCGGCCGAGAGTCCGGCGCGTTTGACGAGACTTGGATGCGTTCCGTCGTGCTTGTCCACGTCTTGTCCGAGACAGGTGTCGTCGTGACCACAGCGGGACTCGTAATCCCTGCGCTCGAGAAGAATTCGTACGCATTGTTATTGACAGCGCCATAAACATAAACATTAAAAAAAAATCTACAAGCAAATATTTGCACCCGAGTTATTTGCAACTCCAAGGGAGGCAAGGCCACCCTGCGGGGAAGATGCGAAGGAGGGAAGCGGGGAGATGCTGCCTATCCAGACGTGCAGCGAAAACTGACGCGGCCTAGCGGCCGAAATGCGAAGCGGAGGAAGGGAGATTAAATGCACGAAGTTGCGAATATTCGTGTTTTATATTGGCGCTGGCTTGATGCAAACTTTGGAGCGGGTCTTTTTATACCCGTCGAGTCAACAAAACTCAAACTGTTTGGTGATGACTGAGGTACCAACCTGCGGGCGTTTCTTCGAGCCCGGTGTCGACCAGGTTCAGCCAAGACATGTCGTCCTCGAGCACTCGTCCCGGGTTGCGGGGAGGACGGTCGAGCAGCATCGTGGAGTTCCTTGCTTGGCGATGGGAAGAGCCGTTCAAAGGCGTGGACTGCGCCGCGGCCCCCGAAAAAATATAAATTAAAAGATAAAGGCAATTGAAAAATAAAATTTGAAGAATAGCTTTGCAATCCAACGTAGATGTTGTATTTGAAGAAATTGCTCACCTTAAAACTAGCACCGTCTACTTCGCAGTTTTATAAAGAGTAGAGAGAAAAAGATAGAGAGTAAGTGATAAAACAAAAAAAAAAGTCAAAATCTGATCGTTTTTTTGTTAAAAATATTTTATGCATTAAAGAAGTCTAAGACAAAGACATAGAGAGAGATGTATTAGAATTGGAGAGTTGAAGATCTGTTTGGTCACGTGGTGCCTTTTGTTCGACTAACGAATCATTCCTGATCGAAATCAGTGTGTCTTAATCGTGACTTCAACTCGACAACCGGCGATCCGCAGACCGGCATGTTCCCCGAAAAAATAGAAATGAGTGCTGTGAAGATGCATTCTCTATGTCAGCTCTATGTCAGTGTCCGCAAACCTATTCGCCTGTGTAGATACTAAACAGATTATTGAGTGCGTGTGCTGGGGGGGAAGTATCATACTAAAATATTCTCTGTTTCCCGCGAATACTAACTAGTGGAATTCGTATATGGTTATCTTTCAACCCGTTTCACATCCAATTTTGCATTGAATAGCAACAGGTTTGAATGTTTTGCAACCCCTAATACTGCGACTTTTAATTATCAAATATAGTTGACACATTATACGGCAACGGGGACTTTTTTAAGAGCATCAGGCCCAGTTTGAGGCTGCTTTTTATTGACTTGTACGACACATGAATTCTGGGAGAGTCCGAACTAAAAGACGGTCCACATCTGACGTTCGTCATAAGGTCTGATTTTAGTTATTTTACATCTTAGACACCACATTTACGCGCTAGATGCGCGTGGTCAGAATGAACTCCCAGATGTCGCCTTCCTGGATTGTCAACTGGCGTTGAATGGACGCTTTAAACGAAAGCATTTACAGTAAGCGGTATAAGCATTGTTGCTTACGTACAATCGCAGATACACGCATTCGCGCACATTACCTCGAAACGCAGCACGTTTATGGTCCAAGCCAAGCAAAGACAAAGAGTAGTTCGAACTAAAGGAGAGTTCGATTTGGACGATATCATCGCTCCCGTTCACTGAGTACGCCGAGTCTGCGCGGCGTGACCCAAAACCGCGCGGTTTAGAAAGCGGCCACACGGCTACTACGCTGCCTGAGACCTGTTTCTTCCACTCCTGTTACGTTGGTTATACAAGAACTGTCTGCAGGCATGTTCGAAGCGCACATATGCATGTAAAGAAAACATACTTCCACGTTGCTTGAGGCGCAGATAATTCTGCCATCATGTGTGCAGTCTTATGTATAATGTACGAGCAATCACGAATGTGACTTTAGGAGGCGGAATGTGGGGAAGCTCGCATTCAGCGCACGCTCAGCAGCGAAGAACTCGGCTACGTCCACCAGCGAATGTACTACCGCCTATTATATGGACTTTCTTGGAATGCGTAACTGTACTTTTTGTTTTGTTTTGTTTTTGCCGCCAAAAATACCATGTAATGAATTTAGTTACTGCTAAACACAAAACAAAAAAAACAAATAATATACGAAAAAGAAAAGTCAACCCCCTCTCCGAGGAAGAAAAGTGATACTCGTTCCCGAAACCGTATACCGCTCTTCTCTGCCCAAGTTTACGAGTTCCGAAGTTTATGTTTCAGCCTTTTTTTCACGCACGAAGTTTATGAGCACGGAGATGAGAAGAGCGCACCCGCACCTTCTGGAGTGTCTGGGGCACGGGGCGCCTATAAGTTTCCAGCGTCATGAAGCCCGAAAACCCCCAATGTAATGTAATGTAAAAAAAAAAAAAAAAGCACAGTGTATACGCGGACGCGGTACCGGAAAGTGATATCATCAAATTACACGATGCATGTGCGGCCTGAGCTCATTCGTGGAAAATTTCGATGTGTCATCGTACACTGAAGAGGTTTCGCGGGCAAATAAGTTCTAGAACAAAGCCTCTTTTTCTTCCGTAGCATAAACGTCTAACCGAAGGAAAGGTGTACTCCCCGGATAGAAAATCGGCGCATAACGGCAGTATGGATGGACTGGTAGACGCCATATGTTGTTCCCCCAAAATGTGCTTCGTCGTGCGCGTTAGTTGTAGTAATTATAAAAAACAAAACTGAAAGCCGTGTACAACACCCTGTAACGCCGAATTAGAGCGCAGCTCTTAAGGAGGAGAAGGGAAGGGTACTGAGAAGAGGGTATACCCCTCCTCCCTCCTCCTCACCTCCTCGTCCTACCTGCTACTCCTTCCTTCTCCAACCCCTGCTCCTCCTCCTCCCCTCATTCCTCAAGCTCCTTCTCTCCCTCCCCTCCTCCTTATCCCTCGTCCTCCCCTCTTCCCTTCTCCTCTTCCCCCTCCTCCTTCCTCCTCCTCCTCGCACGGTGCATTATAAGATATTTCCCATAATGCACCGCGCGGTTACGCCGACGGCGACGGCGACGCCGCTCAAGCCAGAAACGGGCGCCTAAGTGCTGCGAGGATTCTAGCGCGTTTATGCGGCGCGTATACCTCACTGACATCTAGACGACATAAATGCAATGCCTCGTAGTTATTCTTTATTTCTCGTTTTGTGTTGGAAATCGTGCACTTCCTTCTTTGTGCCGTGTAGATTGTTTCCTGTAGTAGAAGGTTGTTGGAACTATAATTGCTATATAGGCCCACCGGAAATGCTCTGTCCGTCCGTGGCTGTCCCGCCACGTTTACGATTCCCCAGTCTATACCTACGCGCTCTTGCAACGCCACTGCGCTCTAGATCTCAGCGTGATGTCTCTATAAGTGGATTTATGACGCCAAATCAGAGTTTACAACAGCCCCCATGCGGGGTCGGGCTGTTATTTCGGGACCCATCATTTCCTACTGGGTTCTTTTGATATACTATCGCTGCTTTCAGAGAAGCAATTTGCGATCAAGTTGCAAAGCCGCTCGCTATCTGACAGCTCTGGGCGTAACTTATAGGAGGAGGGGACTGGATGTCAGGATTAGCGCTAATCCTCTCTCCATGGTGCGTCAAAGAGCCAGCGATGGAGCATGGCTCCGCGTTATTTAGGGGGAGCTTCATTTGCTTCCTTTTGTGCGATTTTGTGTGTGTGTGTGTGTGTTTTTTAAGGGAATATCACCGGCAGGCATGCTCGTTATTTTTCTCTTCTTCTTCTTGCTAAATGTGAAGCAACAGAAGTGGCGTCGCCTTTTTTATTACGCTTGACGGAACACTTGGGTAAATTGCCCGCGACGGTTATCTATGGTGAGTGGCAGTCATTACCTGTGCAGCAGAGCTCGATTGCAGACAAGCACGGCGCTAATTTAAAGATCTTAGTCCGCATGATGGCAGCGATGCCACTTAAGGGGTATTCACACTAGGGAGAAATCCCGGGGATTTCTCCACGGCACGCGCATCCCGCGACGAAAACGTCAGGCTTTGCGATGTGCAAAAGCCTCGTGTTTTCGTCTCGTGAAGCGCGCGCGCCGAGGAGAAATCCCCGAGATTTCTCTCTCGTGTGAATACCCCTTTAACAGACCTTCTTCTCGCATTGGTAAAAGCTCACGCGACATAAACACTAATGGAAATAGAGAGCCCTATCGAAAAGCGGGCTCCCCCAAGCAGCTTGGGGCGTCACACTGCGCATGCTGTTCGGGGGCCCCAAAGCATCGTAGCTCTCCATTCTAAAACTCTCTAACAGCGACGAAGGCACAACACCTTCTCTCGGAAATAAGGAAACAGGGAAGGAATATATATTGTTTTACGTACCGGCGAGAGATTTAATGAACCTCTGGAACGAATTTCTGAAAAGAAAAAAAGGGAGTGTTATACCATAGCAGACTACCGCATTTTTTCGAGCAAAAGACGTTATAAATGCTTTTTTTTTTTTTTCACGGAGCACGCGAATAGCCATTCACCCGGTTCGGAGCCCAGCGGCCTTTGACACAGAAAGACAGAAAGAGAGATGAGATATTTATTGTGAAACAAACGAGATAACGGCACACACGGAGAAGTTCACCTGCGCAGATAAAATTTTTGCGAAGAATCCTTTTCTCTGCATCGTTCTTCGCCACGTTTCGTACGTCGAACGCGATGATTGGCTGCACGTGTGCTCAGGGGGAAAGCAGGCACGCAGGCTTTGTTCATAAACAGCGCGTCTATAGTACTCGAGTAAAAACGGCTTCCGAAACTACAAATAAACGAGGTGCGGGAGTTATGGGTCAGGCTTGGAGGGCGCATTTGACTCGTGGTGGGGGAGAGGGGGCTCTGCAGACAGATTATGTCACAGGCGAAGCGTTACCTGCAGATATATTTTGCTGACGTGATATTTTCAAAATCATCAAACAGTAAACAGTTCTTCCTAAGAAAAACTGGTGTATGTCGTTTTCTCAATAAAATAAAGTTGATGTTGGGTGGCTTAGGGAGGCTGTCGCCCCCCCCCCCCCCCCCCTCTCTTTTCCCTTAAATCCGCCCACGTGAGCGTGACAGTCAACAGAGAAGTACTATTTTCTTTCCCCGTACATGGGATTGAGGGCAAGCAAAAAGTATAATCTTGATTTCTTTCCTGATTAGTGTGACCAATATTTATGCTATAAAAAAAAAAAACGTTTAAATTTTTTTTTTTTTGTTAAGTAAGCAAACGGGGAGGGAACAAGACCGCGAACAAGCATCATTCCTTGCAGCCGAAGGACCGCTTTCCAGAGAACGAAGAGCCACCCTTGTAACACAAAGACACACAAACACATGAAAAAAGCGCAAATATAGCGACTTGTGCTACGTGACCAGACGAAGCAAACGGCAGACAGATCAGATCCATGACAGTCCGGTTCGGCACGACGAGCACTCGGACTGGACGACCGGGCGGCCGACGTGCATCCCAACCTGATTATTACACGAGGCATCAACCCAGCGAGAGGCTTGACGAAGGTGCGGCGATCTTTCAAGTGCGTCCCCGTACAGACACCTGTGTCCGTTACTCAAAAAGGACAACAAACCGAATTTTTTCGTTTGTTTTTATCAGAGAAATCGAAGATGGCGATTTGAAGACCGCCCCTCGTGCGATTAAAGCACTGGTCAGAGAGAAGCGCTCGTGCACAAATCGTGCTAGCTAGGCTAGCTTACAAAAAAAAAAAATGTTTATACAGTTTACAACTTAGTCTGCCTCAACGGGCGAGTTGTCTCCCAGCTATAGATAAGAAATATAGCCAGTTCAGTACAACCACTACCCTGGGGTCTTTAACGTGCAACACACGATACACGACCGCACGCTGATGCTCATCCAGATCGAAAATGGCAGAAGTTGGGATTGAACCTAGGATCCCTGGGTTCTGCAGCGCGAGTTTTCGTCCCACTCGCTCCGAGCTGGTGTGCGCTAGCCCACTCGGCGTGCGAGAGGATTCTTTCCTTTTTACGTGAGAGGCAAAGTGAACGTAACGAGGGAGCAAAGGGAGCGAAAGTGCACGGCGGGAATCGCGCCGCGGCCTCACGAAACCAGCCCAGCCCATCCAGTCCAAACCACGACCGCTCAAAGACAACTCCATGCAATAAAAAGGGCGATATCGTGTATATTGAAAATTATGATAAGCCTTGAGACTGGCGTGGGAAGATTAAAAAAAAACAATGAGAGAGTCTCCTATTGACTCTTTTCCACCCCAGTCTCGAGGTTAACGATCATGCTCAATGCAACTTGTTTTTGGGCTAAGACCCGAGAACGATAGCCGAGACGGCTGGTGATAGTACTCGCGCACAGTTAATCAATATAGACAAACTTTTTGGAGATGAACTTGATAAATACGTGAATTTTTCCATAATTAATATGAACGACCCACATTAGGAATTATTTTGGGGGGAACCGAGGTGGAGGGGGGGGGGGGGGGGGGGGGGGGGGGCGTCCAGTTTGAGGTTTGACTATACGTGTTCGAACCTCTTTCTTTTTTTTTCTGTCTCTTTTGCTTGTGGTTCGGTCGGTTTTTCGTCTCTGTTCGTTACATCCTATGCTTTTTCATGATTTTTCCAATGTCAATAAATTGGCTTGTCGCATCTGCAGATAGCATCAAGAATGAAAGTCGACACCGCTTCCAGGTTCCCAATGTTGACCTTTTTTGAGAACTGGTTTCCACGAGAGAGAGAGAGAGAAAGGAAAGAGAGAGGGGGAGAAAGAGAGTGAATGCAAAAGGATGATCGCAGGTCGCCGAGAAAGGTCGCGGGAACGGAGTGCGCCGGTGTGCGCGATTTGATGGATCGGTTTCCACACTCGGGCCTCCTGGCGCTGTAGGACACGAAGACACTCTAATGGCGATAAACTTTGTCTCTCCGGCTGAGTGCAGCCTCTCGCTCCCCCTTCCTTCGCCCGTGTTCTTTCCCACCTTCTCTTCTCACATCCAAGTGGAATTGCGCAACTGCGGGGGGGCTTGTTGGCTTGCCTGTTCCGCGCGGCTGCACTTTCGTATGTTCGCCTCCTGCAGGCACGCAGTCAGTGCTCGTGCGCGGTGGTGGAATCGCGTACCGAATGACAGAGGTGGAAAGCCATAAACCGTCGGCGTGCCGTGTGAAGCAGCCCGCTCAACCGCGCTGCTCGAAGCGTCGGTCGGCCCTGGCAATATTCCGGACGATATGTCTCGCTGATGACGTTGCATCCCCAATGCGTATACAAAATGTTACGTTGCCAGATTTCAGTGCTATTCGTATACGAAATCCATCCCGTTGCGCTTTTTTTTTTTTCTGCTTTATATTCTCTTTTACATACAGTCGGAAAGCTGTCAAAACCCAGAAGGCGCACGAATGGAATAGCGGGCGGCCTCATTCTTGGCGTCATCACGCACCGAAAGACAGGGAGGGCTGCTGTGACGGCGTTGCGCTCTCGGCGGTTCTTTCGATTGGTTGGACTCGTAATGCCGGCTGCGCTCTGGCATATTTAAGCTGATACAAAGTGTAGCACTTATGACTCCTTTCTTTTTTTCTTTGTCTTTTTCTCTTAGACAACAATTAGTGGACCGGGTTAACTTGCTGGAGTTCCTTAGTATAACGAGCGGGATGTGAACGATATCCTTGCTTGATATATGCTACGATCGAGAAATGTCAATGCTCATGGCAGCGGGAAAGGACTAACAATACGACTAATGGACACTCTAACAACAGAATGATACAAAAAAATGAGAGACGTTTACAATTTTCTGTAATGCCGAATTAGAGCGCAGCCCTTGAGAAGGAGGAGGGGAGGGTATGCCCCTATTCCTTCCCCGCTAAATTTAGCGGAAAAAGTTTACCCTCGTGGCGTCACGCGTGACGTCACGAGGTAACGCCGTGACGTTACCCTTATGACTCTCGCGAGGGTAACCGTCGTAGCCTTCGTGAGGGTAACCCTCGTTAGGGTAACCGTCGTAACCCCCACGAGAACCACCCTCGTGACGTCGCATGTGACGTCACTTGCGACGTTATTATGGGAAACGTCCCATAATGAGCGCGTGCTTCGTTCATCTTTACTTCAGGAGACAAAATACTGAGTCACTGGGCTCAGGACGCATGCGCGCGCCTCATATTTCGTGGAAGAGGGCTGCTGCGTGCGCTCAGTACGCTTTCCACAGCCCAGAAGAGAAAGATGGCAGCCCACAGAAGGCGATTACTGAAAAGGTCTATATATCCGCGAGACGGCGAGGGTTTTTCGGTGGATTCCGGTCGTCTACTAGTCTCACCATGGAGGCCCTGTATATGGGAGCGAACGGTGTAACGAAACGCTTGTTTATGGAAGAGGCGTATACTTCGAAGTGTGTTCGTCTATTGTGTATATACTGTATACGCTTCCGCTCTTTGTAAGGCTTGCCTTTCCTTTCGGCTGGGAGACATTCCATTGGTACTAAGGGAACTATTCTGCGACTAGTGGTCCGGATGGCTTCTCGAGAATGCTGACAAACGCAACATAAGTGATTCCAATGGGCGCTGGTCGTTCGGGCTCCCGGAGATTTTTCGCGCTTCTTGCTTCGTGGTTCTACTTTCCGGCGTTCTTATCCGAGCCGCAGTCTGACCGGTGGCGGATCGATAATAAGGTTCTCAAACTTCGTCACGCCTTTCGTTTCTTGAGCTGTCAGCGACGAACAACTATCGCACGGAGCGAGGTGGGGAATAAAAATCGAGACGATTTAAATCTTGATTTAAATCGGACCTTTCCCGCTAAAATGCGATGATTCCAATCAAAACTTTTCCGCAAAAATAATCCCGAAAAAAATTAATATTTTCGTTTTGTTTTACTTACCTTTTGTCTAACATTTGATGCCTTCCGTGTGCAATTGTTTCGTGTTTAAGTCAAAGAATCATTGAGCAAAGAAGATTTATACCAGGCTGAACGTGAGCAAATCAGTTCTTCATTTACGTAACATCATATTGCGAGGAAATCAGAGCGGAAATAAAAAGCAAATCAAGCTTTTAACTAACTAAAAACAAAAACTTTTTTTTTTTTTTTTAGTATGGCTATTGGTAAAAGTTACTAATTAAACTGTACTTTGGGTTAGAGTAACTCTTTTTTCGTCTGCATTGTTTTCAGTGATCGGACATATTGATCGATCAGTCTGCCATGTTTAAAAATACACTCAGTGATTAGGTATCACCATTTTCTAGTTACTGTGATCTGAGTAAAATTAATCAGAGATAAATCAATCTGATTTAAATCGAATAAATCTGATTTAAGTCAAATAAATTTATATTTAAGTCAAATAAATCTGATTAAAATCCAACAAATCAGATTTAGATAAAATACATCTGATTTATGTTTGTAATTTTTTTATCCTGATTATTTTCCACTCTAGTATGAAGGTAGTTTACCACTTTGAGCTGTCTTTCACGTTCTCTTTCGCGTTTTATTTCAAGTCACGTGTTAATCGAGGAGCTGATTAAACGCAGCGAGCAGTAGTTGTGCATACTCAGAATTACTTGAGTTTATATTGAAGTTGGGGAGGGTTTTGTATTTAGGTTTAGAATTTTTTTTTTTTAATAAATCAGTCATAAATAAATAAATATATATGTATATTTTTTTTTGCCAATAAATTAGTGAGAGCATATATCTTTCGTCGTAACACCCGGCACTGCCCAGTGAAGCAAGAAGAACAAACCCTATACATATAAAGTATATCTAGAAGCAGCGCTCTACTCACGTCCGGTAATTTAAGCTTCCGTTATTGATTTTTTTTTAATGTTTCCTCTCGTTGTTGTTGTATGTTTGTTTGTTTCTGTATATTTTTTGTTCTACGATTTTACATTTAATCCGCACTTCATCACACATGCCCATCAAATTAAGCGTAAGTGAAAGCTTCCCGCTGAAGAAGACATAAATCGCTTACCTGCAGTCTCCTCAAAAAAAAAAAAAAAAAAAAAAAAAAAAAAACATTGTTGTAAACAAACAAACAAACAAACAAAAAAGAAAGAGCCACACCGGCCGTTTTCAACGTCATTAGTCATCCTGTAAGGTGCAGCCAGCGGTAATTTCGCTCGAATTTCGAGTGCTGCAGTTACTGACGCTGTAAGCATGTGTGGTCCGTGATACAGCTTACAATAACTCAGGCACGAGCTAGAGAAGCATCTCTCGCGAAATGGGCCGATATTGTAATCCAGTGCGTAATGGCCGGGGGTTCGTGAAATACAGGCGCAAAGTGTTTCACAGGTTTGTTTATACTTCCGCATAGAGCACGCCAACCCTCTTTAAATAGAGAGGAAGGGAGAGAGAGAGAGAGAGGGAGATGTTGACTGCCCTACAAATCATTCCGCCTGAAACATCCATAGGTCGGGCGCTTAGGGACGATTTTAAACGAAGCCCATGTCCTAAACTTGACTGTCTTATTCTGACACGATTCTGTACAACACGGGGTTTATTATTATTATTATTTTTATCTGGCTTAAAGTCGGCGTTGGTCGGTTTTTATTCTTCGTGGGACTAATTCCAGCGTGTAAATGTGGTGAAAAAAAAAAATATGAAGAAACTAGGCGAGCAGCGCCGCACAAAAACGATCGAAATAAGAGTGGTACGCATGTAACATGTTCAGTTTTGCCTGTTTGCATGAGCCATTTTTTATGTCCTAAAAGGCTGCCTGATCGTTGGCAAACTCTGGCGTACTATACACTTTACTAAAATATTTAGAATAAAATTATCATAAATGCCGAAAGGCGGATCCGAGTTTCGCTGTTTATTTTCTTCGTCTATCCTCCCAACATTTCTATTCACTGGTTGTTGTTGTTGTGTGTTTTTTTTTTTTTTAGGTACATAGTATGGTTACTGCCGAATGGGCTTCCGGATCTAATAGGAATTTAAATATTGTACTCGATTAATTGAGCCTTTGGGACCAAACTGGGTTGGGGTCGGTTCAAGTTAAAGCTAATTACGTTGGAAAACAAAGCTCTATTGCGTCTCTTTTGTAACATCGTCTTTTCTGTGAATAACTCGCTCGGTGATTGTCGTCTCTCCTTCACCGATCCGAATGAGACTGTAGCACATCAACCGACGAAAGCGGAACCTTTTGGACGAAACTATGTACAAAAACCACCGTCACGCTTTTCATTAAAGGAGCGATGCAACAATTTTTGTACTGTGCACAAATACCGCTTAAATCGGATCCCTAACGTTAATGACCTATGAAACACGCGTTCGTTTTTCACCCCACGCAATAGAAGTCCCAGAAAAAAATTTAAGAAAAGCGAGCGGCGTTCACCCCCTCAACTCGCAGCCAGAACAAGCGGCCACGTGATCTGGAGCCGATTATATGCCGCCAGTGTTGATCATAGCCACGCGCAGGGGTTGGCAAAGCGCAGGACACGCGCTGAGTTCCAGACATTGTTATGGCTCGGCTGTTGTCGTCGTTGCAGCGATTGGACACGGGTCACAACCCGAATGCTTCTCGAGCTAGCAATTGTCACGAGCCCAAGTCGAGTGCCCACGCAATGCTCGGGTCCAATCTATGAACCGCATTCAAATATCGTCACTTGGGTGTACTGGGATCCCCGAGTTACGTCATCAAATTTTGCAAAGGAGAGATTGAATGAAAATGATCGCTTTTGTCCTTGAAATTACACCACAACAAAGGAGTTTCTTGGCCAATGGTGTTGCGTGTGAGTATCCTTGAGTCCGAGGTGTGCCAGTAAGCTAGTGTAGAGAGAAAAACATTCCAATTGAATATCGTTGCACAGCTCCTTTAAGACCAACTACACTCACTGACGTCACGCTACAGAGGTGGCGCTGCTATCGGTATAGTGCGCACGCGCAGACGCCCCACTCCTCCCGACTTTGGTTTCCGCGCATGCGCAGTGCCCACACCTGATGTTGGCAAAGCGGGCTTCTTTGTAAACACTGTCCGCGCGGTGCTCTCTGCAGACACGACGACAAAATCGTCTGCGGACACGCTTCAAGTATGTTCAAAGCACGTTTGCTTCATGCCAATGTATGCTTCAAACGTGTTTACAGACAATCTTTGTCGGAACAATACAATGTGACAGGGGTCGTCATACAAGTAACAAACACGCCTCAGAAAGAGCCTGCACATAGTGTCTTTTTGTACGATGCGTTATGTCCGAGTCCCACTAGAGCGACAAAGAGAAACAGCCGACATCGACAAGGTTTGAAACCAGATTCTTTGCGAGTTGACAGGCTTTGTATAGAATAAAGGAGGCTATAGATGCTCGAACACGAGCGTCATGTGCGCGAGGGTATCTTTGGCAGGCTTGCAATCACTCGAGCTTACTTTACGAGCACCGAACGACTAAACGCCTGCTGAATGTGTTGGAGGCTTGTCCGTGTCGGTTGTTTTTGTTTGTCGCTCTAGTGAGACTCGGGTATTAGCAGTGTGACCGCGGTTTAAGTGGGGACCAATAGCAAGGTGGTAAGCTTAACCGTGGTATATATATATCCCCCCCCCTTTCTTTTTCTTCCTGTCTATTGATGTCTGCCCGCAAAGCAAAACCATCATTTTGAACACGTGTACATGTGTACACTCTAAAAAACGCCTGCGCTTCTACTTACCCGCAAAACACACGAAGAGCCAAACTCTGCGATCTAGAAAATCAGCTCAGCGAATGATGAGGTGGAATATCTGTCAAGACCTCAAAATTAAGTCTGCGCTGTGGTATTGCGCAATGCAAGCATGACGCTTTGCATTGTGCCACAGCGCATGACTTCATTTTTAGGTCTAAACAGATGTTTCGCCTCATCATTCGCCGAGCTGATTTCGTAGAACGCAGAGACTCTCTCTTTGAGTGTTTTGCGGGTAAGTACACGAGCAGCTATTTCTTAAGCCGGGTGTACATACTCTAAAATATAGCCGCGCCTGTTATTTATTTTTCATTTATTCACTTTTTTTCTTTTTTTTTTTTTTGGGGGGGGGGGGGGGGAGGGGGAGGGCAGAAATCTCAGCGAATGAGAGGCTGAAAACGTTTTGATTATATAAAAGGGGAAAAAAACGATTTGCCAACATTTAGCACCTGAAAACTATTAGAGTCGCAAGGCAGTCTATGATGATCGAGCTTCTTGATTCGTTGTTCGGCGTTCTTATAAGTCGATAACAAGCTTTAAAAAAAAAGGGGGGGGGGGGGGCTTTTTCTATATCTTTGTTTAGCGATCCGCTAAAAGAAGAACATGTGTATAGCTTAGGGCGGAAGTTTTTTTGTACTTGCATTATAATGTGATATAGCCCCTTGGTAAATCTCGAGGACGGCAATGCATACAACCCACGAACAAATAAACCAGCGTCATATTTTCACTTCTCCAGCCCACCAGGCGTGCTGCGTGGTGCGTCGTGACTCGCGATGTGCGGAGCGTGACGAGAGATCGACTGTTTTCTCCGTGTCTCTTTTTACCGTTTTGATATTTGCCGCCATCAAAAACCAAGAACGCGGTGCAATGTGCTCGCATGGAGTCACCCGAACATAGCGGTAAGATGTCTCGCCCGAGTTTAAAGTGCATATAAAGTGCGTCGTTAAAATTCGAGAAAAGAAACAGGATAGTCAAGTTCTCGCCTACTCTGTCTCGCAGCCTACCATTTTATATTGGTTTACGAATGCAAAACATACACATTCGCCGACTTTGCAGCGCAGCTCTGGCGCTGCATTCGGCACGGCGCGTGCCCAGACACACTGTGTGCGCAAACGCGTGCCTGTTGAGAGTAAAAATGGAACGTGCCCCGTGTTGTAAACACACCGAACTTACGTGAGGAACAACGGACAGAGGAGGAAAGGACCAGCAGCATGCACCAAACGCCAGCCATGGGGCGTGACCTTCCACAGGATGGCCGATGCAGCTTCGGGTGTCTTCTGCCGCTCTTCGCAGCATGCAAAAAGCGGGCTAGGTGAAATTGATCCCCCTGGAAGCATACGAGGAGGTCGCTTCAGTTCGACATCAACAGATCCAGGAAGACACTCAACCTGGCTCAAGTTCGGAAGAGCTTGAGCGGATGACCGTCGATGTCATCATGTCATACACAAATCCCCACCCCCGTTTTCCTCCCTCCCGCCCCTTTCAGCTTCGAGTCTCAGTCAACTCCACCTCTTAGTTTTAACAAATCGGTATAGGTTAAACGTGAGACTGTCGTGTCTTGTGTGAGACCTTTCCCCTTCGTTCATGAGCGCTGTTGAAGATTCATCACGTTATCCGTCTTGTTGCACCTTGGATTTCCATCATGTTTAACTTTGATTTTCCATCATTTTAACCCTCGATTTTCGTCATATTTAGCGTCATAGTCCCTGGTGTCAATTCGTTGAGTCAATGTGCATTCGCATAGTTTTTATCCTTTGTGATATCGGATGTTAAATGCGCATATAAAAGCATGTTCATTTACTATACACTCTAAAAAAAAAGTCTGTGCGTCTACTTCCACGCACAACACTCGGAGAGCCAATCAGAGCAACTTACGGAGGCAGCTCAGCGAATGACAATGCCGAAACATATGTTTAGACCAAAAAACGCAGTCTGAGTTGTGACATTAAGCAATGCAAGCGTGACGTTTTGCGCAGACATTTTTTAGAGTGGTATACACAAAGGGGACGAATTGGCATTACTCCTCGGGGATCCGAACCTGCTTTGCTCTGGTTCTTCAGATCCCCCTCGTCAGTTACGAAACGTCGTCATCATTTTGCCCGACGTCACTCCAACACGGCACGTTGACTGGACCACAGTGTCTGGAAAACGATGACGCGGCACTTCTGCAGCGCTGACATTTTGTGATGGTATTTTCTAAAGATGATAGTTCTTCAACATACCTTCTTTTTTCAATAAAAAAATTATAGAACAACAAATAAGCGGGTAAGCTATGCTCGATGAGAGGTGAGAAGGAAAGGGGAGGAGAAACGAGAGAAACGAGACAGGGCTATCGCACGACATGCAACAAGGTTTATTGTCTATCAGTTTCTGCGTTCGTATGCAAACGAAAGCAAATAAAGTGTCCGCTGACACGCCCTTGCATACGTTTATTAGAAAATAGAGAAGGCGTAACATAGAACTGAGTACTCACGACTTCTTGCGCGACAGTGGGGTCATCCTCCCGCCGACGAACGCGCTTTTAGCAGACGAAAACGTTCACCGCGGTTTAGCAGACGACGTGGGCGCTGCTCCACTCGCGACCGCGCGGTACTAAAAGTTCCAGCTACCACCACCGATTCTACGTGAGATTAAGGGGGACTTATGACTGAGAACCAGGAGGGAATAAAAAATAAAGTACGAACCCCGTCTGACAAGCCGACCCTCCTGAACGAAAATAATAATAATAATAACACGCGAGAGCGCGAAGGACACAAAGAGGGAGAGCGGTCAGGGCGATGGGGGCGCCCCGTGGTGCCGTTGACTGTAAGCGGCGGCGGATGCGTTCGTTTATTTGGTTCTTTGGTACTTTCGTGGTGTAACCCCAGGAACCCTAGTGTGTACCACGTGATTGTAACGCACCTCCTGGTAGCGACATTTCTGCGGATGAAAGGGCTCGTCGTAACCATGGGAAGCGGAAATTTCCTAATTAATTTATGGTGCACGAAAGGTCATTCGCGAGTATAGTTTCCAAAATATTATTGCCTTGGGATAACGTTGCCTTAGGCACGCGGTGTGATGTCACATACAAATTTTTGGTCAGTCAGAGTTTTCTTATTCAATTTCAGAAGTTGCATGGGAAACCCGATGATGGCATTCTGGAGCTACTGGAGCGTCGTCTTTCCTGCCGAGCCGGTGTATTACGGTGGCGGCACAGGAGGGGGCCAAGCGAAAAAAACTGCGAGCTATAAAAGAAATGATGGGAAGGAAAGCGCAAGGGGGAGTTCTTTTCATCGAACGGCCTTTTTTTATTGATATTGCGCTCCAGAGGGGGACCCTCGAATGTTCGTCGTCGTGGAATTTCACAGACCTCGTATGAATCCCTTTTCGTACGGGAGTGTTTGCCGCCTAGAAATTGTGAAATCTGCAATGGTGAGCTAAGAGATGGGGTCCCACAGCAAGAAAGGTGTAGGATGCTGGAAGTAATTTGAGACTTGTCTCATACTATATATTTGAAAATAGTGGAAGAAAACAAAATTTGCGAGTCAATAGTCTGTGAAAACAAACCTCCTTTTGGAGCCCCATTGTCAGTGGTTACCACAGTTCACAGTGCCAAGAAAATTTCATACGAGATTGTGAATGTTTTGCACTCGATGCTGGATCTTCTTTGTATGGGTCCAAGGCCCACCCCCGCCTGTTCCAATCTGGATGAGTGGAGTGCGGTCACCTGAGGCACGTTAAAGACCCCAGGCTAGCAGACTTACTACACTGTCAACATTTTTATCTGCAGACTGTAACAATGTCGCCAAAAATTCTGGCAGCCTAGGGATATCTAATACATCGAACGACAAATTCGACTTTAATTTCTGTCCCTCTTTGCAACGCCTCGTTGTGCATAAACTTTAATATTTATCCTTTTAGCGAGGCCGAGTGACACTTCCCATCCTAAAACGACGACTGGGTTGCAAATCGGCAACGTATGTCTGAAACGAGCGTGCGCGCTCCTCTGGGGAAGAATAAAAATACTCAAGAGACGGAACCACGGAACACAAGCGACCGCGCTCTTTTTTTTTTTTTTTTAGTAGCAACTAATTTTAAGTTTATAAACAACAAATAATTTTACACATATTTGAAAGAAAAAAAAAACGGAGATGAGAGACGGAAAAGGGTAGAAACACAAAACGTCTCAATCTTGAGACGTTTTGTGCTTGTCCCTTCTTCGTCCGTAATTTCCGTTTTTTTTTTTTGTGTGTGTGTTTCTTTTTTATATGTGTAATATTCACCAGCTTGCCTGTTTACTTACTATTTCTTCATATATTTTAAATGTGTTTTTTTTTTTTTTTTTTGCTAAATAGAGGTTTTAGTCGGCTGTCTTTCTGGAGGTTTCGGTTTCGGTATGGTTGCACCGGAAGTGTATGCGGATGTGATTCTCGCGGCCTAATCCGGCTTCCAAGCCGAAGTTGGTGAACATCATCATCATCCTCGTTTTGAGCATCCACGAGCGCGCGTACAAAATGGCGGTTTCCGTACGGTTGTTTTGTAAGCGGCCTCAAAATGCGGCGGAAAATATTCGCCCGAGAGGCATTGTGGCACCGGGCGACGTTATTACTACGGACGCAGGATTTATGAGGTAATTGCTGACGATACAAAAATTGATACGGCACAGACTGTCCTGAAAGAATTCTACACCGATCAATCTGCATGCTTGTGCACATGGATGTGGGCATTGCATCGTCATAACTTCTCATAACCTATCATTATTTCCTGATAATACTAATAGTTTCCGGCGGTTCGGAGGCAGGCAAATATTTTGTTTATAAACGCTTTTCTTTTAGCTTGGTATCTTAGAGCTGTTTGTGTCCCTGGCTTGCTCTCGCACTCAAGCTCGCCTTGTTCATAGTTAACTAACAAATCAAAATACTTTTTTTTTTCTTCTTTTTTTAAGAGGCCACGGCACTTACATCGAGAATGAGCAGCTTCTCTCGTCTGTCGCCGGGGTCGTGGAGAAGACGAACAAGTTGGTGACAGTACGTCCCCTGAAGACAAGGTGAGAAGTTATTGTCCCGAATTCTTATCGTTATGCAGGCACAACAGGCAGTAAACGTGACACTAACTGCTCGTCCAATTTTATTGCTCAACAGGTACAACGGTGAAGTCGGAGACGTTGTTGTTGGACGAATCGTGGAGGTTCAGCAGAGGCGCTGGAAGATTGAAATGGCGTCCCGACTCAACGCCTCATTGCTACTGTCTTCAGTTAATTTACCGGGAGGAGAACTGGTAAACGAGCCAGCTTTTTGTTGCCATTGTGGCTAAAGAATAACAATTCTCGAGAAACATGTAACGCGTGGCAGTTTTATGTGGCCACCAGCATGACACCAGAAAAGCATCGCCCCTGCCGCTTCTTCAGACAGACTCAAGGACCACACGGCAGTTTTGACCTCAAATGGGGTTAGATGGGAACAGGAAGCACTGAGATTTGGGATTGTCTGGCATCTCCAACTTGAGCAGAGGTTGCCTTCACTACTTTCTTGCCTTTTCTTCGCCATTCCTCCTCCCCCATTGGAATTGGCGTCCGGTCCCCTTGATGTTGGCTTTGTGACGACTCATCCCACCGCTGCGAAAGTTTGCCGACCCCTGATGTAGAGTACTGTGCTATCAAGTCCTAATGGGATACAAATGCCAAATTTAGCAGGGAAACTGAATTGATGGATGGAGAAAGAATAAACAATTAACACTGGGACAACACAACCACATCTTCCCACTAGCAACTGACGATTAAAAATTCCCACAGCAAGCAGCCGACTAAACCCAGGAGGGAAGGAGGAGAGGAGGGAAGATAAAAAAACGCGAAGAGCAAGTCAGAGAGGTGGGTTTATCTCATATTTTAGAAATTCAACCTCAGTTTTCGTCAGCAGGAGGGAAGGGTTTGACACGTTTGCTGTAGTTATGGCGAATGACTTTGTGATCTCCCTGCCAAATCTGCTGTTATGCCCCCCCAGGATTTTTGTTTCATCAAAGAGGGGATGACAAAGCGTACACAAATGGGCATGTATGACTATGGGATGATAGGAATCTGGAGAGGCCTTAGAAACTTTGTTATGATTTCCTTGGAGTCTGTGATTGGTGCATCTGCCGTTCTGGCTTATGTATTGGTGGCCGCAGCTCAAGGGGATGGACTAAACTTTCTTCTCTTTGCATAGAATGAAATTTGACACAAATGTTGTCTTTTCGTGCCGCAACAAGTGAACAACAACCGGATTCCGATTAGCTGCACTGTTAAACATGAAAAGAAGTTGCTTCCATGCAAAGAGAAGAAAGTTTACTCCATCCCCTCGAGCTGCAGCCACTAATACATAGGTTGGACTTGCAGATGCACCAATCACAGACCTCGGGAACATCGCAACGAAGTTTCTAAGGCCTCTCCAGATTCCTATCATCCCATAGTCATACATGCCTGTTCGTGTACACTCTGTCATCCCCTCTTTGATGAAACAAAAATCCTGGGGGGGGCATAACAGCAGATTCGGCAGGGAGATCACAGAGTCATTCGCCATGACCACAGCAAACAACGTCTCAAACCCTTCCCTCCTGCTGACAAAAACTGAGGTTGAATTTTTAAAATATGAGATAAACCCACCTCTCTGACTTGCTCTGTATAGATTATGTTACATCAATTTTCCCACAAAATTTAGGGGGAAACTGAATTGGTGTATAGGTCATGTGACATCAATTTTCCCACCAAATTTAGTGGGGAAACTGAATGGGTGTAAAGCCTACTACAATGGACACTTGGGCTAGTTGGTGTAGATGCATGATGAAAGACAGCACGAAAATACAATTACACGCAGGAGAGAAACACACAGGACAAGGCACTGAGTATCAACTTTTTTTATTTTGAAAAACACAATCTTGTTCATGTGGGCATAGGGTATTCTCTTTCTTTCACTGTGTAGTCACCTCTTGTTTCTTTGAAAATAAGAAAGTTGATAGTCAGTGCCCTGTCCTGTGTGTTTCTCTCCTCTGTGTCCTTGTATTTTCACACTATTTTTAATAGTGTATAGGTCACGTGATGTCAATATTTCCGCTAAACGTAGCAGGGGAACTGAATTGGTCCGTAGGTCCTGTGACATCACGTCATGCGACGTGAAATTTAGCGGGGAAGCTGTATTCGTGTATAGGTCACATGAAATCAGTTTCCCCGCTAAATTTAGCAGCAAATGCACGGACAGACGGTGAGACAAAATTTTAGGATTGGGGGTAGTGTTAAAAAGCATTTCATGCTTTAAAACAGATCTGACATTTCTTTTTTTTTTTCTTTTTTCAGAGAAGAAAATCTGCAGAAGATGAGCTGCTCATGCGGCAGTACCTGTCTGAAGGAGATCTGATAAGCGTATCCTTTCTCTCTCTTTTAGCCTGTCTTCTTTTGTGGTTTGTAAAAACTTTCACTCTCCTATGGGATAAAGGTGGCTTCACTACCGGAACATGTAGGGGTACAGGAACATCATAAATCCAAAGCACCTTCGGCTTTTTCACAAAAAAAAACAGATATTGCCCCTCTGCTCAGCATACGTCTACGAGCGATGAATGAGAAAGCAGGCATAAATTTTAAAACAGTTTACCATTCCATCCAGGAGGGGTCCCCATGGGAGGACTCTAAAGCACACTTTGACTTCAGTCTGCTGAAATATAGGAAAGCGTCAACTCAACATATCGTTTACCAACAGGCTTTTAACGAAATGCTAGTTGGATACAAAGATTTTTTGGAAATATATGCAGACAAGTCCAAAAGTAAGGAGAACATGAGGTGTGTCGTTCCTCGTTCCTCTTGATTTTTGGAACGCGTACCCGTTACAAGTTTCATCTGCAAGAAAGGAACTCGTTCCCGTTACAGTTTAAAAAATGGAATGTGTCGTTACATATACGTTAGATTTGTATTTTGCTAATTAAAATATTTAATTAATTAAACAAACATTTTTTTTATCTATCCCCATAAATAGCAACATACGAATTAAAATGCCGTGATGGAAGGATGCTAGGAAAAGAAAACAAGCGGAAGCAAGGTTTCATTTGTTGATATATGTATTTTTAAAAAATCTCAGCGTTTTGCCATAGTCACGTTCGTGGTGAACAATACAGACGAGCCAAATATACTGTCACCCCCATTGCACGAGCGTTTTACAACAACCTCACACGTTTCAATCTAACAAAGTCCCGTGTTCAAACTTAACAACAGTTGTTTCTCGATGCTGTTGTCAGCAAGACGAGCAAATGAAGAAGGTAGGGCTTTTTGAAGGTCAGTCTTGGAAACTACCAGTCCTTCTTTGCGAAGGTTGAGCTCGTTCATTTTGAAGGTGGGAGAAGAGGACAGAGAAGGAAGGTTAATTTTTGTGCATCTGGCCAATGTTTGGGACACAATGGTGCATATGGTGTATAGTAACCTGTTCTTTTGGTGTAATTGGTTTCTTTGTAGAAGTTCAGTGATGACTGCAGTCGGCCTTAGATTTCTGGGTGTCTGAGGATTCATGAAAGCAAGGAAAGTAGCTGCGTTCGTGACGCCCCTTTTTCTGTCTCTTCCTTCGACCAAATGTTCTGATTTTTGTGCCGCAATCTCGGGCACTGAAAAAATAATCACTGGTCACTAGCTCTCCTGCGCCGTACTGTTACCAAGCGAGGACCCCACAAAATAAACCCTAAGCAACAAAAGAACTGAACGAGATCCTCCTCTTCGTAAATATGTTTTAGAGCGCAGCTCTTAGGTGCCCGTTCCCAGCTTGAGCGGCGTCGCCGTCGCCGTCAGCGTGACCGTGAGTAACCCTCGTCAGGGTTACGAGGGTTACTCTCACGAGGGCTACGAGGGTTATGAGAGTTACCCTCATGAGGGTTATGAGAGTTACCCTCACGAGGGTTATGAGAGTTACCCTCACGAGAGTTCCCTCACGAGGGTCACGAGAGTTACCCTCACGAGGGTCACTAGAGTTACCCTCACGATGGTCACGAGAGTTGCCCTCACATGGGTTACTAGAGTTACCCTCACATGGGTATTAGAGTTACCCTCACGAGGGTCACCCAGGTCACGTGACCCCCCGGGGTCACGTGACCTGGGGATACCCCCCGAGGTCACGTGACCCCCGTCGACGTCGTCAGTGACGTCACTGAAGACGTCACCGTCATCCGCATCGTCATCGTCATCATCAGTGATGACGTCATCAGTGACGTCACTGATGACGTCACCGGCATCGTCATTGTCATCATCAGTAACATCACTGATGACGTCACCGGCATCCGCATTGTCACTGATGACGTCATCTGTGATGTCACTGATGACATCATCGGTATCCGCATCGTCATTGTCACTGATGACGTCATCGTCGCGTGACCCCTCCCCCTCCCCGACATCACGTGACACCCCAAGGTCACGTGTCCCCCCCCCCAAGGTCACGTGACCCCCCGCCACCCGAGGTCACTTGACCCACCCACCCCCAGTACCCTTCCCTCCTCCTCCTCAAGAGCTGTGCTCTGATTCGGCGTTACAGGGAGTTGTAAACGGCTTTCATTTTTTAAACATTTTTCTTAATTCCCCGTTTAAAAACAAAATAAAAGTGACCCCATGGGACGAAAAAAAAAAGGAATGCCGTTCCTTCTTCCGTCCTCGTAAAAATGTAAAAAGTTACCGTTCCAGTTCTAGCGATGCAAAATGGAACGGCGGCGTTCCTTCGTTCCTCCTAAAAGGAACACGCCGTTCCGTACAACACTGGTGTGCATTCACTACTGGGCTGAAAACTAGTCAGTATACTTCCACACATTGTTTCTATTTTCACAGCAGAAGCTTTTGCTATTCTTGTAGTGCTAAAGTGGTCAATATAGACTTCCACACATTGTTTCTATTTTCACTGCAGAAGCTTTTGCTATTCTTGTAGTGCTAAAGTTTGTGCAGTGTGTGTATGTAAAAAATATAATCACATTCTTAGATTCGCAAAGTGTTTCACAGGCACTATTGTTTCTATTTTCACAGCAGAAGCTTTTGCTATTCTTGTAGTGCTAAAGTTTGTGCAGTGTGGGTATGTAAAAAATATAATCACATTCTTAGATTCGCAAAGTGTTTCACAGGCACTATCAAGTGTTAAAAACCACGTCCACCCACTCATCACAAAGATTAAAAGACTTCTCTTAGCACTCAACTCGAGGGATATACATTTAGTTTTTTCACTGTGTGCCAGGTTATGTGCAGATCCCAGGGAATGAAAACGCTGATACCGCTGCGCAAAATGTTCAAGCTCTTCACGTTACCTCGATAAGCATTCTTAGGGCGGACTTGAAAGCCTTGGCTCGCAAACATATGCTGACACAATGGAATCTATTATGTAAACAGCAAACCCAGAACAGACTCTACACAATCAAACCTCACACATACCCTTGGCCAGAGGTGGCCAAATTACTAATTTATTGTAATTAAATTACATTACTCATTACTTTGAAAAACGACTGAAATGTAATTAAATTACATTACAAGTTACCACTACACGAAAGTGATGAATTACAATTATAAATTACTGCATATAAGTAATGAAATTACTTTCAAATTACTGTTTCATATATTTTAAAGGAGGAGCTAAACAAAAATAAAGAACACACTGCTCTGCATTTGCAAAGTAACAACTGTCAACCCCACACCAAGCCAGTGGGGAAAACCAAAGACAAATAAGGCAAACCAACACGCCCTCCCAAACCGGACCGACTGACATTGGGTCTGTCTGTGCTGTGGGCTCACATATTTTTCCGAAATACCTACTGCACATGCTATCGGTCCTTGGATTCATCATCATCCTCGTTCGGATTGCCTTGCTATTGATTATTCCTGTGGGCTGTGTCTTCTTCGTGTGAATTTCGGGGCAAGATAATCTTCAAAAGGGACGAAAGCCATGTTTGGGGAATCATATTCTTGGTCACAGCAACACAAACCCGGCAGGATTTAGGTGGCACGACCCTCTTGTCCGACCCAAAATGCCTTCAAGCAATGCGCACATAAAGGCACCCAATCCGACCGTCACACAAGCCAGCCACCACAAACGAAAACCGCGTTTTTCCTTTCCTTTTCATTATGAATGCGAAAGCATCAACTTAGGGTTACCAGACGTCCCGTTTTGGCCGGGACAGTCCCGTTTTTGAGGTCCGCTTTTGCCGTCCCGTCTTTTCGTCCCAATAATGAATCATCTCCTGTTTTCGTAGGAGTACATAGTTTCGAAATTGGCACTGAGCGAGCTGAAGCAAATTGAAGATATGCCTACTCGTTACAAGTATATTTTACAAAAATAACCGTACGTACTTACCCAGAGGGAAAAGTTTAGAACTGTTCTTGCCCACAAAGATATTCACCTAGAGGGAAAAGTTTAGAACTGTTCTTGTCCACAAACTTTTTCTCGCGAAGATGCGTGTGTATCCAGTAACTAATATATATATATATATATATTAGTTACTGGATATAGCACACATGTAGAATCTCGGTTGGAGACACTGCACTCTTTTTCGAAAATGCCAAAGAAATGTATGTGTGTGTTTACCAATCGTGGTGGTTCCATGGGTCGTGGAACTGGCTCTGTGTTTTTCTGGAAGCACGTTTTCAGTGGAGCGCGTCTTTCTAATTATGAACTTTGTGTGGACATGCGAGAAGTTTCGCCTTCTTGTCTCAACATTGCGAGCAATGCTACTTGTGCGGTTGAACTTCCCATAAAAGTGTGCAGCCTTTTACAACCGAGTCTTGCAGGATAAAGTCCTGCTTAGAAAACTTCCGTCGTTGGCATATTACGCCCACACAAACGAAGGACCCGAAGCAGGACCTTCCAAATGCGTGCATGCAACTGAAGTGTGAGTGTGGCTGTTTCCTAGGGCTTAGTGCAATATGCGAATGTTACGAAATAAGACAAGTTATTTCATTAAATTTTTCTCCCTAACGAAGTTAGGAAGAAACGCGCTCGTCAGTTTCCATGACCGCTCACCCCATGGCACTGCCTGTCCATCAGCGCGGAGCGTCCAAGGTCACCATGGGAGCACACGCGCTGACCGGCAACGAAAAGTATGCAGCAGACGAAAAAGGGAGCGGACGAGCGGCCTGCATGCTTTTGCATTCACAACTCAAACAATGCTTAAGTGTACCTCAATCTTTTCTTTTTTTTTTTGAAAGAAGCTTATTTTGTTTGCAAATGCACAAACTGCTTTCTTTTTTGTTCATTTCCGGACAAATTAAAGAAAAAAAACATTCCTAAAATATCCAAAAAGTAATTACGATTTTAATTACAATTACCGCCATCAAGGTGATTCATTACATTACTAAATTGCCGGCATCAAAAAGTAATGAGATACATTATAAATTACTCTCAAAAGTAATTAGTTACTGTAATTCAGTTACAGTAATTTAATTGCAGCCACCCCTGCCCCTGGCCCTCCTCAGATAATCTATCGCGTCATGAAAATGTCCTCTTGATTCGCCTTCGTATTGGTCATACACGCCTTACTTACGGTGGTTACCTGTTGAATCGCTCCGAAACCCCCAGAATGTGATATCTGCCATACCACACTCTCTACTCCACATATCTATATACTCATGCCCAAAGTACCCACACATCTTAGACACCTGGTCAAACCCTCTAAGACAAGACCACACTCCTTTTTATCTGGTATATCTTTTATCTAATACTCCATTAATTTCACACCATCATCTTTTCACATCTTTATTTCTATCTGGTCTGGCATCATTACTGTAAAGCCAATATAGTAGTAGTGACTAACTGAGATTTAACACATCCTTCACCATAGACTGGCACACTTTGGCCCATAGGTAGCCCTTGCACCAATAAACAGTTAATCAAACAATCATTCTTTGTGGTTGTCACAATTTCTTTAATGTCCGAGTCAAGGGGAAAAAAAAAAAGAGTGGCTGCACCTTAAATATTGCAGGTGCCATGAGGTTACTAGATCTGTCGTGCCGTAATATGTAGATTAAGGCTAGTCATGGTTGGTATGGCCCTCTCCTGCATGTGTAAACCAGTGACACTAAAAACTACAAGGGGTCACCAGGATAATGGGACATCTATTTAATGCTTGTGTCACTCGTGTTCCTACTGAATATTGCAACTAAGGTGGCAGTGATTTTGGTTGCTCTTTTTCATTTCTAATTGTCATGTTTTCTAGGTGGAAATAATGAATGTCTGACAATGAAAAAGGGCTTGCTTAGTTGGAGTCAAGAGTATTGCTTACAAAGCAGTCGCGTCTCTCGTCACCTTTACATTGTATTAGTAGGTTTAATGTTGCAGAGCTATTAGAACTCAGGTCTGTCCCTGGCCATTTTCGAAGGAGGTTGAAGATGTTAGGTATATTCCGTTCAACGCTGAGCTGTTGACAGTTGAAGCCATGCGCTTGTTGGACCAATCAAGTCGACTCTGTGTCCATACTCATGCAGAGAGGTGTTCAGGCAGTAAAAGGAAGGCAATTGATTGATCTGACGAACACATAGCTTCCTCTGCCCTGTCAGCTTAGTAATAAACAGAGTATAGAGTTAGCAAGCTAACTCTACACTCCATTATAGTTAGTAATTTGGCCACTATATAGTGTTTACTGGTAAATTGGGTTGCACAGTGCTGTCTAAGAATGTCAAGTAGACTCCCGGCTTAAAGTTGTGAAAGTGTCCTCTCCAGTATTTTCCTTGATGGCACAAACATCAGGCAGAGGTCCAGTCAGTGTTTGCAGATGGCTCTCTTTCCTTGCACACAAGAAGCTTGAAATATGGAAAGGTATGTGTTACACCCATCTCATTTCTACGACCAGATCCACTCGTTTTGTTAGGCAAAAGTACTGTGCACTTGTTTTTTTTGTCCTTTCGTATTACAGTAGAGCCTCTTTTTAGAAGCATTCTGTCAACCCTATTGCGTTTTCACGGACACCCAAGCTTCAAATGACAAATCGAGAAACCAATTCCAACAGCGATGTTGGCCCCGTCTTTCTTGGTCGAGGGTGAACCATGGCGTCATTGTGCATGCCATTATCCATTAGTTTGTTCGTTCCTTCTTTCCAGCTGGGGCAGGGCACCCTGGTGCTGGTGTCCCCGTCTCTGGTAAAGCGCTGCAAGACCCACTTCCATAACCTGCCGTGCGGGGTACACCTCATCTTGGGCAACAACGGCTACATCTGGATTGCGCCCCTGCTCTCCGAAGAGGGCACCAAGTTTGTACAGAGCCTGGAGGTACCGTACACCACGCTTTTAGAGGGGAGCTCTGGCTGAAATCTTGAGTTGGTGATTTGCCACAATATTGGTTCGACACATTAATAGACACATCCGAATCAGCAACCTAAATTGCAATTCATAATAATTTTTTTTTGCAAAGTTATTCAAGTTTCACATTAGATCCGAGAGGGTTTATCGGCAATCCTGAAAACGTGACATTGCGTTTTATAGTCTAGAGCAATATGGGGGCAGTATAGCTTGCTTTCAACAGGTAACAAAAAGCTTGATGGTGTGAAATGAATGCTGGTTAAGCTCACGCCAGCAAAACAAAATAAACAAGCACAAAAAGTATTGCATTTTTTAGGCTGCCTGCTAGACATGCAAGTTATACAAGTGTGATGTCACTCCAGTGGAAAGGGCGGCAAAGTGTGAACATGGTTTCGGCATCGCCTTCATTTTCCGTTTTCTCTATAGCCATTTTGAATTTGGAGGTAGTAAATAGCATGACGCAAAGAGTAAAACCCGTGTAATCTGGGTACTCACAAAAACATTTTGAAAGTGTTGGAATAAGACACAATTGTCACAAACACCTGCCCCCACCCATAAATGAAAATAAAACAAACTTGGTGGACACTTAAGCTTTGCCTGTAAGAGTGCAACGCAATAGCATTATCGAGCCCCATTCGCAAAGCCTTCTCATATAAACCCGGGCTCATTCCCAGGCCGTGCAAGTGTGTGCGCGTGGTCTAGTCGGTAGCATCACGCGACGTCACACGTGGATGTGACGTCGTGACCGGGGATGCCTTATAATGCAGCGCGCGCAGCCATGTGTGACGTGACACGTGGCTCCGTGCATTGCATTATGGAATTTTGTGGTGCCATCGATGCCGACGCCAGATTTTCTGCGACACGAGCTCCTAAACGCTATTGCGTTAAAAATATACTGCAACGGTTGCGAGAACCGTTTAGACTTAGGAGCTATTCCGAAACATGCTTTTCTTTCGAGACGTCGACCCCGAAGTTTAAAGTTGTAGTATTTTACTGTAGTATAGATGAGGATAGGAGAGCAAATTGTGCGCTTTTAATTTAGTTTTGTTAGAGTCGCCGAGTATCCAGGGTGTCTAGCAAATTAATATTTTAAAATTCCCCGACTTTTCCAGGTTTCCCCTAACAATTTCAGGGGAATTCCCTGACCACGGTAGAGGCAGTTAAATATATAAGACCATTACAACACAAGGCATTGAGCATTGAGCACTGCGAGGATCATTTTGCACGGGCTTAATTCAACTTGCATGTTCCGAAATATTCGGGTTCGTCTAGTCCGGATTAAACAAGCATTTTCTTGCCACCGACATCGTCAGTAAAGAGGCTGCTTCCGGAAACGTGATGAAAACACGACGCTCAACCACACACACGAATAACCGAATGGCAGCATGGCCGCCAGATGCACACTTTCAAATACTTTCGGCTTAACGCTTGGATTGGATTGGGGTCTGCAGCTTTTTCATTTGCTACTAAATCTAGTGTTGCGCCCTCAATCCAATCTAAGGCTTGGACTGGATTTGTCGGCTGTTCCATTTGCATTCGGTAGCACACTCTACATCGGATCAGCAGAGCCCGCGCTCGGCACTAAGCAGAATTTATTGCTTATTTTTCTGCCCCCAAGTCCTCAAGTCTTTGCTCAGGGCACTCGATGGCATTTCGGCCGGCTCATTTTCTCTGACTGGGCTCTCTTTTCAACAATATCCCTGACAATTCCCCGATTTTTTACAGTAATTAAAATTTCCCCGACAATTCCCGGTTTTCCCGGTCGCTAGACACCCTGGTGTTTCAAAGTATGCTGCGGTCTTTTTGGGTGAATGAACTGAGCTTGTGTGTGGCACTTTTTCTGCTCGTAGCTGGTGCCTCAGGTGACGAGAGAGGCGGTTGCTCGGGTCAGGAACTGCGTGCTGGCCCTCGCCCGGCATCACGTAATGCTCTTCGACACGAGCGTCGTGTATGCCTACGACGTTTCGCTCGAGCACAAGGTGAGGTTGGGCCTTTCACTCTCGCTACGACGCTTTGTGTGCAGTTTGTTGGCGGTATAGTAGGATTTCATGCAACAGGCAGTCTTTATATCTTGCAGTGTTCGGTTCTTGTGGGTTGAATCGAAAGTTCTGTTGCAACAGACTCGGTGCAGTAGCAGTTTACGATACTCTATTCCTCTTTATAGGGGCACTTTGGATGTGTGCAGGGTTTTTGCATTCTAAAATGCATTTTGTGTGGCAGCACCTTTGTACTCTCCTTTGGAGGAAAGTGAAAGTGCATCAGTTGAATACAATTTGTAGTTTTGTGTATGCTTTATAAAATCACACTGTCGACTTGTTGGAACCGAATTGGCACAAGCATTGCAACGTCACCTGGACATGAGATATCCTATTGAGTGAGGAAAAATGTTGAGCCTTTCAAACTCGACGACTTCCCGAAATTTTGCCTCAATTGTGCCATAACTTTGGGTGCATGCTTGGTCGGTGTCTTACGGCACATTCTGTTTGAATGCCTGGACGACATGTAAATGTTTCTACTCGTGCACTTCATCTTCCAGACAAACGCTCTTCTGAAACCTGAAATCATGAAGAAAGTTGCAGATTTGACAAAGCAAAAGCTGCTTCTGGAAACGTAGGAATGAATAAAAACATATTTACCTCATCCAAAATGTTTGAAGCTGGTATTTCTTTCCAATCGTCAAGCAGTCTGGAGGACTGATGCTTTCTTGAAACTTCCGATTACTACTGGTTTGCGTGTTAGGGCAAGCAAATGGATTCGAAACAACTTTATTTGCATAACGACAGCACTACAAAATGACTTGCTGTTGGTCACCTTACAAAGAAAACAGAAGGAAACAAAGTTGTACAATTGACACGCGTTGGTAGAAACCGTCATTTATTACAACGACCACGAACAGTAACCGGTGTGAGCCGGAGCCTTCTGTAATCCAGTGAGAGCAGTCAATAGGATGCGCAGCAACCAAGCACCGCGACATATATCACACCTTAGAACCTACATCACGCTAATACTAAGTATCACTTTAGTGGGTGAGCTTTGTGTACAAAATGCTTGCCTATAAATGCATTGGGATGTTCACTATACAAATCCTTAAAAACGGCGATTCATGTAGTGCCTGGCGTGAGCCAGGTCGCCATTGCGACGGGTTCAAAAAAGTCCGGAATGAAATAATATTTGCGGTAAAAGAGTATGCATATGGAACCGCAACTTATAAAAAAAAGCACCACCTTCATCTTTTTCCTTTTCTCGCCAGTTCAAAATAATGCTTCTCGCGACTTTCGGATGCGATGGGAAAAAAATTGGAGATGCCCCACTTATACAGCTTAGCCCACATGCCTAAGCCACATGCCAGGAAGGTTACCGAGGGCCGGGCACATGTAAGAGGTTCTCTTTGGACAGGTTATCCGACTTTGCAGGCCCATTTCTATGACACTAACACTACCAGCTCCGAGTCAATTTTGCCGTTAGTGGAACTCGAGGAACCCCAGTCCGGTATCGCCGACTGTGGAAGTAGAAACTATTTGAAGTAGGGGTCGAGCACTGTCGCGGCTAAGCATCTACTAATTGCACAGTTTGATGAAGACCCTTGTGGTTTTTCAGAAAAATTCAGGTGCTCGAGCTAAACTCGAGGGAATCCATCCTCCAAGGAAATTGAGGAACGGTAAGGAGACATGGGCGGTCAGAGTCAAACAAAATGACAGTCACGGGCATACGACTGCAGTTGGCGGCAGCAGTGGTTCCCTCTTTGTGTAGGTAAAGGCTGGTTTGTAGCTACACGAGGTTGCTTGAAACATTGACAAATGAAGCTCGGTTGACAAAGACATTTCTGGGGGCCGTCTTTGCTTCCGGTTCGCCGGTTTGGGAACCGGTACTGGTCTGCTGGCTGTGGAAGGGAGCAGGCTCTGCATGGCGGATGAACCGGTTGCAGCGGCGTGCGGAGCGCACATCGGGACGTCAGCTCATCGTGGTGGAAAATGCTTCCTGCAAGGTCCAAGAATGAGGTTGCTTTGCTCCACCCAAGTGGTCGCTGGGTCTTTTTTACGTTCTGCTGCCGTCGTCTTTTTTTTTTTTGTCATTTTGGCCATTCTCCAGTTTTTGTTTTTCAATTGTGAGCCACTTCTTTGAAGCGGCGGACCTGCCCTATTTACTGGGGACCTCTACGGATCTATTCCCAGAGGGTTAGCAAAGAGAAGGGGTGAACACTGTTTCTACGGCGTGTGCCAATATGGGTTGAAATCCACTTTAAACCACGGAAATTGGATCTTGGAACGTATGGCACTGTGGCCTACCATGGGGGTGCAGATAGATGGTGCATTCATTTTTGTGAAATTATCCACACGAGTTGTCTCTGTCAAAGTTTACAAATAAAAGCCAAAGATTTCCTGCAAATTGTTTAATCTTGCAGTGAGAAAAGGTAGCCATGAGCCATTAGGACGATTGATTTAAAAACAAAAATGGAAAAGGAAGGGAAGACTGATCTGTTTAAACTGTCCCGTCTGTCCCTCCATCGTTTTCTAGTGTGGATATTGGAATTTTTTTTCAGTCTTAAGAGGGGACATGGCCTCGGAACTCAAAATTTTCAGAAACTTTTTTTTTTTTTTTTTTCAAAATGATATGTTTATGCTTATAAACTTACAAAGAATGGTTTCAGAAAATTTCATTTATAAACATGCAGGATTTATCTCAGAATAAATTATTTTCAACATGTCGGCAGCCCTCCGAGTCATCAGGGAGCCAAGTTTTTTGTGTTTATTATTTAGCGCTGCTTCATACTCGTTTAACCTAGCCAGAACATTTCACCCTCATTGAAAGTGCCATTTACTCTAAATTTAGCCCGCAGAGGCTTTCGAAGTTTACTAGTATCAATGATCAGGAGGACCCAATACATCCAAACAGAAAAAATTCTGAAAATTTGGTATGAGCAATTTTATTGGTTGAGACCTGAAACAGGGTTTACAATTGGTCCTTCCCGGTGACGTGATCATGTGTCGTCTTCAGTAATGCCCCTTTACAGTATCTCCCATCTCAGATCCTATTCCTGCTTTGCTGTTCTTTCTAAGTGTGATTTGCCTCTTAGTTCTTGCCAGTTTATCTGTCAGGGAATCCCTGCAAAAGTTAGCGAGCCTACAAACAAAACAAACTGGTAGCTATTGCCAGGGGAACAGGGAAGTCTCAAAGAGGAAGGTTCTAACAATGCGCCAGGTGAATGTTGCCTACCTCAGACCCACAGAAAAGAAAGAAACCTAAAGTTGAAACTTTAAATGCATTTTTCTCAGTTTCACTTTTTGGCAGGAAATGTGGTATGGAGGAAATGCATCATTGGACATTTTGAAAGTGTAAAGATTTCATTCAGTGTTGTCCTTGACTGAAATTTCCCGAGGAACAAGTTAAGGTACTCATAATCTTAAAAAGCTAAATTCTTCATGACCAAAACTGAATATTTTAAAACTCAGAAATTTGTTCAAATCGTTCGTTCTTTTTAGCTGTTATTGTTTTTCTCTAAAATTGCATTTTCTACAATTAATTTTTACCTTAACTTGCACTATCGGTATTCTACTTCAGATTAAACCAAACATTTTGTGGATTTCAATTATTATTTTTCTTAAATACATTTCCTAATAAAGTAACTTTTTTCTGGAGCTTGTTAAGCATAGTATGTTGTAGAGTTGGCCGATAAGACTGAAACTTTAGATGTCATCAATCCTAATGGGATTCAATTCACCCTGAAAGTTTGAATCAGTTTGAGACTTTGGTTCAAAAGTTGACCCTCCCAGGCCATGTCCACCTTAACCAGTTATTTTTTTTTTCTTTTTTAATTGGTGCTGTCTAGCGAAGAGCACAAAAAGTTAGTTTTTTTACGCAGAATTTGAAGCACTCATTTAGAAGCTTTCGAATTCTCAACAGTAATGAGTCTGAAGAATGAAAGCTGTGAGAGCCCGAGACTTTCAAAGAAAGCTTTTTCCAATTGCAAAATCGAGATTGAAAAAACCAAGTTAGCAGTTCTGTAAATAATATGGTTAGGTATCAAACCTTCATTAAATAAAACCAAAAAAAAGCCTTTGCTTGCACCCTGCTGCCAACCTCACATGGCAACCAAAAGTATGAATCAACATTTCGTCTGTGTAAAAAACCACAAGTTTTAATAATTCTTTGTTAGAACATAAAGAAAAATGAATTCCTAGGAATGGTCCTAATCACAACTTAACACAGCCCAAAAAATATGCAACACTGCTGTAAAAGGCTGGTGGGCATCATGAATCATTTATAGGCTGTTTAACAAAAGAGCATAACAGAGATTACAAAGTAAGTTTCAAGCATTATACAAATCATGCACCATGTAAAAACTAACAACAGATGATCTTGCCAGCTGAGGAAATGCAAGCTTCTCAAGCAAGCTGTAGGTTGCAACGATGCAAGAATAGCTTCAGTTCTCCCAAGTATTCGTTCAGCCTTGAACTTTGCGTCACTGCCCTTTACAAGCTTAGTTATCACCTATTGGGAAAAATTGCAAACGACCACACAAAGCGTGCTGCGAATGATGGCAGTAGCTGCTGCGTTGTGGAAAGGTCCTCTCGAGCATGGAAGTCAGGGTCCTGTGTCCTTTGTAGCTCTCGTGCCGTCGCGAACCTTTGCCTACTCTGTTCGGCGCGGCGTGCCTGCCGTGCCTGCTCCTCGGACGCATTGCAACGCTTGCGTGGTTTGGCCATGTGTGTTAGAAAGTGAGCGAGGTGTGCTTGTGACCACAGCTGCAGGGGATGAAGCGAAAGTATGTAGGCGAGTTCTTCTGTAGAAGCATGGAGAGCACACGAGAACAGAACCTGGGCGGTGGCAGTGGGGAGGTGAGGGGGTGTATCGCCACAGCGCGACCAGATGGGTATTTTGCACTGGTGGCTACTGGGGGGGGAAGAGAAGAGAGGAAAGGGAGAGTTGTTGGGAGGTATGTGGATGTAGCAGGAATGATAGGGAGGCGGAGAGCACTCCCTCCGTGATCACGTGGGTTTTTCGGAACAGCGACGGCCTACAGGGGAAGGGAGGGGGAGCGAGATGGTGCCTTATCGCAGTTGGCACGTACGTGAGAGGAAAGACGGAGAGAGGGATAGCAGTGCCTCTGCTATGGTTTGAGGTTTTGCGTTTTGGCATGAGCATTTTGTTTTCCAGGAAGGGGCACCAATGCTACTACTGTGATTAACTTCTCTCCAGGAATCATTTCCCTTAATTTTTACAACCGCTGTGATTAACTTTGTTCCAGGAATCATTTCCTTTGATTTTTATGAAGTGTTGTAGTGACAATTAGTCAATGTCATTTGGAACGGATTATGTAGTGGCCATGTCTGACATGAAACAATTTTGAAATGGAGCAGAATACTTTCCTGATCAACAGGCTTTATCAGTGACAACCAATGTACTTATTATTCAACTAATATGTTGCATCATTTACAAAGTTTCTGGTTTAGGGATATTTAATTTTGTAAAAAAGATAAAACAAAGAAGCACTGGCCTGCTCTTAAAGTGAAAACTGGTTTCTTAATTCCAACATAAAAGCCAAAGAATCGACCACATTGAAAATGTTCTAAGATCCAGAAATACTATTGCCATTATCAAACAAGATCCAAGATTGTTCTAAAAGTGTTCTTAGTGGTGCGAAAAATGCCAGATTATTCTCTCTCATCCCCCTTTTTTACGGTGCAGCATGATAAAAAGAAATGGGAAACAAATCCTACAAAGTTTATGATATTAAGGTCAACATGCCATCAGGTACGATAAAAAGCATAATTTTACTAGGACAGGGAAAGGCAACGTGGGCAAGTGTCAACAAAACAAGTTTGCAAAGTACAAAATAAAAGATGGTGGTGCAGCAGCACCAGCTAGCAAACATTAAGCACAACAAAGAATTTGTGCTGTCCAGCAATGTCTCCCATTCACGTAAGACTGAAATATATAAAAGAGAAGGGACAACACAGCATACAGAATGAGAGCTTTCCTTCTGAAGCTACGCGATCCGGATGGATCTGTTAGCAAGACTCTCCCTTCAACGTGACTTTATGTTGCTGTTCTTGGCGCACAACCACAATCGAAAGTTAGACTCAAGTGTTTATACTTCTCATTTGGCACACCTTCGCACACATAATTTAAATGTGTTAGGTGCATCCTGGGGTCGGTGACGCGATGACTGCCCCCTATTCCGAAGAGGGCACCCTAACCACCGCAGTACGTCTCCCAATTTCAAATAGTTAACCTCTCTTGCTGCCGATGCCGCCAAAGATGAGTGCGTAGCTAATTCGCTGTAGTGGAGGCACGGCGGTTCAATACATGATGGGGTAAAAAAGCAGTGATATCTGTACTTCATCCATTTTTTCTTCTTTCTGTCACAGTTAGCTTTTTTTTTGAGCCCAGCAAACAGCTGCCAAGTGGTGCAACGATTTTCATAACTTGGCCTAAGCAATGCAGAAAAACCAGGCTTGTCATGGTGCTGGACCAATTATAGGTTACGAGTAGGATTCCGTGTTTTTGGCGTTTATGTTTCGTCAAATTCAAAGGGTGCTTTTTGGAGTTTATTTTTCGCTGAAAATTTTGTGTTTATTGGGGTTTATTATATTAGATGCCCAATTCTATGAAATGCCGAGCTTAATTTACTGTGTTTCTAATTTGTCCAAGATTCAATATAAAAATAAATGATACTTCGACACAAACATACCCTGAATTCACAAGAACTTGCCTGTATCAAATGACATGTCTGCAGCTGCATTTAGCATCGGCCCCCTTGCCATTGGCAACACTAACTGTCCAATTTGCTATTTTTTAGAAACGAAGGTAGCCCACTTCTAGTAATCGCAGGGCCCTGGCAAACGGTGACCTCGGCAGAAATAATGTCCCTTAGCCAAGAATGGAGATAAGCGAACATTGCTGACTGGGAAGGAAAGTCGTCTGTCGTTCATTGTCCCTCCTTGCAATCACAAGTTTCGCAGGTCACAAAATCTAAAACTAGCATTTTTTTCACTTTTTTTTTTTTTTATCGCACTTTGAAAGTTAGCTTACTCCATGTTTTCTCCCGATTTGCTTTTGCTTTTAGGTGGGCTCCTGGGATATTACGGTAAATACCTATAGATAGTTGCTGGGAAACCAGAAAGCTCCAGCTGCCCTGCCTCCCTCCTATGAAATCTACATGTTTATAGCTTTCATTGTTATAAAAACGCAACCCCTCCTTTCTCGAAGAAGCACAAATAGATATCCTCCAAACAGGAAACCGGAACAATGAGTTTCGTCGTGACCCGGAACTACAATGTCCAGCTCGCCCGAATGAACTCCGACGAGATAAACAAATAACTACCTTTCATTACTAGTCTTGGATTTCAAAGGAAACGGAAGTGTCCTTTCTTCAGGACCACCGATCCCGTGCTCTCGCAAAATTTATTTGTAAAATATTGTTGGTTTTTTTCGTTTTATTGCTCTTTGTTCTGCCATCATGACCCCGAAAATTTGAGTTTTTCAGGTAAATCCGAATCAATGAAAATTTTACCGGCGAGCGTTTTTCCGAGTTTTTCGGATTTATCCAAAAACACAGAATTCTATTCAAGCTCCATCTACGGTGACCCCCCCTACCCCCCACAAAGTCGGACGCTTCTGCCCTCTGCCCTGCTAAAGACCAAGTTTGTGAGTAGGCATTATGAACGTGTCCCAAGTTAAAGTGATGTCAATCGTGGGGCATGGGCTACGTCGGTGCTCAGCGAGCTTGTCCTAGGGGGCAACTTGCAAGGGTGAATTTATGGGTCAGGCTAGGGGAAGGGGGGGGGGGGGGGGGGAATTGGCTTGGAGGGGGGTCTGCAGAGATATCTGGTGTCACGTACAGATGCGACGTCACAGGCGAAGCATTGCCCAGGTCTATTTTGTTCAGCGAATAATCACCATATCACCAAGAACCAAGTCTGCCTTGGGCGGTCTAAGGGAGGGCAGCTGTCCCTCTGCTTTCCTTCTCAAAAATTTGTCCCTGCTTAGGGGGCAGCAGAGTTCCAGAAAGTTCTAGCTTCGACGAGTGCAAAAGGGGAGGGGGGTCTGGAACCTACGGATTGTTCAGAAGAGGCGCAGTTCTGGGAAGAGGACGGCCCTCTTGCGGTCCCGGGTGCGCTTGTTGGCGAACCACACCTTGACCTGCTCCGTGGTGAGGCCCAGGCGGAAAGCGAGGGTGCGCTGCTGCGCCGTGTCCGGGTATGCGTTGCACACAAAGGCCTTCGTCAGCTGCTCCTTCTGGAAGGTGCTGAAGTAGCGGCCTGCGGGGGAGACACGCGGCGACCCCGACACCGCTCCTTGAGAAATGGGACACTCCGCGGCGTGCCCAAACGAGCGTACGTGCAAAACAAATGGGTTTGCGACGCAATATTCCCCTTCGCTGCATGCAATGGCCACGCCCCACCCTCAACGGCGGTTTTGGACAAAATCTGCTGGCTGCCGAGCCTGGCTGACGCAGAGAGAGATGCCACGAATGTGGTTAGGGCGAATAATAAACTGCACCATTCTGGGTCTCTTTTGACCACAAGAGAACCAATTTGAAATTTTTATTCCTTTTCGTGCAAGCCTCGCAACCTGCGGGGCAAGCAGATCCTAACAACATCCAGAAGCAAGATACCGGTCAATACTGGTTGCTTCAGTTACCCTTTCTAGAATGGGCAAATCAGTCCCATGTGAGAACCGAAAGAAACACATTCGAAAAAATATTTGTCTCCTCTCCTTTTTTTTAGTTTCTTCCTACAAGAGGGGCATTAAGCTTCGAAGACCTCCTACCAGTTAGCACGACTATGTTTGACACAGGGGCCCCTCAATGGTCGTTTTTGGCATGCATTTGAAATGCGACTTGGTTCAAAGGCAGCAAGGCAGATACTGCAGTGGCAAGCAAAGCAGCCTTTGAGATAATGAAAAGCCTTCAATAATGGTGGTCAAAGCCTGCACTCCTTCTCAGCCGACTTCATTTACCTGTTCTTCTCGTTGACTAGCGTTCTAAGTTTCAAATAGGAATATAATCCAATATCAGCTTGATCTTGCTCCTTTCTAAGCTCCAAGGTGTTATACTTGGACGGCAGTGACCCTCAAAGACAAGGAAAACTGTGAGCAACAAAGTCTCTTGCTATCATGGAACTCTAGAGCAGCCTGACACTACCATAAAGTTAAAGTTTGACCAGCTATTAGAATCTCGAACCGAGGCATATAGGAAACTGCTTTTGTCTGGCCTTATGGGAACCACCTTAAATTGAAATTGTTTTCAGTTGCGATTGACAGAGACTACTGTGGTTGCATGCCTCCCATTCAGGCTACAAGTTTTGAAATCCCGGTCCTTTTGAAGCTTCTGCAAACAGTGTAGAAAGCAGCACATTCCTACCCATTTTTCTCGGTATCCCATCTAACAACTCACTCAGAGGAGACCATAAAAGATTATTCCGTATCCGAATGTCGCCAACGTGGAAAGCAACAGTGCAGACACTGGAACCGGCTGAAACACATGTGGTCGAAATCTTGCGAATAAACCGCGCTCCAAGAAAATCGCTTGGTTTGGCCCGGAGGGAATTTACGAACGTGGAAACAAACTTGGCTAAACAGAAACTCCCATTTATGAAGCCGTATTGGGCACGGGACGCCAAGCATCTTCTCTTCCAAGCATGCCTGCGACGCAGCGGCACCCTCTAGTGCAAGCTCGCCAAGCGCCACTTTACTTTGGCAGGAACGAAACCGTGAAACCAAAAGGGGTACAGTTTCTTTGGTTTATTTATCGGCATAAAAACAGAGAAAGCAAGTGTAAAAAACAGAAAGCAGCAGCAGCCACTCAAAGACGACACACGGGACTGCTAGTACGAAACATTGCAACGAGTACATGGGTCTTTGCAGACAATTATACATGGGCTACACAAAATGCAAGATAAATACAAACCTAAAACGGGCACTAAAATTGCTCTATTAGCCATGGTTAAATGTTTGTTCAAGCACTGCTTTTGCTTAGCAATAGGAACAAAAGTATTGTGGCACCGTTACACTATGGCCGGTTGTTCACCGGCACCAAAGAACAATATGCACGCTGAAACAGCATCCAACTTGGAGAATCAGAGTCTGCCTGTTGCAACGTTTTCAGTTGCCACACAAGGGGTGACTGACAGCTCGGTTAGTCTGCTAATATTAGTCTGGACGAGTTCTCGCCAAATCGCATCAGAGTTCTCCAAGTAGCATTGCTCTCTTCCATGGTCCGAGAGAGAGAACTAAGAGTGATGCAAACAAATGGGCCACACAAAATATACTCCTAATCTAATTAGCACTATACCTGTGAGAGTAGTCATCCCAATTGTCACCGGAACATCTAGGTAACCATTTGAGCCACAAAGATGCAAATCATTCTGATGTGCCATCTCCAGGCAGCTCCCAGAAACTCCCGCAATAGGCATGCATATGATAATTCACTTCAACCAGGTGGCACTCACTGACATCCATTGTACTCTGGACTCAACCCATGGGAGACATACACATTCTTTGCGGCATTTAGCAAACTTCTGCAGTAAACTATGGAAGTGAAACCTGGGGATGCTCGGAGATTTGCTAAACCGAAACTTGAACTTTGGCGATAACGAAATTTAACTTTAGGGGAGAGTCAGCTATTTGACAAGTCGAAACGAAGCAGCTGGAAGTTTCTTACAAAGTGGCGTCTTTTGCGAGCGTTAAGAAAGAGAGCCACGGAAGAACATGTCCAACGACGAGCCACGGCGCCCACTTTGCATTGGCCGGCCTGCATCAGCGCCCAAAGTGTGAGGGGAACTTGTGTTTCTGGAGCAGTTTTTTCTCCTTGCTGCGCCGGTTCTGAAACCAGAACTGGATCTGGTTCTTGGAAAGGCCCAGAGAACGCGCAAGCTGGTCCTTCTGTTCGTACGAGATAAAGCGGCTACGCTGGTATGCCTGCTCCAGCTGAGACCGCTGGTACGCGGAATACCGCTCGAACGTGCGTGTCCTGGACAGCAGCACTTTGGAGGGGAAAGGGGAGGGAAGAGAGACCAGAGGCGGCATTAGCGGCGGTCTAAGCAACGACGGCGCGAGGAGACAAAAGGAGAGCAACATGACGCCAGACAGGAGGTTTTTTGGACAGACAAAAGACAAAGATTTAGAGGAGGACACAACTTTCTAGGTTCGTTCACACACTTGCAAAAGAGTAGGACCGGCTGAGAGAAGACCGGTTTCCAAGCCTCTTGCGACGGCTTAGGACCTGCTCCGCAGCAGCGCATTTAGTGCTACTAAGTCGCAGGAGGCTTAAAAACCAGTCTTGTCTCAGTCGGTCCTACTCGGTTGCAAGTGCGTGAACGGGCCTTCACTCTTAGACTTCATTTCACCTTAAGCCTGGATACAGCTGGTGCTCCCATGGGACCAATAAGAGTGTCAAAAGTGCAAGTCACTGGGCCTTCTGTACACGACTGGTTTGGCAAAAGTAGGACATTTACAGAAACATGACGAACACCATGCTGGTGAGCTTTTTGATGCTGTACCATTGGTCCCATGAGCTCGTAGCATCGGCTGTGTCCAGATTTAAAGTGAAACGAAGTAAAGAATGGTAATTATAGTCTGTTGCAGGTTAAAAGCAGGGCAAGCGCTCCGCAGAAAGCTCTCTGCTTGCTATGATAAGTTATTTGCTCCTCTCCAGCCATCATGCTGCTAAAGAGGAAAGAGTGGAGAGCTTTCTGGGAGGAGCTTGTCCGGCTTTTCTTAACCTGCAACGGATCATAGCAGATGTGCTGCGGCCTCAAAGAAGAAAAACTAACTGTGTAGAAGGAACTAGTAAAAGCAATTGGCATGAAGCCATAGGCATTCATCCCCTCTTCACTAGCCATTGGTTGCTATACAAAGGAAGATCTATGTAATCTCAGGGTATAGGAATATGTATGCCATTTGCTTAAATTCGCTCTGGAAGGTTGCACTTGCTCCGACACCGGCCAAGACTCAGCTCGAGGGAAAAAGTATGACAAAAATGCTACTTTATTTGCTTTATTTGTGGCCCGATGTACGCAGAAAAAAATGCTAGCCTTTGACATCTGTCTGTGACGTCCTTCCTCCCACTTGACTGTGTAAGTCATCACTCCAGCTCATGTTTAGAATTGCATAAGGACTTCCAAGTTATGTTTAGGTGCAATGTAACGAGATTGAAGAAAGGCTGGCAAATATTGAGATTAAAAGCCTTCTGTTATCGCAGACTGTGACAATATAGCTGGCCCTTCCTCCCTTTGTTTTGATTCCTGCTTTTTCCAGGTGCATTGTTTTCTCCTCTTCTCTCCTAGGCCCAAACAAAATATTGTTTCCAAACACAATATTCCTCTGCTTTTTCAGACATAAATTTTTGAAAACTGACAAGCTGGAAAATCAACATTTCAGCTCGGTACAGTAAGACCACTTAACACGCTTGGCAAGTGGGAGGTTCCAGATATTGCTCCGTGGCATACAACTGCACAAAGAGCTTGTTTCCCATAGCCAATATACACTGCTTTACCTACACTTAAACAAAGACACAGAATATGGGAAGATTAAGGCAAAATTCACAGATCTAATAAACAGCAGCACCTGGGAAAGGTTGCAAAACCCAAAATGATACTTTATATTGAAGCAATGCTTTGGTAAGTGAACAGCTCACAAAATACCAGTGCTGCTTCAAGTGAGACTCTAGAACACTGACTCGGCAATAACCGACAAAGTGCAAACACACGATAGTTTACAAACACTTGCAATGCTTGCATGCAACTTGCACTATGTACAGAACAACAACTATGGATGCATAAGTATGTGCGCATTAAACTGGCACTGTACATTTTGTTGCTTTATACGTACATAGATTTCTTCGAACCACCAAGTGCCCAAAAAAGCAAAGCTTGTAACATTGCATGGCTTGCAAAGATAACAAAACTGTGTTGGTTGCCACATTACAAGGATAATTCACTCCATTCCAAATGTGCAGATCATAGACATTTTTTTTTTCCCCTGTTCTTTCGTTACAGTTTTAAATTCCTCACATTTCTTGCAATAACATAGCTTGAAGTTGGCAGTGGCAACAGTGGCCGCCTTCTTTGGCGCGAGAAGAAACCAAGTTCGATAACAAATTTTGCAGATGTTGCAGCCATTGAAACTTAGAAGTTATTGCTACTCTACGATCACTGAAAACTCAAAAGGAACTCATCATTTTTAATTCACTGTCACTCTGCTCCATGGCATGTTTCTCTCAAGCTAGCTCGCTTCACACCGAAACAAACTAACACTGCACAAGACAGAGCTCCTGCAACCCGCTCAACAGAACTCAAGACAGATACTTCTTTGTTGCGATAACACAAAATTAAAATGCAAAAAGTAATTTTTTTTAGTACAGCCGAGTGAAGCATTACGTTCTCATAAAATAATAAATATGCAAAGACTTTGCATAAAATACATGTGTCAAAACAGTCAGGAAGAGCTCAGATCCATTGTGACAGCAGTACATTAGGCTTGTTTAAATCCCGTTCCCTTTCAATGCAAAGAAGATACAGTCTGCCACTGCACAGCAGCTTGCGTAAGTTTGTTCAAAACATAACTTCCTAGCAGTCTCACCACCTGGCCCGCAACTGACTTTGATGTGGCAGCATATGTCCAACCACCCAAAAATATAGATTAAACTCTTAACTATTAAGTGCACCCCTTTACTTAATAGAGGCAGAAAAGGGAAACTTGTTAACGTCGATATGAGTGTACTGGTAATTGGAATCATGTCAATGAAGATAATAGAAAAGGATGAATAGACACAAACTCCCATGCGTCTATCCATCCTTTTCTATTACCTTCTTCAGTGTGTGAAGCTAATCTAGATACACCTTACCAATACCTTTCCACCAGGACCTAGTAACGGCTCCTCTAAACTTCAGCAAACATTTATTACATCCCACTGATGATATTTTTGTTCTGCTCCATTGCAAGCGCTCCTCAGGCACCACTAGCCTCACTCTGAAGAATTCTGGTCTTGAACTCCGCATGCAGTTAAAGGGCAAAAAGCTTTGTTTAATCCCACAACTCAAGTTCCAGCAAGCAAAACAAAGCACTGCTGTAAACCAAAAGAAAGCAGACACAGTTTGGCTGAGAAGCAGGCCTTATAAAACTATGGGACGTGGAAGAAAGCCCAGCTTTTCTGCTTTGTGGCTACCATTCTAGCCACAACCCGTTCATGAGCCAATTGTTACAAAGCACAAGCCTGACTGCTATTCGCGACTCCAACTAACTATAGGTGGCGCCACTCATTTTCCAAGATGGCGGGTTTAGTGAGGGTCAGGGATGCGTGCCGCTGTTGAGCCTCTCTAGCGTGCTGGCTTCACTGAGCGACATAAATTATTTCTGGTAATGCGAGGAAGCGAATGTTTTATGAGCACAGGTCACCTCTTTAACCTAAAAACAAGAACGGTGTTTAGCGTATTAATTACGGAAGGATGCGCGTTTTAATTCTGGAGCGAAACCGAAACTTATTTCTATTTTGGATTTAATTTCTCGACAGAGGTCTTAATTTTGGATTCTTTCACGACTCAAGATGTGTCTCATATCGTAATTATTTACTTAGAAAAGTTGTTCGCGGAAACTTTATATTGTGACATACTGTTCGATCCAGGCTGATATTCGTAGTTGTTGAAAAAATCAGTGCTGATATCTGTACGTTCTCGCTGCCTTTTTCTCGCTCAGATAATTGTCATGGGAAATAATGACAATCATCCCAGCACAAGAATATGTGAATAATTCCAATTTTTACAATATGTCCACGAAACGCATAAACTGATAAATGCTGCTCTCACTGCTACAACCCAAGACGGAATCCGAATCAGACAGCTGAAGTGTGCGTGTGTGTTTTTATAGCACCGCGTGACGCGTAGGACTTCCTATTACATCCAGCGTTTAACTGTTTGTCTATCTTGATAGCTATGTCAGAGTTTCTCATATGCTAAAAAGAAAACAAAATTATACCTCTCTGGAAAGACTATTATGGTTAAAAAGAGTATTCTCGTGATCTTGGCGTTAATTAGAGGCATACATTGCCGCGATTTTTATTAATAATAATAACATTAAAATTCAGATATTTGTATAAGTAATTCTTCTAGCTCTAATATAATTTGTTGCTTATGATCTAATTTTAAACGCGCGAAGAAACATGGCAATGAAAACTGCTAATTATCATCACTGGTTACAATTGATGCATTTTAATTGCAAAAAAAAATAAAAATAGTCTAAAATCAATGGAAACATTCTAGCTAATGTGAGAAATCCATGTAAAATTACATTAATTGTGGGTAAAGTATATTGTGCTATCAAAGTCGCGACTTTTGACGATCGGCGAAACGTCCAAAGTCACCGCCAATATACTTCCAGACCAAATGCCCAAAAGTAAAAAAAAAAAAAAAAAAAAAAAGTTTTTTTTTATTATTAGTTTTTTCACAACATTTATTTGCTTTTGTATTTGCTCGCCGTCGTTTTGCCAATCTCAGCCTTTCCAGTTCGAAGGAACGCCTACCTGCTTGCACGTCTGCTCACTGCAGCACGTTTCGTTGGCGTTGGAAGCCGGTGAAACAGTAGTGAGTTTTAATATTGCGTATACGAGCGAACTGAAGCCCTGTGTGTTTGCGTTAGCTTTGCGCGTTCCACACTGCGCGTGCGCGGAGCCCGAAATCGCGGTCTTGGATGGCGCATGGTGATGAGGCGCACGCACAACCTGGGGCACGCAACTCTAAGGCAAACGCACACCGCTTGCGTTTGCTTCTATGCGCAATACTAAAACTCTCCAGTAAGGTACAATCCCATACCGGCTGCAGCACTACGTTGGGACAGTGAAGAGTGTTGTTTGCATTCGGAAACGACATTTCGCGAGCAATGATCGCGAGCAGTTCCGCCATGCCCGCTGAGCAGGAGAATCGGGGGACCCTCACTAGAGCGCTTCCCGTTTCCGCCGCGGGGGGGCGAGCGTCGAGCTGGAGACGCGAATAAAAGATGTGTACATATAAAATAGATATACGAGTCAAAAGAAAAAAAAAGTGTTCAATAACTTATCATATCTTGCCACTACATAATATAAGGTAAAATGCACCTTTTGGGAGACTCTGGACAAGGTGATGGGCAACATGTCACACAAATCGCTCTCAATGGTTACCCTAGCTGCCTGACTGGTCGTATGCATCACCGAAAAATGGAAGGCAACAGCTACACATTTTACTAGCAATTTTGTTACATCTAGTGAGTGGCGAAGCCCCAAGAACACAACTTTCTCTAACTTCTCGAAATGTTCGACTTTACAAATCTTCACGCCGGTTCTTTGGCTGCTCGGGTACAAAACTTTGGTCGAACTAATAGCGCAGGATCGGTAAAGAGGGTTCTAAGCCACCCCAAGACGTTGCAGACGTTTTAATAGAGTCTGGTACACACAAACAATGTTTTCTGTTAAGGACCTAAATCAATTCGAAGTGCACAAACAAGTCAGCAATTGTTCGTTCCAAGAAATAAAAGAGGAATAATGTATAAAAACATGGAGTAACTTTTTTTTTTTTCTCTTAGCAGCATCTACCTCCTGTTCAGAAACCTTAAAAGTTGTACCACTATCTTTTGATAACCTTAGACAGTTTGATTAGTAAGATAAACCAACTGCTCCTTCTGTACTTCTCCACACACTTAAATACACATCCAGCTTACAAAAAGAAAAAAAAAAAGCATGGTTAACAATGCAGCAATTTCCAACACCAAAACAACAACCAGCATTGAGTACCGACAAGAGTTGCATCGCAATGGCCAAGAGGAAGCGCCTTGATGCGGACTCCTGCTTCCAAGGCGTCGTCTGCACTTTTAGACATCACCTGCTTTCTAGCGTTGTCCGCTCACTAGTGTCGTCTGCTCTCTGGTGTCGTCCAATCTCTGGCGGCGTCTGCTCTCTGCTCTCTAGGATGAACTGTTCCACCAGTGGTTGTTTGGCTTGTGCGAGTAGAGGCGGTCTGAGGGCTCGGTCCGGCGTTTGGCCACCTGGCGGTCCTTGGCCCTTCGGTTCTGGAACCAAATCCTTACTTGCTCCTCGGAGAGGCCGATGTCCAGTGCGAGCTCCATGCGCCGCTGGTAGTCCACGTACGGCTTGCAGCGGTACGCCTGTTCCAGCGTGGTGCGCTGCCGGTCGGAGAAAGTAGACTTCTCCCGCATGCGCAGCAGGCGCATTGGGGGACGCACTGTGGGGAGGCAACACACAGTGAGCGAGTTTTTGTTTTTCTTGTTTTCTTTGCAAGACATGCAAGTGTCAGTAAATACTAAAACTTTTAGAGTGTCAATACATTAATAACGAGGCTCCAAAAATCGTCCGGAAAAGATCGGCATCTGCACATAGCGATCTCATATATTCACCTAATAAATCTTTTTTTTTTTTTCGGAGTGCATTTTGCCTTGCAATGTGCTGTTTCCATTTCTTGCAGGAACAGATGTATGCCTTCAAATTTCACAAGGTTAAATCATACCAATAAAATATGCCTTGCACGAAAATTTGAGACTGTTACAAGCAGCTGCCGATTTTTGCAGCCAATTTTAGAGCGATCCCAGGCATTCATAACATCTTTATATAGCGGCAGAACACTACAAGGAAAGCAGTTATGTACTATAAGAGCTAATTTATATGTAGCTAATATGAAACTCCTTACTCATTGACCCATTATCTCACATTGGAATCGGCAAATCAACCGAGGAAATTAATTTGATATTGCTATTTTTCATGTTCATTTAGGTATCCTACACATTTCAAAGGTTAGGAAACAACTAAAATTAGCAACAAGATAGACTAAAACAATGTCACAGATCATCAAATGAACTAATTTGCAGTCTGCACTGTGTAGATGCCCACAGGGCCAAAATACACACTTTCTCTAAGAACTACAAGTATGATATCAAGAAAGCATTTCAGGTGAAACAAAAAAGAAAACAAAGGCTGATGTTACAGGTCGCTACTTCTCTTTGAAGCAGCTGACTGCTCCACTCATCAGCAGTTACTCTGGCTCCTTGATTGAATTTAGGCATTATCCTCCCACTATACACAGAGCTTAGGCAATCAAGTGTATCACTATAAGGCAAAAGTATTTCTAACAATGTTGCTAGGCAGCCAACAACTTTTGTTGCTGCACGAGTGCGGTGGAACATTTCAATTCAAGACAAACTTAAAACCACAACTTCATCATTAAAATGTTAAAAGTGGGTTCAATGGTGTATTTATAGGCCATAAATTGAGCCTGAAAGATTGGCACCTCCATATAGAAAGTTAAAACTCACTGAATGTACATTGCGCAGGTCAGTTCTACCTGCAAAATTTCAAGGTTGGCTACAAACGTGCCCAGCCTTGACTTTGGCAAGTTTTTTGCTCATGTTTTACGGGAAGAGAACTGTGCCTGCAATTTTATGTGGCAAAACTGACCTGCTCAATGCACATCCAGTGAAAGTTTGAACATAAAGTTGAACTTTATACGGAAGGTTTTGCTTGGGACAACCTATAATTATCTGCCTAGAATAATGACCATATCAGTGTTGAGCACACAGGCAGCATAACTGGATACATTCTAGCAACGAAACATCCTAGGCCCAAAACTGTAGATGTATCCAACACAACACTTCTATCAACTCGTTACTGAAATTTATGCCAGTGTCCTTGGAACTAAACCACTGAGCTTGAGAAGCTGCAATAGCCATACAGTTTCACACAAAGAAAGTACTCATTTTCTTTTACATCAATAATCAATTACGTCAACCACCTGTACTTAATTCAAAGTAACTGTAGAGCACGTCGGTAAAGTTGATTTGAAACAGAAAAAATAAAACCAAGTGGGACAACGAGCACATATTTCAATGAAAGATATGTTTGTAGTCCCTTGATTGCAGTTTGCTTTATTCTTTCTATGCCAAATCACCAAACCTTAAGAAAAAAAATTATAATAATAACTGGGGTTACGATTGGTTTGGACTGCAGTTGAAGTCTCACAACTTGAAATGAGCCCCGGTTACGAAAACGCGCGAAATAGGAGCAGCTGCTAAAGCTAGGAGCTCACAACCAGGCGGAGACAAAATGTAGTAAAACAAGAGAAAAAGGTAAGTAACCTGCCGTCAACACGTTTCACCGCTCTCTAATCCGATTCAGGAACATGCACAAGGGCGCTTTGAAGCACGGTAGGTTTCGTAACGAGCTGCGTGACGACAGATGTGAAATACGCAGCAAGCAAACGCACACGCACATACACACACACGACTTGGAGACAACACGAACGTCGCCCAAATGCTAAGTGACAATATCGTAAACACGACGGAGTGCGCAGCTAAATTAAAGAGGACTAAAATCACCAGAACGAGCACAACACTCGGAACGCGACACAGAGTCCGATGGCAGACGGCGCAGTGGCCACAGGGCTATATCAAAATTTAGTTCAACGGTTTCTTCAGAGGGAAGTTCTGGCTGGAGGTCAGGTCGCGAGTTCACGCACTCCGAGGAGGGGTCGTTCGCTCCTTCCGCTCATCTGCTGCTTTTCTTTGGCGTGCCTAGTCACGAAAGCAGTCAACAACATTAGGTATCGGGAAGAACTCACAAAAATCGCATCACTCATACGCGCATTTTTCAAAATAAAAATAATAAACGCGCCAAGATAACGGGAGATACGCGCTGTAACCCCACAAGGGCCGGGTCATTTCCACTCGGAAATGCAAATAAACAACGAGGAAAACGAATCGTCCACGAAACAGGCAATAAGAAGGGCGTGTCAATGCGGTTAAGCTATTTCCGCCCTGCGTCGCAAATAACTTGAAAAAATCGATTGTTGTCATTAATTGCCGCTCCCGCCTCGAAAATCTCTTTGTTGCTCGAAACAAAGAGTCAAGAAATCATGCAGCTCAAACCGTGGGCGGCCCCAGCGTCGGAGGTGGAAACTGCGCGATAACTGCACGTCGCTTTTAGGATAGTATGCTACGTTTTGAATTCTACTAAAGACATACAAACTCGGCGCATATATTGTGCACTATATTACGCTGCTCTCGCAGGGACGGATCGAAGCCGAAATTCATTATTGAAATTCCGTTGCCAGACTAGCCAGATGACGTTATGAAATGACTCTGCTTGACTTCGTTGGAGCTCCACCCAACATTCGTCGACAGTGTGTGTAAATTTTAAGTTATATTTAATTAGTTTAATCATTTATTTAGTTTAGTTCCTTATTAAACCATATGAATTCAGTCGTTTCTTTTCTACGCCACCGTAACACCTCCATAATAAAAATTATTGAATAAGCGTTACTTCCTTTGGTGGACGGCCTTGCATTTCGCCCGGCAACGCTGTATGCACTTTGGAGTTGTACGCGATTTATTTTCGAGATGGCGCCACCCTACTTTTAGGCGTGTTTTGAGCGAAGGTTTTCTTGAAAAGGCAATGTACGCAACAACCACGTGCAAATAGTGGTATTTAAAAAATAATAATAATAATATTCTGTGTATTTTGCCGGTACTTTCAGATGTGCTGACAGCGGCTAAGAGAAGATCAATCTTGGCTTCTTTTTTTTTTTTTTATTCGCGCGCACATGGCATAAGAAAACAATACGGTTTTCGTTTTAACCAACGTTACGTTTTAACCATGCGCATTTCTGCCGAAACTTGATGCAGTGCAGACGGTTTTGATAAGTGCAATAACTGACAAAAGAGACGTATGCCAAACGCCCTTTTCGGCGCATGTCACTGCGTAAGCGGTCGCAAACGACGGGTGAAGACTCATAGAAATAAGGTTCAACACCTCGTTGTCTCTACAGTGACATTTCTCCAAACGCCGAAGATCTGACAGCGGCGTTCTTATATGTTGTAAAGCGCGTTCATACAACAGCGGTTCTCGAAAACCCGCGCAGCAGTTCCTTCCGAACCGGTTAGTTGCAGAGAGAGAACGGCCGAGGAGAGGAGAAGAGAGGCTTTCGTGCGAGCCGCCGCGGAAACCGGAACCACGTGATATCTGGTTGTCGGGGGCCGCTTGCTGCAATAGCTCACGGTTCATCCCCTTCAATTTTTTTCCTGCAAACTCCGGATTTTTTCCGGCGATCCAGAGACCCTGATCTAGAATCGAGGAGGAGTTTAGAAGGTCTAAGACGCGGTGGAAGCTCGGTTTCCGGCGTACGAAGGCGAAAGCAGACGCCGTCTTTGTGACCCAATTCCATTGCTGCAAGCGGCCCCCCGCGCTAACCCAGTGCGACTGAAAGTGAAGTTGCGTGTGTGTGTGTATGTTGCTTTCGGCGCTAGGCCTTGCCCTTGATCTCCAAAGCGAAGTGGGGGAAAAAAAGAGCGTGCAGTGGCGGTCGTCGGTTGGACGGTGCCGTAACGACACCGGGATTTCGTCGTGCAGTCGGCTCGCCGGGCGATGTTGGTGGATGGATCGGCTGACACTTGTTCAGCCTCGGCAATGAGCAGCGACAACAGCAACGGATCGTCCAACGGCAACTCCGCGTCGGCCACACTTCCCATCGTCTCGTCCGGTAAGTGTGGGGGGGACCAGACTTTGCTTCTTTTTTTTTTCTACTTTTTTTTCTTTTCCGGTGGGGCTTTTTTTTTTTCTATTTAAACAGACGGGCTGAAACGTAAATTTAAAGGGATCGCGGTGTATTTGGGGGACTTTGACATTGTGTCGTTTAAGAAGCTCACGGTGATCGGCGGCGGCGTTCGACGCCGTGTGTTTTTGCGATCGAGTCCGTGCGCGCGGAGAGGCGTCGGCACACATGCGCATCTAAAACGCGAGCTCGACGCGACGATACGCGAATCTTTTTATGTGTGTCTGTGACCCGATATGAACGGCGCCTATTCTTCCGCGTGGAGAAGCCGACGTTGCCGGCTTTAGTTCCGATGCGGTAAGAGCGAAATGCGACCTTGGCACAGATTTCTTATTTTTCGCGTGGGCTCGGCCACGGTGGGCTCGGCGGTGCAGCCAGCAGCAGCCGCTACAGCAGCAGCTGAGCTGTCGACTCTGTTACGCGCTGTAACATCCCCCACCGTCCTCTGTTTTATTCGTGTAATCTCGTTTGGAGAAACCTGTAGTTGCACACGGACTGCGCGCTCGGGAAAAGAAGGAAACTGGCTTGCGAGTTTCTGCCTGCTTCTTACCGCAAGAAGATAAAAAAAGAATGCATGTGTAAGATCTCCTGAACTAACGAACGCGATCGACTCGTCTGTGAGGAGTTCCCTCAAAAGGCATTTTATTGCGTTCTCTTTTTGTATTTGTTTTTTTGCTGGCGTTGATTATGACGACGCATGCTTTGTGGGATCGTTGCCACCGTAAATTTCGTCCAGTTACGTGTTAGACCAATGTCAGACGCACTTCGACCAGTGGTGGTAGAGCGAGCAACGCCAGCAGATTGTCAAGGGCGTCTCACTCGTTCAGTCCACATTACTTTTTTTTTTTTTTATTACTATGTAGCCGTCTTTGATTTTTGTGTTTCTTTTTTTCTTTTAAGACGTGGTGGTTTGGATCCGTCTAGTCGCTAGTGGAGCAGCAGCGACTGACTAGATATCGTATTTCGCCGCGATGACAGTTTTCTGGGTCCCCTTTTTTGACTCTCCTGCTCCTTTTTTTTTTTTTTTTTTTTGGTAACGCTTTACTGGGGTCGGTACGATGATGCCACTGCGGCTGGTCTCGCTACTCGTAAGCGTTTTCGGCGAACTCAACGTCGTCGTGTCTGGCTCTCGGCGCTGAACAAGTCTGCTTGCTGGCTAAGAAAAGTGGGGTGCGTCGCTTGCATGGACGCTAATGAGATGAAAATTTCCGGCTGGGAGACCAGACCAGACCAGACCAGACTAGAGTAGACAGACGAAGTCACCGTCTGCTTCCCGTGATGCAACAACTTGTTGTTATTGTTGTTGCACCGTGTGCTTCCCATGATGCAACAAACTTTTGTTGTTGTTTTCCTTCGAGATCTCGTTTGTACAATGAGTGACCGCTATACACCTGGGACTGCACAGCATACGTATACTTGCATATCTCAAGACCAGTGTGCGTGCCGTTTGTTTCGTCCGGATGAGAAAATAAGCAGTGCACATAGCTTCTCGAAAGCCGAACCGGCGGTTGGGGCTGCAAGGAGGGAGGAACGCAGAATAATTTTAAATTCTTGTCTCGTTGTTTTGGGACATTCCTACTTTAAATCCTTTTTTTTTTTTTTTTAATTGTCGCCTGGAAGCTTTGGAATTTGTGCCTGGCGCTTTTTTTTTTCTGTTATTTATTTTTTTTTTAGTTGAAAGGGGAAAATAAAGTGCCCATTAAAAATAGGGGAGGAGGTAGCTAGGGATGAAATATCTTACCATAACGTGTTTGATTTTTTTCTTTGGTTTGTATTTTGGCATTTTTAGATTCGTTTTTTGAACTGTTTCTTGGTTCGTATCTAGTACCTGTTTGAATGATATGACGCGAACGCTTTGCAGCATCAGACAAATAAATGCACTGCCCGCAAAAAAAAAAAAAAATATATATATATATATATATATATATATATATATATATATATATATATATATTTACCGGAGCAATTTGGACACTTTCGGCGAACAACAAATGGGCATTGTGTGTTGTTCGGCAACCGATTCCATCCAACACTTGCCGAGACAGAAAGCTTAAAAAGAAATTAATATGAAGAGCAATATTTTTCTTTGATTATTATTGTCTTTGTAAATTGATACCCCTTTTTATTTTTATTTTTCTCAAACTTCTCAATGTTTCTGTGAGTTGGCATTTTAATAACGGAGTAATCTTTGTGACCGTAGTACAGGCGAACGATATCAAAATGCCGAAAAACAATATAACACTCTGTCACCTCTTTTTTTATTATTATTTATGTGAGGCGAGCGTTTCTTTGGACACGAAATAGTAGCAGGAGACGAGAAAGTAAAAGCGCAATTTCTATCGGTTGTACGGTCGTTTTGTTCTTATGTTTTGTGTGTGTGCGTGCGTGCGTGTTGTTTCATGTACTATAAATCAAATTTTAGAATGCTTCAGTATTGCAATAAATTGACAATTTAAAAAAAAAAAAAAAACCTTTGCAATTTTTTGTTTCTGTTACTTTGGGGGGGGGGGGGGTTGCACAATATTAGGCTTGTAACAAATCACCGCTCAATAAACCGAAAGAAGAAAAAGAAGATCATCCATTTTGCCTCGTAGAAAAAGGAGTAAAAAATTGAAAAGGAGTAAAAAGGGGATAAATTCTGCGTAAACAACCTGTGAAGGGAACGTCGACGGTCCTTTTAAAATGAAACGTGACGGCTCTCGACGAAAGCAACCGTGAAAGCTGAAAGAGTCAAATGATTTAGTAAGCTGAGAACAATACGCGGTGCGTGCACGGAATGACTCCTTATGACGCAGCGTCAGTAGTGCGACGAACACCGAACTTTTGTTGATCGACTGAACGATGTAAGCTTTTTGATGACCCCACACTCTGTCCGAATCTTGTTCTTATGTAAACAACAAGGTACTCGCGCGTTTAAAAAAAAAAAAAAAGTTTATGTTTATTTTATGTGTTTTATTTATTTATTCTTATCGTGAAACGCGTGGGTATTATTCAAATATACTATCATCCTAACACACCTTTTGAATGACGAAATTAGAGTAACGATCTAGAGGACTTTAAAGCGCCAAAAACACGGACGAAGAAGAGAGACCATCCAAAACGCACTGGCGCTAATATTGAACAAAAAGTAAGGGCGCAAACGAGCTGGTGTACATTGCACATGATTAAAAAAAAAAAAAAAAAAAAAACCCAGACTGCGGGTAAACGACACAACACTAAAAAGTCCCTAACACAGCTGAAATTTTTATTTTCCGAAATCTGGTTAGGTTAGGTTAGGTTAGGTTAGGTTAGGTTAGGTTAGGTTAGGTTAGGTTAGGTTAGGTTAGGTAAACCACCCAGAGCAGACGTGCGTGAACACGCGTTCCTATGTTCGGTTGGCAAGATAGGAAAGAGTGTTTACGCACGTGTGCTGCTGGGTGGTTTCCTAAGTTGAAAGTTAGCGCCAGTCCGGGTGTTTCTTCTTCGTCCGTGTTATTTGCGCTTTTACGTCACCTAGATCACAATTAGACCTATTGCTATAGACGCTTTACAGCAGCTGTGCATGGACGCCGCCATAACTGACCTTCAGTTTTTGTTCCCTCTTATTTCGTTCGCTTCACTTCATCATTACCACAGCAGGACAGGTTATTGCCATTTTAGAAGCTACTGTGTTCTTGTGCCCAGCATAGGCCCTTGTGAAGACCCGTCAACGCCCGCTTCAGTGGCTCGGCATCTCGGTAAGACAAGAGAAGGGCGGCTATGGCGGCTCAATCTGGCGCGTGTGTAAAGCGTCTATATTACCCAAGCATCAAGGAGAATGCAGGGATTGGTATTCCACGCGCCGCACGTGCTGGCCTCAGCAGTAGTAAATTTTCTAGAGCAAATACCTGAAACAAATGGTATTTTGCACGCGCGTTCGTGAATGCTTTATTTTGGTTATTTACTTCGAATCTTTTATACGGGGAAGGTGTGGCGCGTGGAACACCAGTCCCTGCATTCTCCTTGATGCTTGGGAAATAGAGCAAATGGTCTATTGAAAGTTTTCATTAGAGCGACGAGTCGACCCGTACTACGGTTTTACGGCTTCTGCAGGGCACCGACGAGGCCAATGAGGTTTGGGTTTCACAAATATTCTGTGTGAGCGAAATATGGAGAAAAACCGATGTCCTGCCGCCGTGATTGTGCCGCGCCGACATTTCCAGCTGGTCAGCTCGAAACGCTATTTGTGGCTGTCAACAGCTTCAATGCGCCCAGAAAGTGAGAGCGAGGACGAGACGAACATATATATATATATTTATTTCTACTTTTTTTTGTTTTTTTGTTAAGAATGCCCGAAGGATGCGCTGTTCTATTTTACTCCCCCTATGAGCTCGGTTCAAATAAGAGGAGAAACAATTTTTAGCACAACACCGCTCTTTGTAACGTCCATAGCATATTTCACTGCCAACTCTACCGGTGGTGCTAAGCTAAAGGATCAGTTAGCGCGAGATTTTGGTGGGAGAGTTTTGGATACTTGTATAAGACAACCGATCACGTGTAATATATATATTTATAGGCTCGGAACGGCTTAACGAAACAGACCGACCGGATGTCGTTTAAGACGCAAAAGACGTCTTGTGTTTGTAAACACAAAAAGAGAGTCTACACCGCCGTCAGTGTTGAAATGGCCATTGTGTTCTTTAAAAGCAGGGTGCGGTGCGTACTTGATTGTACTGTCGGCAGACTTGATGAGAACATATGTGTTTTAATAAAATGCTCGCAAGAAAGCTGCTTTTTTTCTTCTTCTTTAGATTGTCTTATATTTCATTTTTATTTATCCTTTTTTATGTTGGCCGTAGCGTGGGGTTGCGTGTGTGCGCGTCTGTGTTTCTGCGTGTTATTTTATCTTTCAGAAAGAAGGCAGCGTGCTTAGTTCAAGAACTACTGTGAACGACTTCATTTTCGCGGGC